GCCTCCTCACTGGTTCTCCGAGAAGTACACTCAGTCAACTCTCCCTACTGGAACTCCCTGAGATCCACTGAGATAGCCCATTCCGCAGAGAGTCGGGTGTTAGGCACACGACCGCTGACAGTGCCCATCTGCCTGCACCGACTTCATCATTGTGCACAGCCCCTGCTTCATATGGTGGTGACTCCTCCCTTGTTCTCTGTCATCCCCTCACCATATTGGCGATAGAGGTTTCTCTTGAACTGATCCCTGTGTGGCCTGTTGTATTGAGTGTGATCCTGCTGATTCTACTGACTCCTATAATAGGACCCATGTTCCTACCAATCACAACAAGTTATGTCATTGAGTCATTGATCCTACTGATCTCACTGATCCCTGTTGGAACTCTACTTTCCTGCTGATTCCACTCCTGTAACAAGACCCATGCTCCTACCAATCACGATGGCATAGGATCTGCGCAGGAAGATCTGAAATGAGGTATGGGGAGTATTGTGTGCTCAAAAATGTGAAATTGACTGGATCACGGGTTTCCAGTTGATTTCACTGACAACAACTGCATCACATGTGTCTGGTTGGTTTTGCTGAAATCAACCAGAATATGACTATCCAGTTGATTTCATCAAACACACTGCAAGAAGCTTCCATCGTTATGGAATGGGCCAATGGACTACAAGGAAGCAACAGGAGACTTGACAGAGAAGGTCTCCATTGTCAAGGGAAAGGACAGGACAACAGGAAAGGTTTCACATGCAAGGAGAGGGTCCAAGTTCAGCCAAGAAGAGGACCAAGCTCAGGAGTACACAGTAGGTTACCACACAGGGGGATGTGCTCACAATCACATGGAACTAGCCACCAGGAAGACCACATGGACAGGAGTGGGACAATAAGGATGGTCACACAGTCAGGGAGAGCCATCAGATAGGGGCCAAGAGAACAGCCATGGATTGAGAGGAGAGGGAGCTGGGCCAAGGGGACTGGCATGGGAAACATGAGGAGGATGGGCAGTGTTGAGAAGATTGACACACAGCTCAAGGGGGAGGAGGAGACAAGAGGAGAACAGGAACACTCCTCAAGAGGGGCAGGGGCAGTATTGCAGGCAACACCCTCCAAACACATAAATACTACTACTTCACCATAGCATACAAGTGGATCCTCATCCACTCTACTCTATATCTTACCTATTCTTTACTTGACTCTAACTTATGTATCATTGCAATAGCAGAGCTTTGCAACAACATCTTGATTGTGTGTGTTGTATCACCATTGGACATCAAACTGTAGGTGGTGTTGCTCAATATCTGTGGTCCAGTCAGTTACTGTAGGCAGTGTCTAACACCTGTGGTCCAGTACCTCCTGTCATCTGTAGGCAATAGGTTTATTGTGGTCCAGACAATGTCAAAAGCATCAAACAGCAGTACTATGAACACACATGCTGTATTAGGAGAGTTGTATCTAATACCACTCTCAACCAATGTGTTATGGATGTGCCACATAGCCTCTGAATGGAGTGTTCAAGGTGGTTAGTTGAAACCTACTATCACTCAACCTTACAGCTTATCTTGTGGAGATCAATCATAAGGGAAGTTTTCTGCACCTTTTGGGGAAATCAGATATATTAGGTTTTTATAACAGTTTTCATGTTTCTGGTGCATGACCACTTACAGTGGGTCATCAGCTTGTAGCTGGAGTCCAATCTCCTTTGCAATTGCAGACTTGTTGGCTCCCTGCACCAGATCATTGCTTTGATTGTCTATGAGGATTTCTGCACAGTCAGTGTGCTCTGAAAGGATGTCAGCTAGATGTTGCTCTTCAGCTCAAGTCCAGTTGCTGCACCTCCTCTTGTGAGCATCAGCTGCTGGTGTTGGTTGACATGCAGGTTGGTGTTCTTGGGTTGCTGACATGATTGCTGCTTGTGGTGTGCTGTGTAGTCAGAAAGGATGTGTGCAGAGATGAATCAAGGTATGTTTGAATCCAGGCTGACCTTTTTTTGCTGCCCAAAATGCAAAATCCAAAATGCAAAATCAGTTGAAGTAGATAAAGCTACACAAAGCGTAGAGACAGTGATGGTAGTGCTTACGGCCGAGTAAAAGGCCTGAGCATCTTAGCACGGACCACATGTGTCACAACCTACTCAAGACAAATGCTTTGTTATGTTCTGCAGTCAATGCGGCTCTCTGCTGCTCTTCTTTTGTATATATATAGACTCCTTCTCTCTCCTTGCTCTCTCGCTCTCTCCCTCTTACCATCATCATCAACAAAACTCCTCAACTCCAACTACTGACAAATGACTTTAACTGATTAAGAGTCTGAAACTCAACGCAATGCTGCCATCGACAAGAGCTGGACAGACAGGAAGGGGCGATGATGATCAAACAACCACAGGCAACGGACAGGAGGAAGGATGGCTCATGCAGGTAGTCAGGATCCTCCAGCTGGCGAACCCAGCACTAACGGCCGAGGAAGCGATCATGCGAGCTATGGGCCTCATCAGCATTAGCAACCAGACCCCGTGCAGGGAGACCAAGAAGATCCCCAAGGAGGTGTCGAGTGCCATTGCGCACATCAAAAAGCTCAGCAACAGCAACTGGCACACTTGGGAACCTACCTTCATCGACTGCCTCCAAAGAGTACATAATGCGAAGGAGATACTGTATGGCACGGTGGTGCCTGGAAACAAGGAATACGATGAAGACTTGGATAAAGCCCTCGTGGGCCTCATCCACGCCTGCTGCAACAACAGTCCAGACAGCCGTATCGACACCTACACCGTCAGGGGAGTGGATGAAGAAGTCCAGCTCGGTAGCACACTCTATGCCAAACTCAAGAAGGCACTAACACTGAACGACGCTGTAAAGCGAGCAGGACTGCAGGATTGTATTCACACAGTGCGCTTGCACAATCGAGACATTGTCAGGCTAGGCAAGGAACTCGATTCGATCTGGAACGATGCGGCACGCCTGGGAAAGCATTTCGACGAGGACCTCAAGAAATCAACTCTCTATCGCTGCACGGCCCAAGATTGGTTCTATGCCAACGCCGTCGACACACTGAAGATGGCCAGACCAGACTGTAAGTATGATGAAGCCTACCACGCACTCGCCAAGAAACAGCAGGATGGTGAGGTCACTGGCCGTATTAGAGGAGCAGCAAGGGTGGCCACAAGCACGGAACAGGTGAGCACCAACCAGGCGGAGCAAGGACCCAGGGGCAGGCGCGATCCTCGCAACCCCTCGGCCCCCCCAAAGTGCTATGCTTGTGGAGGACCTAATCACATTGCTCGGAACTGCATGAACACCAACAATAACCCTGCACCGAGTAGGGACGGACCCACCACCAATCCAGCACAAGAAGCGAGTCGGTAGGAACTCGGGTGCACCCTCCTAGCGATTGGCGGGGATGAGCAACCAACATCGGACACCTGGATCGTCGATTCGGGTGCGACGCACCACATGGTGAACGATGAAAGAATGCTGCTCACCTCGACATGCAAGGACGGTCAGATCCGTATGGCTGGAAATGAAAGGCTTCAAGTGAAGGCCATAGGAGATGCCTCCCTTCGGGTTGGCGATGTAACCATTCAGCTATTGGATGTGCTCTATGTGCCGAAACTTAATTCTAATTTATTATCAGTACAAGGCTTGATCGAGAATGGTGCACGGGTAACTTTCGATGAGTTTGGAACCATCATTAAGCAAAATGACGGCACACAAATACAATACAAGAGGAACAGAAGAAAAGGGCGGTTCGAAGTACAGGGAAAGGCACTAGCCCTGGAGTTGGAAGAGACACTCGACGACGTCCCAGAGGACAACCAGAACACAGGAAAACTAGATAATGCCCCAGAGGGCAATAAGGACACGAAGCATCAAGACAGCTACCTATGGCATGAGAGGTTCGGACACCCAGGACGAGACAAAACGAGACAAATCTGGGCTCATTACCTAGGTACCGATGAGGAAATGGAACATGAGTCGAAGCACTGTAACGTGTGCAGCCAAGGAAAACAGACTCGAGCACGGATGGGCCAATCAGAGTCGGAAAGAATGGAGGCACCATTAGAGCTGGTACATGTAGACCTGATGACAGATTTCAAAGGACATGCCAACTACCACTATGCACTAGTTGCTGTGGACGACTTCTCCTCTCTGATCTACGTGGAACCACTCTGCACAAAGAGTGCCGCACTCACGGCACTGAGGAGGTGGATAGCCAGGATGGAATGGGCAACGGACAGGAAACTCAAAACACTCCGCAGCGACAATGGAGGAGAATGGTGCAGCATAGCAGCCGAAGACTGGCAAACTCAAGAGGGTTTCAAGTGGCAAAAGAGTGTCCCGGGGATCAGCGTCCAAAATGGACGGGCGGAGAGAGCAATCAGGTCGGTCCAAGAAAAGATGCGCTCGATGCTGATTGGTCGAGCTTGCCCCAGAGAGTTGTGGCCATATGCAATCACAGCAGCAGCACACGTGATGAACCTTACCCCGTCAGCCACCAAAACCATCCCCCACGAGGCCTTTTATGGAACCACCGCACACAAGCTGGCCCAGCAGCTGCGAGTCTTCAGATGCTTGGCATGGGTTCATGTTCAACAGAAGGACCAGCAAGGCAAGTACGGGGCTAGAGCAAAGCCAGCCATCATGATTGGGTATGACGATGAACACAAAGCATGGAAGTTTTGCAACCCGGACCAGCCTGCGTCAATTCAATGGAGCAACTCAGCAATGTTCCATGAGGACAAAGGATGGAGTGATCGCCAACAAGAGGCAGTCAGGCCCGTGGTGACCGTGGAGGTCAAGGAGGAAGGTGTCATGCCAGCCATAGTGGAGGAGGAGACCAAATCAGAGGCCACAGTGGAGGATCTCCTACCAGCCGTAGACAGCACAGTAGGCGCCACCAACACAGCAATACTGAACCTGGACCCAACACTTGGGGAAGCAATGAACGGTGAGGACGCCCAGCTCTGGAAGGAGGCAATATGAAAGGAGCTAGAAGGACTCGAGGCAATGGGGACTTGGGAGGTGGTGCACCAACTGCCAGGAGTACCACTTGTGGACTCTAAGGTTGTGCTTCAGCTGAAGCTTGACGCTGATGGTGTACCTGTTAAGCACAAGGCACGACTGGTTGCAAGGGGCTTCACACAGAGAGAGGGGATCGACTACCAAGAAACCTTCTCTCCAGTAGCACCCCTCGGAGCGATCAGAGCCATCTTAGCACTAGCGGTGCAGAACAACTGGGAGGTACATGCTCTGGACATCACTATGGCTTACTTGAACTCCACGTTAAAGGAAGCAATCTACATGAAGCCACCAGAAGGATCAGGAGTAGCACCCGGCAAGGTGTACAAGGTAGTCAAGGGTCTATATGGCCTAAAGCAGTCTGGGCGAGAATGGAATCAGGAGTTCGACAGGTCTTTGTGATGCATGGGATTCTTCCAGGTAGAGTGCACTCCCTGCATCTACACCAAGGGACAGGGTGAAGATATGGCCATTGTGGTCATCTACGTCGATGATACATTAGCCATAGCACCACGGCTGGAAATGGTCCTAAAGGTTAAGAAGCAGATTGGTCAGAGATGGAAGATGGAAGATAGCAGTGAGGTCTCTCACTTCCTGGGCATCAAAATCAGTCGAGACCGTGCGATGCGCACCATGATGATTGGTCAGTCAGGGTACATTGACCAAGTGCTGGCAAAGCACCTGGACAAACATACGAAGCCGACCATGGTTCCAATGCAGAGCATACCAGAGGGAACCCTTGTCGCAAGCGCAGCACAACAGAAGGAGTATCCGGTGATTGTTGGCAAGCTGCTCTGGGTTGCCAACAGCACCTGGCCCGACCTTAGCCTTACCGTGGGTGTTCTTGCTAGGCACATGCATGAACCATCACAGGAGCATTATCAGGCAGCACAAAGGGTCTTACACTACCTCGAAAGCACAAGGCAGGTTGGATTGGTTTATAGGGCAAGTGAGTTGCCAGAGCCACTGGTCGCGCACAGCGATGCAAACTGGGCGAGCGATGCCACCATACAGAGAAGGAGTACATCGGGGTCAGTGGCATTAGTGTACGGGAATCCAGTAGCCTGGAAGTCAGCGACACAAAAATGCGTGTCATTGTCTGCTGTCAAGGCAGAGTTCATTGCAGCCACAGAAGCAACACATGAGGTGCTCTTCCTCAAGCAGCTGCTACGCTCAATTGGCATTGCCACAGGCACACCGACGGTCTACTCGGACAACACTGGTTGCATACAGGTTAGTAAGGACCCAGCACAGCACTGGAAGCTTAAGCACATCGACACCAAGTATCACTTCGTCCGTAACAACGTCCAAGAGGGAAGGGTGCAGATCAAGTACGTAGACACCACAAGAAACTTGGCAGACATACTCACAAAGCCCATTGGGAGACAGGCAATGCAGCAAGCAAGATCTGGGCTACACCTGCAAATACCAGCAGCAGTGTACGAAATGGGGTCCCCGAGCTATGCAACAGTGTTGAAGAACAGAGGTCACACCTTGAAACAACAGCATAATGAACAGGGTACATATACTGTTGAGGGGGGGAGTTGAAGTAGATAAAGCTACACAAAGCGTAGAGACAGTGATGGTAGTGCTTATGGCCGAGTAAAAGGCCTGAGCATCTTAGCACGGACCACATGTGTCACAACCTACTCAAGACAAATGCTTTGTTATGTTCTGCAGTCAATGCGGCTCTCTGCTGCTCTTCTTTTGTATATATATAGACTCCTTCTCTCTCCTCGCTCTCTCGCTCTCTCCCTCTTACCATCATCATCAACAAAACTCCTCAACTCCAACTACTGACAAATGACTTTAACTAAATCCAGGCTGGCTGAACACAGGTGCTGCTTTACTCTAATTTCTTTAGCCTGGCGCGACGACTTGAAGATCCGTAGTTTTTGGAAATAATCAGGCCTACTGTTCTGTTCAGCTGTCACTAATTTAACACGTTTCCACATGGAAATCGCTAAAAATAAGGGGAAAGATTTGGTACAGCAGAGCGCAGTAGGGGGTTTCAGTTATCTCTGAGTTTTGAAAACACAATACTTTGAAAATATGTTTGGGCCCAATTTTTGACACCCCAAGAAACTGCACAGGCCTGTGACATGTGCATCTTGGAGTTTCACTTGACTCGCCTGGTAAAAACAATCTCTGATTCCCTACACCAGGTCAAGATCAAAGTGATCATATCAGACATTGTTGAACACTATACTGAACAATGCCAAAACCTTTGATTGAAAAGCTAAAGCAAATAGCTTAGATCACACCTGTTCTGATCACTGTCTTCTGCGAGCCTCATGCTGTTGGTTTTGTCTCTCCTGCCATTTGGCAAAGGCCAATGTTGTCATTCCCATCCTTTGAGATTCTGCTGTTGTGTCCTCAAAAGGGCAGCCATGAGAAGCAAAGAGTGCAGTGAGCATCTCCTCCCTTAGATCCAGTGCTTTCTCCTGCCTGAACTTCTGGACTCGGTTCTGAGACATGCCCTCCATGGCAGCAGCCTGTTCCTGTTTGTATTGCTGCTGGTTTTCCCTTCGTTGTATCCTTGCATCTTCAGTAGCCTGCTGATATGCTTCCATCCCTGACGTGGTCTCCAGCACCTCAACTTCAGATAGAGTTTCTGATGCCTTAAGGTATTCTGCCACCTCATCTGGTCAATCATAACAGCTTGCGAATGTATGTGCAATGATACAAGCCTGGACCATATGTGCAGCTTTCTTGTGGTCCTCTTCTCGATACAGGTTGCCTCGAAATCCCATGAGACATTGGAAGCGGTTCTTGAGGTAGGCAATGCCATGTTCGGCCTTGACACGAATGCAGGAGAGTGAATAGTTGAAGTAGTGGAGATCTCTGCTCTTTGCAGCTGCAGTGTTGCTGTATGGTCCAACTGTGTAGCTGGAGTAGCCATAACCAGCATCAACCCAGACAAACTCGCCTTCATCAAGATGCAAATGAGGCTTCACAACAATACCACTGCCTGAAGCCCAGACTCACGCATCATGTGATGACCCAGGATGTCCAACCACCAACTCGACAATGCACAAGGAATGAGGGAGGAAGACAAGGGCAATGTTGAATGTATAATCACCCTTGTATGAGTAATGCTCACGAGCATTGAGTGCTGGCTTCCAAGCAAGATTGATGTGTGTACCATCTACCACCAACCATCCTCTAGACCATTCCTCAACTCCACTCTTATCAGCAACCCATGCTTTTGCCTTAGCATGCTCATCCTCAGTTGCAAAGGTTACTACCTCGCTGTTCAGCTTGTATAGGCCTGCAATAGTCCTATCTGTCCACACATGAACTGAGCCCCGACTGCAACCACAGGCAAATGCAACATCACAAACTCCACCACCATTTCCTGACCATCCAAGCCGATATAGACCAACTGCCACTTGCTGCTGAACACACCGAAAGCTTGATATTGATCTGAAGGCATTGGTTGTGCTGAGTCTGTAAGTGAGAGCTTGGAATGCATCTGGGGTCATGTGAACAGCCCCTCGAAAGAGCTTGCAGTTGATGACAGCATATTGATCAAGCATGTTGATGAGGGGATCCTTTCATTGCAGCAGTTGAAGGCATTCAACTGTGTATTGAGACTGGCTGATGATGTTGTAAGTCCTGATGAGCGCGAATGAGATAGCATGATTGAACATGTCATCATCAGAATCTTCAAGGTCATCATTAGGGTGCCAAGTGGCATCGACATCCATCAGATCAAGTTGCATCTTGGATTCCACCATCAATGAGTGCATGATGGTGGTCTCAATGTCGTCCAGGAGGTGCTGTTTGTCGGAAGTGCACACCATGGTTGAAGTAGAGGGCCAGAAATAGGAGAGGATGATGTGGTCCGAAAGAGAGTCCAAAGCTACAAACACAACACAGCTGAGTTCTGCACAGCTGGGTTCTGTGCAGCTGATTTCTGCACAACATGCATGCTCGGAACCGGGGCTACACTGATCAGCATCTTGTATGTGGAACAATTCATCACATTGAAGCAATCTACATTTGAGAGATTACTGTCAGGGGTCTCGCGCCTGAAACCCAGGTCGGTCTGTCGAGATACTCGGTGACTATCAAACTGTGCGACAGCTATTGTCTCGGTATCGGTGACTATCAAATTGTGCAGTGACAGCAGGTGGCGTTCGTGGTATATACTATCGTAGGTTTCGGCTGACCTCTGTGGACACTCCATTCAGGGGTAGCTCGGCACGATCAATATCAATGTTATGATGACACCAAGGTCTGGTGTGAGTGTTGATGATGATGAGGTTGATGGTGTTGGTGATGAGATTGGTGATGTCGATGATAATGAGGTTGATGGTGTTGGTGATAAGGTTGGTGGCGTCAACATGAGTGTCCAGTGTGTTGACTTGATGCTTGAAGTGATCCCCGGACCGCAGTGGACTACTGCCTTCGGTTCTATCTTGATCCAGACTGCTAACCTGCTATGGGCACCTTCGGACATCAGGTAGTGGTGATACAACACACACACTACGATGAGGAGCAACCTTTGATGGATTGCTGCTATGCTGACTGAAACTAATATATACTTATGCTGAAGTGATAACTAGTTATGGTGAGTAGAGTGGATGAGGATCCACTCGACCTATTGATGATGAGAAAGCATGGTTATATACCTCTTCTCAGCATCGCCAGCGATGCTGCTCCTGCTCTCTCTCCAGAGAGTACCTTCTTCATCGAGTACTGCTCAGGGGCCTCTCCTGCTTGGCACCCCTGTGCCTCTTGAGCTGTGTCGACTCCTTCGACACTGCTCCTCCTCCTCATGACCTGATGTCAACTCCTTCGACACTGCTCCTCCTCCTCATGACCTGATGTCGACTCCTTCAACACTGCTCCTCCTCCTCATGACCTGGTGTCGACTCCTTCGACACTGCTCCTCCTCCTTTGATCAGTGTCAGTTCCTTTGGCTCTTGTCTCTCGAGCCCCTGAGTGGTAACCATCTGCATGCTCCTTGAGCTTGGTCCTCTTCGTGGCTGTGCCTGCTCCTTGAGCTTGGTCCTCCTCGTGGCTGTGCTTGGCCCTCCTTTGCATGTGAGTCCATAGGAGTCCATGGTCTCCATGGAGACTGCACTATGACCATGCTCTCTACTGATCTCGACTAGATCTTCGATACCTGTGCTCCTTCCATATGAACCTGTGACCCTCCTGCTTCTTGAGCATCCAGGCCCATGACACTACCCCCTCTTAAGAGCCGAGCTCCGTCGAGGCATGCTCTGGTCTGGTCCATGCTGACTCCTCCTCCTCCTCCTCCTCCTCGACAACATCGCCAACATCATCCTTCCTCCTTTTCTCAACATCATCCTCCTTCCTCTTCCTCTCTCTACTCCTCCTGTTCTCTCCCCCTTTCTCTACTTTGTCTACTCACTCGTCCCCCCTCCGACACCTCATACTCCTGGATGAGGTCGGGACAGTTGAGGTTCTCTACTGGTTCCCATGAAGCAGCTTCCTCTGAGTACCCTCTCCACAACACCTTGTACTCTGTAGTCCCATTGTGTGAACGCTTGTCGATGAGTGCTTCGACTTCGAAGTCGAGGTCCTCATCTGGAAGTGATGGTATGGTGGGCTGTTCAGCACGTTGAGGAAGAGAACTTGTTCTTGCTGGCTTGAGCATGGAGACATGGAACACATCATGCACCCTAAGGTTTGCTGGCAATGTGATTCGATAAGCTCGGCGTCCTACCCGTTCCTGAACTGGGTAGGGTCCTGCAAACCGGGTATCTAACTTGGGTGTGGGTCTCCGTGTCTTCCAGTTATGACGGTTGATATAGACCATATCACCCACCTTAAACTCGATGTCCTTGTGCTTCCTGTTATACTGGTTTACTGATCTATGTTGTGCCTCTCTGATCTGCTCCTGGAGGTACTTGCAATGCTCCTTTCCATCCATGAGGTACTCGAAGCGACCTGGATCATTGACTCCTAGTCGTTGAGGGATGTCAGGATGAGCTTTGGGGTTCCATCCATAGCATGCAAAGAATGGTGAGACACCAATGCTGTTGTGGACCGTGTTGTTGTATACAAAGGCCACAGTGTCCAGCAGGTTGGCCCAGTCATTCTGCTCATAGTTGCAGTACATCCTGAGGTATTGCTCTATGACCTGATTGACTCTCTCTGTCTGACCATCAGTTTGAGGATGGTAAGCCATGCTAAGTGAGTGCTTCACACCCATTTGCTCTGCAAATGCCTTCCATGCTCCTGATATGAACTGCCTGCCTCGGTCCGATACCATGTGATCTGGATATCCAAAGAGTCTAACCATGTGTCCATATAGCAATACTGCAGTCTGTTTGGCCATGACTGTCTTATGGGTTGGAGCTAGTATGGCAAACTTGGTTAACCTGTCGACAATGACTAAAATAGAGTCATAGGTCTTGGAGTCATACTTCTTCGATGGTGGTAGTCCTTCAATGAAGTCGAGGGATATGAAGCCCCAGGGCCTGTCTGGTGTTGCTAGTGGCTGTAGCAAACCATATGGACGATGACGAGGAGCTTTGTACCTAGCACATACAGGACAACTTGCTACATAGTCTGCAATCCAAGCTGTCATGTTTGGCCACCAGTAATGTCGTTGAGCTGCCTTGATGGTAGCATCTCTTCCTACGTGTCCAGCAGTGATACCATCATGGCATTGGGTCATCACCATGAATCGCAGATGCTCTACAGAGAGAGACTGTCCATCTACCTCTTTGGCACTCCTCGAGTGTCGGTTGTTGGTCCTCCCTGGCATGATCACTTTGGGGATAACCAACCTTCCTCCACTGTACCATAGGTCGTCCTTGAGTTCAAAGGGCTTCTTCCTATGTATCTCCTGTAGCTCTTGGTCCAAGGGCTGGAAGATCTTGACCAGGTCTTTGAGACCTTTTGATGTTATGGACTCCATCGAGAGCATAGGGGCCACTAGGGTCGAGTCATGGTCTGCTGTCTCCTTGAACACTCGAGGAGGCAGTAGTTGCCTCACATTGTGATCCTGCTCTTCACCAGCTGGTTGCATGTCTGTCCTTCTGGTGAGAGCATCAGGTTCACCACCTTTGTCTCCTGGTCGATACTGCAATATGAAGTCGAAGTCTGCTAGTAGTATGGCCCATCGAGCCTGTCGACCTGTGATGCATCTCTGTGACTTGAAGTACTTGAGGGCTTCATGGTCAGTGAGGATGACCAGTTGGTTCGGTAGTCCAGCTAGCATGTGTCACCACTGAGTAAGGCAGGCAACCACAGCTAGGAGCTCCTTGTCATGGATTTCATAGTTCTTCTCGGCAGAAGACATCTTCCTAGAGTAGAAGGCCACTGGATGCCATCGTCCTTCATGCTCCTGCTTGAGTACTCCTGCTATAGCAAAGTCACTTGCATCAGTCTCCAACCTTGTTGGAAGATGGTAGTTGAAGTGCTGAAGCACTCCTGCTGATGTGAAGGCCTGGATGAGCTTGTGGAAGGCCTGTTGGGCCTCCTCTGGTAGCTCAAACTTCTTGAACCGTTCTATAGGCTTTACCAGTGCTGTCAAAGGCTTGGCTATGTGAGCAAAGTGGGCTATGAACCTTCGATAGAAGTTGGCAAAACCCAGGAACCTCTGGATGTCATGGATTGACTCTGGCTTTGGCCACTCCTTGACAGTGCGCACCTTTTCTGGGTCCATCTCTATGCCTGTCGGCTTGATGATGTACCCCAGGAACTCGACTGTCTTGGTGTGGAACTCACACTTCGACAGCTTAGCAAAGAGCCTGTTGCTCCTTAAGCGAGTGAGGACCTCAGTGACATGCTTCACATGTGCTTCTTCAGTGTCACTGAAGATCAGGAAGTCATCTAGGTATACTACCACATATATCCCAATGATGTCTCGGAAGATGTCATTGATGAATGACTGGAAGTGAGCTGGAGCATTGGCTAGGCCAAAGGGCATCACTAGGTACTCATAGAGTCCCAACTGAGTGCCAAAAGCTGTCTTCCATTCATCTCCTTTAGCAATCCGGATGAGGTTGTATGCTGCTCTAAGGTCTAGCTTGGTATAGATCCTTGCCTTCCTGAGTAAGAACAGCTGCTCCTCGATGAGGGGCAATGGTGCCCTGTTCTTGACAGTGATCTCGTTGAGACCTCTGTAGTCCACACAGAGTCTGAGACCTCCATCCTTCTTTGGTACGAAGAGCACTGGTGATCGTGCCGGGCTCTTCGATGGTCTTATGAACCCCTTCTTGAGGTTCTCATCCAAGTACCTCCTCAACTCAGACATCTCCTTGGGTCCCTTAAGGTATAGGGGCCCTTGAGGTGGCTTACCTCCTTCTATCAACTTGAGGTGGAGATCATGCTTGGTATGATGGGGCAGCTTGTCTGCTTCCACCTCATCAAACACATCTCACAGGTGTTGGTATGGCTTTGGTATGTCTGCAGCTGTCACCACCTTGTCTACCTCCACCTCCATCTCGACTCCTTTGTCTGCGCCTGTAGGTACAAAACCAAAGGCTGGGAGTGATGATGGTGACTCCTCCAACAGCATGAATCCTATGGGTCCATCTTCTAGAGCTGCTCGTAGTATGTGCTCTGCTGAGACAAACTCGTTACCATGAAGGGTTGGTCTCCTCATGGTTAGATCCCCTGCTCTTGCTGCTTCAGGGGGTCTCCTAGGGGGTTGGTCCTGCTCCTGAGTCTTGAACTCCAGCTGGCCTGTATCCCATTGTATGGTGGGTTTGAGCCTCCGTAGCTCAGTGAACCAGGATGAGGTCATAGTCCGCAGTGTCGGCCACTGAAGCTTCGACCACACCCAGATTGTGTGTACCAATAGATACCTGCATGCTCGCAGAACTATTGATGGAGAGTTGGTGCCTGGTGACACCATGGATCGATCTTGTTTTTATGGGTTTTGTGGGTATTTGGTACTTACTAATGAAAGAATCTGAGACTATGGACAAACCAGCACCGGTATCAGCTAGTATCCGAGCAGGATGGTCTTGAACCATTCCAGAGAGCTCCAGTACTGCTTTGCCTCCACTGGTAGAGAAACATACTTGACAATCTTGATATATACAGAGTGATGGCGAGGAGGTTTGTAGAGCAATGCATGCCATCAGTGCATCACCCCACTGACATTTCCCTCATCGTCATCATCATCATGCTCCTCCTCGTGATCAGGGTCCATGGGTTGCTGGTATGAGCTGAGGTCCATGGCCTCAGGGTCACCCATCTCAGTGCTGCCTGTATGGCCATCTCCTGAGTCGGTGGCCTCCTCGAAGGGGTCTGCTGTGGTGACCATAACCTTTGATCCCATGGGTCGAGAGCTAAGAGGGTCTACCCTCCTGCTGGGGCAGTCTCTGGCCCAATGGCCGATACCTTTGCATACATGACAGGTGTTGATACCTGATGGAGCAGGGCTTCCTTGCTTCGAGGTTTGGGTGGGTTGATGAGGAAGGGGTCGGTTGGTTGGTCTGTTTAGGTTTTGTGTAGTTGCTTGTGTAGTTGCTTGTGCTGGTGATCAAGCTGGATAAGGTTGAGTGGGTTGTCAAATGGGGATCGAACTTTGATTTGGCCGAGACCCAGTTCTTAGTGGAGGTGACGTGGCGTTTGGGAGTGAGTGTCTAGCCGAGGACTGCTGTAGTAGCATCCTCTGTCGATTGATCTCCTCAACCTCTCGATACCACTCCCATCTCTTCCCAGGTGGATTCCTCTTGAACTTCTCCTGTATGCTACGAGTGAGGCTACCTCTGAAGAGATCAATCACTAGCTCATTGTCATCTAGGTTGACCTGTCCCTCCAAGTCTCTGAACCGCTCTACATGACGTGTGGCAGCACCAGGAGCATCACTTGTGAGTCTGAGAGCCAACAGCTTGTTGTATGCCTCCATCCTAGCATTGCGTGGGTTGAACTGCTCTGACAGTCGCTCTGTGAAGTAGTGCCAATCATTGAACAACCTTCCTTCTCTAGCTCTATCAATACGGAGCTTGGAGGTCCACCACTCTCTTGCTGTCCCTTCCAGTTGAGCACCCATGTGATTGATCATCCTAGACTGCTCATACACCTGGTTGAACTTAAACCATGCTTCGGCTTCTAGAATGAAGATCTCCATGTCTCGGGGATTGAACTTTGGAAAGGGGGTGGCGATGGGCTTTGACCAGTTAAGCTCTGCCATGATGCTGGTATCCTCCTCGTGGTCCAGGGGGTAAGGGTCCGTCCTAGTCCTGCTGTAGGGGTCCAGCTTAGTCTTGACATATCTTGGCCCAGTAGGTGAAGCATACTTCTCATAGTTGATGTCCTCCTGCTCATCCAGGTTGAATGAGACTGAACGTCTTGGTCGTGGAGCTGGAGTAGGAGTATGTGGGTCTCCTATCATAGACTCATCTCCTCCTCCTGCTTGGTCTTCTGAGTGAGAGAGGTCCATTGTCTCCTCCCTGCTCAGTTGAGCTCGTTGTAATCGTTCCTCTCGATGACCCTGTCTGGTAAGCTCTAGCTGTGCTTCCAATAGAGTGAGTAGTCTATCGAGCTTATTGTTGAGGTCTGGGTCTGTCATGGTGATCGTGAGGAGCTGCTTGAACGATCCACTCTAATGTCAGGGGTCTCGCGCCTGAAACCCAGGTCGGTCTGTCGAGATACTCGGTGACTATCAAACTGTGCGACAGCTATTGTCTCAGTATCGGTGACTATCAAATTATGCAGTTACAGCTGGTGGCGTTCGTGGTATATACTATCGTAGGTTTCGGCTGACCTCTGTGGACACTCCGTTCAGGGGTAGCTCGGCATGATCAATATCAATGTTATGATGACACCAAGGTCTGGTGTGAGTGTTGATGATGATGAGGTTGATGGTGTTGGTGATGAGATTGGTGATGTCGATGATAATGAGGTTGATGGTGTTGGTGATAAGGTTGGTGGCGTCAACACAAGTGTCCAGTGTGTTGACTTGATGCTTGAAGTGATCCCCAGACCACAGTGGACTACTGCCTTCGGTTCTATCTTGATCTGGACTGCTAACCTGCTATGGGCGCCTTCGGACGTCAGGTAGTGGTGATACAACACACACACTACAATGAGGAGCAACCTTTGATGGATTGCTGCTATGCTGACTGAAACTAATATATACTTATGCTGAAGTGATAACTAGTTATGGTGAGTAGAGTGGATGAGGATCCACTCGACCTATTGATGATGAGAAAGCATGGTTATATACCTCTTCTCAGCATCGCCAGCGATGCTGCTCCTGCTCTCTCTCCAGAGAGTACCTTCTTCATCGAGTACTGCTCAGGGGCCTCTCCTGCTTGGCACCCCTGTGCCTCTTGAGCTGTGTCGACTCCTTCGACACTGCTCCTCCTCCTCATGACCTGATGTCAACTCCTTCGACACTGCTCCTCCTCCTCATGACCTGATGTCGACTCCTTCAACACTGCTCCTCCTCCTCATGACCTGGTGTCGACTCCTTCGACACTGCTCCTCCTCCTTTGATCAGTGTCAGTTCCTTTGGCTCTTGTCTCTCGAGCCCCTGAGTGGTAACCATCTGCATGCTCCTTGAGCTTGGTCCTCTTCGTGGCTGTGCCTGCTCCTTGAGCTTGGTCCTCCTCATGGCTGTGCTTGGCCCTCCTTTGCATGTGAGTCCATAGGAGTCCATGGTCTCCATGGAGACTGCACTATGACCATGCTCTCTACTGATCTCAACTAGATCTTCGATACCTGTGCTCCTTCCATATGAACCCGTGACCCTCCTGCTTCTTGAGCATCCAGGCCCATGACAATTACATGGAAGACTGGGTATGGGGTATGCTAGTCATACATATTGAGAGCTAGCTTTACAGAGAGCAATGGTACAACAAGTCGGAAACACAGGAACAGAACTTGGAGAACTCAAAAGGAACACCATTCTTGCCAAATGGTCTACTCACAAGCTGAATCGCTATTGTCCTGCTGATCCATGGCAAGAACCAGTGGGTCAAGATCAAGATTGCTTTGACTACTTCCAGCAATGTTGCCAAAGGGTAGATTAGGGTTCATCATCTGCACCATCTCCATGAGCCAACCATGCTCTTCAGTTTGCATGCACTCTTGTCTCTCACTTTCTTCCCTGGCAAATTGAATGCACATTTCCTCCCTCTTCATGCATTCCTCCTCAACCTTGATTCGTGCCTGAAGCATGTCTTGGGTGCAGGCCTGCACAATTTCTGACAGCTCTTCTCACTTGCTCTTGGAAGTGAAGGGTCGAGACTTCTTGGGTGTTGTACCTGTGGCTGGAGAATGGTAAACAGAGTCACCATCACCATTGTCCACTTCATCAGCCTCAAAAGTGGTGCTGGATGAGCGCTGGTGGGTTGGAGTGTCTATAGGGGTAATGGTGAAGGGGGTGGGGCCAATCGAAGATGGGTTGGATGAGGAAGAGAAGGGCGAGTGGGATGAAGATGAAGCAGCAGCTGGGGTGGCTGCAACCAAAGAAGAAAAAGATGAGATAACTCTTGCTCCAATGGGATCATTTTGCAACTCCTCAAGAATGGATTCCATGCCAGGAATGTTGCATTGCTGAGGGTAGTGAGCATCGCTGGCATCATTCATGTTCACATCAGCATCAACCGAGTTATTCTGAGAGGAGGCAGGGGTGGCATCATATGGGTGGCCAGTGAGAAGAACAACTGGACCAGTCTGTGCACAGTTGGTCATCATCTTGTGCCAGTGCTCAAACCAAGGGCAGCTTTGAGCAATTGATTTGCATGTGGCATAGTCCTGCAAGTTGATAAAGAAGCATAGACAGAGATATAAAGTATAAGAATGTTGGCACACTTAACATGAATCAACTAAGTTGTACTTACCAAGCTGTTGTGATCCATGTCTTGAAGAAGTACTCCAGCACCAGTCTGCTGCGAGATGGTCTTCTTGATGTTGTTGTATTGTTCAGTGAGCCAGTGAATCTTAGTCTTTACTCGACCAGCACCACCAACAGTAGACTCGTCTGGGAACAGCTCCTGCCATATCTGCCTGCAGATAACATCTTTGTTTGTCTTCAGACCCTTTTCCTGTTCCACAGTCAAACGTCCTGGCAATAGAACACATTGGTAATGATCATTATTGTAGATGATATCAACGAGGTTATTTATGTTGCTAGGCAACCAATTGAAGTAGGCAATATGATCTGTTTTGTTGAACCTGCTGCCACGAGTACTGGCTTGATGTCTGCAAGTTGCAGAGATTCAAGTTGGCCGGGTAGAGGTTTGGCGAGGCAAAGAACCAGCAGATGTGGTGGCATTGGAACCAGAAGGAGTGGAGGAGGACAAAGGGGAAGCAGGAGAGGTTGCTGGCTGAGTCGACTCAGCCCCAGCCAAGGTGCTGGAAGTTGCAGAAGGGTGGTGCTGACGAGAGCAATCAAGGTTGGACTGAGCTGACATTATTGTGTTGTGCTGTGAAGCAGTTGAAGACTGCTCTGATGCTGGAGCCAATCCAGAGGCTCGCTGCAAAGCTGTGAATAGTGTAATGTTGTTGATATGGTTGTGAGGGGATGGCATGTCCATGTCCTGGCACTGACAGGGAGGAAATGCTACTGGAGATGGTGATAGAAGTGAAGCAAGGACAGACATAACTCAAAGCATGAGAAAGTGTAGACAGTGCAGAAAGTGGAGGTCAAGGGTTGTGCACAGAATTGTGTTAGAATCACGTGATATCAGCACATGACAAAAACTCCTGCTGAAAACTCAAATATTCAGAAACCTGGGCTCACGGCAAAAATAAGTAGGGGTTTTCAAAACTTCCGAGCTTTTCTTTCCTGGCAGAGCTTACTTAAGCAGCAAGCTTTCAAAATCCAAAAAAACCATGAAAACTCGGAGTTTTGAAAACTCAGAGAAAACTGAAACCCCCTAGTCTCAAAATTACACTTGCTCAGCGAGACAGAGAAAGAGGGATATAGACTGACACGCACACACACACACGTGCTGGCTGGAAACTGTGTGTGGTGTGTGTGTGTGTGTGTGTGCGTGTGTGTGTGTGTGTCTCTCTCTCTCTCTCGTCCGAGTGTGACTTTTTCTTCTTCTTCTTCTAATCTTCCAGATTTGCCAAGTGACACGCAGACCTTCTCATCGCATTCTCAACTCAACTCGATTCACTTGATACCTCACCTCCATCCTACTTCACCTCACCTCGCCTCACCTTCAGCGCTTTGTCTTTCCATCCTTTCTCCAGCTCAGCTTCGTCATAACGGGTTCATCCACGGTCTCTTTCGCTGTTCGATCCTGTCGTACCACACTCGCTTCAGGCTTTTGGGAGAACACTTCGAACTCTCGTCGGATCGATTGTCGACTTGCTCACCCGTTGCGATCTTCATTCGCCGGACTCGTCCGCCGCTGACAACGCAGTCACTGCAGCCTCACCCCCCTCCTGACCATCAGCTAGACCTGCCACGGCACTAGGATCACGCATCAGCACCACCTTCCCTTTTCCTCTTCGCACACTACTTGCGTCCGACCTTGACCAGGTCGTAGCAGCTGAGAGATCGAAAGACGAATCGAAGCTCGATTGCTCGTCTTCTTTGAGGCCTTCACACCTGCCAAGTCGCAGGTCATTTGGCACTCCCGGCCAACTCGTGTCACTTAGCACGCTCACATATCGACAGAGCTGCACACACACTCTCTAGGTCGATTTGAGCTTCTTTTTTTTTCTTCTTTTTTTCTTTCTCTCTCTCTCTCTCTCTCTCTCTCTCTCTCACAGCCGATATACCTATCGGCAGCTGAGCATTGGCATCTCTATACATTTCCTCAGCCATGTCATCAAATTGGCAGCCCTCCCAAGAGGGGCTCACCGAGCTCGTCCAGCTCTTTCGAGACTCGCAGAGCCCTCAGATGGATGTGCAAGAGAGAATCGCTCAGGTACGTCTTGCCCAATCCCCGCTGCTTTCATCATTGCGACATTGCACGCCTTTGTCATGGTCTTTTCATACTAACCACCTTCTCCTACTTCTGTTCCAATTCCAATGTCCTCGCTGCTTCCTTCCAACAGCGCCTTGATACCGTCGGCCAGATCCCAGATTACGCAAATTATTGTGTCTTCACCTTGACATCTCTCACGACCGAAGACCTTGCGACCCGTTCCGTCGCAGGTCTCATCCTCAAGAACCACATTCTCTTCCACAATGACCTCATCTCGCCCGAATCCTTCGAATATGTCAAGCAGGCCATCATCCCCGCTCTCAGCTTGCCCGAAGACATGCTCCGTCGCACAGCTACCCAAGTCGTCTCCATGCTCATGACCATCCTCACCCCACAAGGTTGGCCAGAAGGTCTCTCCAAGCTCGGCGAACTCATGGCTTCTCAAAACATCGACGAAGCAGAAGGTGCCTTTAGCTCGTTAGCCAAGATCTGCGAAGATATCCCACGCGAGCTCGAACTCTGCGAACTCAACGGTGTCAAGCCTATCGACATTCTCATCCCCAAATTCATTCAGGCTACTCAGCACAACGATCCACGCCTCCGAATGCACGCGCTCAACTGTCTCAACCAATTCGTCCAGATCGGTTCGGCCGCGTTGCAAAACCACATCGATACTTTCCTGGCTGCTCTCTTCAAGCGTGCCAGTGACGAAAGCGCCAATGTCCGCAGATACGTCTGTCAGGCTTTGGTGCTCATCCTAGGTGTTCGACCAGATAAGCTCATTCCAGAGATGGACAACCTCGTCGAATACATGCTCTACTCAACCCAGGACAAGGACGACGATGTCTCGTTGGAAGCATGCGAGTTCTGGCTTCAGTTTGCCGAAGAACCTTCGCTCAAAGACAAGCTTCGTCCTTATCTTTCCAAAGTCGCACCCGTCTTGCTCAAAGGAATGGTCTACAACGAGCTCGACCTGCTCATGCTTGGTGGTGATGAGGATGATGCCGCTGTGCCAGATCGTGCGGAAGATATCAAGCCAAGACATTACGGTGGTGGTACACATAGAAATGAGCATCTTGACGATGCTGCTGCCAATGGAGGCGCATCCGGTACGGGCAAGTCGCGAGCTGCGATTGAGGCACAGGATGATGACGAGGATGACTACGACGAGGATGAAGACGATGAAGAAGACGACGATGGTATTTCCGATTGGAACTTGCGCAAGTGTTCAGCAGCAGCTCTCGATGTGATGGCAGTCAACTTTGGCGACGAGCTTCTGGAGATCCTCTTGCCTTACTTGAAAGAGAGGCTGTTCAGCCAAGATTGGTTGCAGCGTGAATGCGGTATCCTTGCTCTCGGTGCCATCGCCGAGGGATGCATTGCTGGCATTCAGCCTCACTTGCCAACTTTGGTGCCCTTCTTGATCAATAGTCTGAAGGACTCGAAACCTCTCGTTCGTTCCATCACCTGCTGGACACTTGGTCGCTATTCGAGTTGGTGTGTTGCAGCCGAGACTCCTGAACATCAGCAGCAGTTTTTCGTTCCCGCCATGGAAGGTTTGCTCAACATGGTACTCGATAACAACAAACGTGTTCAGGAAGCCGGTTGTAGTGCCTTTGCGACGCTCGAAGAAGAAGCAGGTCGAAATCTGGAACCTTTCCTGGAACCAGTACTCAAGACTCTCGTATTTGCCTTTGACAAATACCAGCAAAAGAACCTACTTATACTCTACGACGCCTTGGGAACTCTTGCCGACTCGGTTGGCTCTGCATTGAATCGTCCAGAATACGTCGAAATCGTCATGCCACCATTGATCGCCAAATGGCAAGGGTTGCACGATACAGACCCGGATCTGATCCCTTTACTCGAATGCATGTCATCCGTGACCATTGCAGTTGGACCTGGATTCCTCCCCTACTCTCCCCCCGTTTTCCAACGTTGCGTTGGTATTGTGCATGACAATCTGGCCGCAGCGGAAGCAGAATCCCAAAAACCAGCAATGGAACAAGACATACCCGATCGAACCTTTATCATTGTCGCTCTCGACCTTCTTAGTGGTTTGACACAAGGTCTCAACACAGCAGTGAGAGATCTTGTTGCTGGCTCCCAACCATCGCTCTTACCTCTATTGGGACATTGCATCACCAACGTCGAAGCACCCGTCCGGCAATCTGCATACGCACTGTTGGGTGATTTGGCAATTTCCTGCTTCGACCTACTCAAACCATTCCTACCGCAACTCATGCCGGAGTTGATAAGACAAATCGAACCGGAACCGAAGATCGAGAACGTCTCGGTATGCAACAATGCTGCTTGGGCTGCCGGGGAGATTGCATTGCAGTATGGATCCTCGGATCCTGAACTGGCACAGTGGGTTGAGGAGCTTGTTAAGCGTCTTGTGCCCGTGCTTTTGTCGACGAAATCGGTCAAGTCGCTTTCCGAGAATGCCGCGGTGACGATTGGGCGTTTAGGCTTGGTCCAGCCGGGATTGGTAGCACCGCATTTGCATGTGTTTATTGAGTCTTGGTGTCAAGCTCTATGGGACATTAAAGATAACGATGAGAAGGATTCCGCCTTCAGGGGCTTGTGCGAGATGATTCAGGTCAACCCAAACGGTGCTGCCAAGGGATTTGTTTATTTCTGTAACGCGGTGGTACGATGGAGCACTCCAAGTGCAGAGTTGAACGAGATGTTTGGCAAGATCTTGACCGGTTTCAGGGAGATGAGTGGAGATGAGTGGGAGGTTCAGAAACAACAGTTTCCTCCCGTCATTGTCCAGAGGTTGGCTGATCGGTATGGGTTGTAAGACTCCCGCCAAGTTGATTTTGTCGGCATAAGCGCTTGCGTTGGTAGCATTTCCTTTGGTGACAGTGCAGTTGCAAACAACAGGCAATATGTTTCTCAACAAAGCTTTGTCATTCTTGGTCTGTGTATGAGATCGGATCTGATGGCGTGAGATCATGTACTGTAGTCATACATCTGATAAGATTTGACCAAGCCATGCGGGTGGCACTGGATTCCAAGGCTCAGACTGAAATCGGTATCACTTCCTTCCGGTAACACTTCCTTCTCTTGCCAACGACGCCATCTGCATCATCCTGCCAGACTGTCGATACTCCCAAAAGGGAGCTATATAAAAGCATCGGTCACCTGCCACGACCCGTGCTCCTAAACCACGTGACGCGTCTGTGGGATTAATAAGCATGAGCTCAGCAACTGGCCGCCCGAGGCACCCACTAGGCTGATGGGTCTGTCTGAATTAGATAAGCACAACAATTACCTAAGCATAAAAAAATGCATCTAACACAGCCACCTTCCAATGCCTGCAACACCAATGCCATCACCATCACCATTGCCACCTTCCCAGATGACTGCCTCCCTCCCAAATGCTATTTTGAGCCTCAAGAAGCCTTATTTGAGTCAATCAATTCATGGGCTAAGCCAAGAGGCTATGCTTTTACCACTCAAAGGTCAATGAAGGAGAAGAATGGTACTAGGACAGTTATCTACACATGCAATCAAGCTTGCAACCCTCCTAACAGCTTAGTGGAGCATTGGAGAAAAACAACAACTTGAAAAACAAATTGCCCTCTCTTGGTTATTGCAAAAGAGATGACTGATAGCAGCTGGGCACTGAAGCATTGTCCTGATCAATGCTTTGCTATACACAACCATGAGCCAAGCCAGCACCCATTGGCCCACCCAGTCCACCAGCAACTCTCTGGAGGCATGTCACAACTTGCAAGCTTATTGAATGCTGGAATCTTGCTGAAGGAGATTCAGACACTTGTACAGCAGAGCAGCTTGCTAGCTACATGGCAAGATATCTACAACTGGATTGCAGATATATGTCAAGGTACTTGTGAAGGCCAAAGCCCAATCCATGTGCTAGCCAATCAACTCAATAAGGAGGGCTTTTGGAGCCAAATTCAATTTGCACCAGATGGCCAGGTTACAGCAGTCCTTTTTGTGCATCCCAACTCTCTCAGCTATCTTTGAGCATACCCTAACCTCCTCCTCCTCAATTGTACATACAAGACAAACAAATATGGGATGCCTCTCCTCAATATGATTGGTGTCAATGTGGCTCAGCAGTTGTTCTGTATTGCATTTGCATTCCTCAGCAGTGAGGCAGAAGAAGATTACACCCTGGGCTCTAGAGCAGTTGCAATTGCTATATGAGCAATGTAATGCTGCCCTCCCATCTGTTATTCTAACAGATTGGTGTCTTGCACTTATGAATGCAGCTTTGACTCTTTTTCCCTCTGCTGCAACACTCCTTTGCCTTTGGCATGCAATCAAGGCAGTCCTTGCCTGATGCCAGCCAGCATTTTCAGAGGCTGAGAAGTGGAAGGAGTTCTATAACTCCTGTCACTTGATCATCAACTTGCCAACCAAGGAAGAGTATACCAAATGCATTGATGAGTTCCAGCAGAAGTACATTCCAGAGCACCTTGAAGAAGTTGGCTATATCAAGGCTATGTGGCTTGTTCCATTCAAGGAGAAGCTTGTATGTGCTTGGGCTGACCAGTTGACTCATTTTGGCAATACAGCTACCTTGTGAGTAGAGGGAATTCACACACTCCTTAAGTCATACTTGAAGAGATCAACATTTGACCTTTTTGAGACCTGGAAAGCAATCTGCCTTGCCCTCCTCAACCAACTCTCTGAGTTACAGTCAATACAGGCAAAACAACAGATCTGAATGCCTCTTGAGCTTTCAGGGACTCTATACAGAGTTGTATGAGGATGGGTATCTCATGAGTCATTAAGGAAGGTTGAGGAGCAATGGAAGTTACTGGTGAAGAGCAATCCCCCTCCATCTCCAATTTGTACAGGCACTTTCTCTTGAGTCTATGGGCTCCCATGCTTACACACATTAGATGCTCATCGAGACAAGGCTCTTCTACTCAGCCATTTCCACCTGCACTGGCATTTGAGGTGGAATGGGTCACCACAGTTGCTTCTTGAGCCTTGCCAATGCATTGAGCCAATTCAAGCTCAGAGCATACTCCCAAGGTTGAGTACTAAGCAGGAACCCAGTCAGTTTGAAGTGGTTGAGGCCCAGGCAGTATGTCCATGTTGAGCTCCAAGCCAGTGCACCAAGTGTAATGTGATTGGCCACACAAGGACCTTGAAGGCATGCCCCTTATGCTATTCAGATATACTATAGGTAGTTAACTTATTCTGTTGGCATTGGTGTTGTGCATGTGGGAAGGTAGCTGTGTTAAATGCATTTTTTGGTGCTTAGATAATGGTTGTGCTTATCTAATTCAGAAGGACCCGTCAGCCTAGTGGGAGCCGCCGCCCAAGGAAGGACAGTCATCATTAGTAAGCAATATATGCTACACGAGTAAAGCACGCCAAGACGGGATGAGCGACGATATATAGCGGCTACGGTATCCTGTTTCTCGTACAACTTGCTTCCAATCGTATCCCACCTTTCTTCCCACCATTCAAAAAGGGCATGGGATTCAACAAGAAACTCGTCGTAGCAGGTCTAGCAGTCGGTGTTACAGCCTACATGCTTTATAAAGCCTCTAAGAAACATCAACAACAACAACAACAACAACAACAACAACAACAACAACAACTCGCTCACGCATCCCCTTGCCACCACCAACAGTCTTACTCGGCCGCACCCATGTCTTCGTCTGGCTCCAACTCTCATGCCTCTTCCTGGGCTGGTGCTGCTGTCGGTGGAGCTGCATATGCTCACCACCATCACCAACAGCAGCTTGCACATCCTAATCCTGACGCCAACTCGGTTGTTGCTGCAGCGAACAACCCCAACCTTGGATGGGATTCGCTTCGTGATTGGAAGCATATCGCCAACTTGCTTGCGACGTGTGTCATGGATCAGTATCTGTATGCCTTCTATAGGTTTGCTGATGTAGCGAGGATCGCTCAGGATATTGCTAGTTCCGGTGCACTGGCACAGTGTGCGGATAGTTGGCAGTTGCCTCCGTATCTCGCCCAGGATTTGGTCAAACTGGCGTTGTTCGATGTGATGTTTTTGCTGGATGACTCGGCGAGTATGCGATCCGAGGGTACACGTCGACGAGACGCTCTTGCAGGCATTCTCAAGAGAGCAGCGGACGCAGCAGCAAGGTTCGACCCGGACGGAATGGAAGCTGCTTGGATGAACTCGTCTGTTCAAACGCGCATTCATAATGTCGCCGAAGCAGACCAACTCACCTCGCAATGCGCTTACGACGGTCGAGCAACCCCGATGGGCGCTTCACTCGAGAGCAAAATCATCCAGCCTCTCGTCCTCACCCCTGCCACCCAAGATAGACTTTCAAAACCAGCTTTCGTACTCGTCATCACCGATGGTCGACCCACAGGCCAGACCGAAAGGGGAGAAAAAATCGTCAAAGTTCTCCAACACGCCAAACGTACGCTCGCCTCCACCCGTTACGGAGAAGATGCGATCTCATTCCAGATTGCAGCTGTTGGCAACGATCGTGAAGCCCAAGAATGGCTCGATGGCATCGACAACGATCCCAACGTAGGAGACTTGATCGATGTTTGTTCTGATATCGCCGTCGAGTCTCATCAAGTCCAGAAGAGCACTGGCGTGGAGCTCACCCAGGAACTCTACTGTCTCAAGCTTTTGCTCGGTCCCATCGATACGAGTTACGATGCTAGTGACGAAGATGCCAAAGAAACTCGCTTCAATGTTAAAGCTAGGAGGAGGGCGGAGAAGAAGCAATTGGACAAGATGGAAAAGGAGAATAGGTTTAGAGGTCAAATGGAAGCATTCAAGAGGGAGAGGGATGCGGCTTTGCAAGGAGCAAGTCCCTTGCCTAGTGCTGGTGGTGCGCTGCCTCCGCAACAGGTGGATGAGGGGTTGAGCGGGTATAGTCATCAGCCTTCTTATCCCGGGTCGCAAGTGCAGGCGCAAGGTGGATATCCGGGTTCGGGTGGAGGATATCCGGTACCAGGTGGGTATCAGCCATATGGGGCCAACTCTTGGGCTGCTCCCCCTCCCTATGCTAACCCGTATGGAACGGCACCACAGCCAGGATACGGGCAGAGAGATGCTACTGCTGATGGAGGAGGATCGAGTTACGCTTCTCCTCCCTCCGTAGCTCCTCCCCCCGTAGTTCCTCCCCCTGGAGCTCCTTCTGCAGGTGGTGGTGATGGTGCGTTTGTTCCTGGTGCGGGTGGATTCGCTATGCCTAACCCACACGTCAGTGGCGGTGAACAAATGTATGGACGGCAGCAGCAACCTGGCGGTGCGCCATTTGCGTTCCCGCAGGCTCGACCTTCGGCTTAGTAATTGATACCTCTTGAATGAATGATACCTTTGCACTGCAACGTATCGTCTTGTTTCCATTCCTCCTATTGCAGTGTATTCTCATTCGGAAATCATATTTCGCTCGAGCGTCGCAAGCAAGAGAAGCATGTTTGAGACTATGTTGTTTGAGACTGTGTTGTTTGAGACTGTGTTGTTTGAGACTGTGTTGTTTGAGAAGAACTAAAAGTACGGATCGCTTCGGGTATAGGAATGCCAGAACAGCAGCAAGTATAGAAGGGCCATCGATTCAAATCTTGCCGATCTTCTCCTTCACCGCCTGCAATCGACGGAGGAGCTGCCTGCGTCTCTCATCCCATCCATCATCAAACTTATCAATCTTTTCATCCACTTGATCTTCCTGTTGATTCAACTTATCTTCTTGCTCCGGCAACGTTTTCCCGGGCAAAAAGTACAATGCATATCCTCCCGCATCTCCTGCCGCTGAAGTCGAAGTAGGAATCTCGGGTGCCAACCTCTCCGCTCTCTTCCTACCGCTAACGGCAGAGGTTGTTGGGGGAGTGAACAAAAAACTAGCCATCCTTCTCTTCAACCCCCTCAAAGTCTTTCTCTGCGCATCGCCAGATGCAATTTGCTCGGCAATACCTCTCGCTTCCCATACAAGATCCTTTTTGCGTTCGGTCGCAGAGAGGACAGAGTCGGTCTGTTTGAGTTTGGTTGCTAGACGAGCTTCTATTTCTGCTCGACGTTGAGCGGCGCTGGTGGAACGGGTGGATTCGGATTCAGCTTTGAACTGGGTGAGCGTGGATGTTAGCATTCCGAATAGACGTTGGCCGCGACGTTTGACGGCTGGCTCTGGGGGTGGACGGGAGCGCTTCGTTGGGGGATATGCGTCCACCGCATGGGGGGGTGGGGAGGTGGAGGTGGTGTTCGATTCTTCGGGGACGGGGGAGACGGATGGGCTGCGTTTGGTGCCTCTACACGATGAGGGGCGGCGAGCGGGGGAGCGAGGTGAGATTGGGGCTGATGTCGAGGTTGATCCTGTTGCTGCTGGCTGTGATGGGTCTTTCGCAGAGGTAAGCGTGTCGTGAGGAGACTCGGGTGACCTTGTCGTCGGTGCTCGCGGGGAGGAGGGACCTGCTTGGGACATCTTTCTGCCTTGCTCTTCTTCCATCCTGATTGACTTTGCAGAAGGACTACGACGTTCTCAGCTGTCCACCAAGGTGATGATGGTGTTGAGCAGTAAGAAGCAAATCAAAACAGCGCTTTACAAGGGTCCAAGCGTCTCCCGACTTCCGAGAAACTCGACTCGATCTAACATGCTTTAGATCTAACATGTTTTAGATCTAACATGCCTAGGATCTAACATGCTTTAGATCTAACATGCTTAGGATCTAACATGTTTTAGATCTAACATGCTTAAGAAATAGCCAGACTTTCTGGCGGGGCTGCGTTTTAAGCTCTGCTCTGCTCTGCTCTTCTTCTTCTCAACACCATCATACTTGACTCAACAATCTTTCGACGCATCCGCAAACCCAGAAACATCATTCGACTAAGCACAGACGGAGTAGGAGTACTATCTCGGTGGGTCAAAGATCAGGAGCCGTCATCTTCTCCTTGTGTCCTATCTTCTACCGGCGCTTGGATCTCTCTGCAGTGATTGGTACTTTTTCCATGTCAGAATAGAAGTCCAGAAACAGACGGAGACATGGCCAAAATGGACGACTTTGACGACTTTGTCGGGCCCACTTCAGGTCGCGCACATGCCTCCTCCCAACAACAGCAACACCACCAAACCGATCCGTTCGCCGATTTCCACCAATCCCACGACGACAGCTTTGGCAGTCTCGGCGTCAATCAACACCAACAGCAAAGAACGAGAGGATCAGCTTCGGGCCCATCACATGTCCTCGTTGATGCAGACGATCCTGATTTGATGGGAGACGACGATTTTGATGATTTTCGTCGAGGTTCATCTCGCAATCAGGCTTACCCTCCCACTTCTTCCAGTTCTGCGCGGTACAACGATCCATTCGCTACATCAACTCTCTCTTTCGACCAACATGATACCGCCATGGGTCTCGACGCTCCTAGACCTAACTTTGGTAGACACATGCAAGGCAGTATAGACTCTGGCCTTCCATTAGCAGCCAGCGCACAGACACCGGCCGGCTACGAACACGGTCACAGCACAGAAGGCCCTTTTGCCGATGCGTATGCTGCTAGACATAGCTTCAAGAGTATCGAAGCCGATGATGAGATCTCGCCTATGGATGATGGCAAGTATCTGCCTTTTGGTGCAGGTCCGGCTGCTTCTGGTGCTCCACCTGGCAGAGGCAGCGCAACAAGAGGGTCAGCTGTTCCAGGAGCAGGTCCTACTTCCGGTGCCAGTCGCAGACCACCCCGCGATGGCCTGCTAGATGGCTTGAAGAGGAGTATGAGGACACTCAAAGCCGACGTTGATACTGTGCTGCGTCGACGCAGGCAACAAGAGAAACGAGAAGGAGATCGTATCGTCCAACTCAACGATCCGCTTGCCAACGACAAGAGCGATTTCCTCGACAACTACGTCAGCACTTCCAAGTACAACGTCCTCACTTTTGTGCCCAAGTTCCTCGTCGAGCAGTTCAGCAAGTATGCAAATGTCTTCTTCTTGTTCACTTCTTGCATTCAGCAAATTCCAGGTGTTTCGCCCACTAACAGATGGACTACCATCGTCCCTCTGGCACTCGTATTGCTTGCATCGGCCTTCAAGGAGATCAAAGAGGATATCAAGAGGCATCAGTCCGACTCGGAGCTCAATGCGCGTATCTCGCATGTCCTTGACCCTGGCACGGGCTCCTTCGAGCCTCGCAGATGGAGACACATGCGCGTGGGTGACATTGTGAGAGTGGAGAACAACGAGTTCTTCCCCGCTGATCTCGTACTGCTTTCCAGTTCGGAACCTGAAGGTCTCTGCTATATCGAGACAGCCAACTTGGATGGGGAAACCAATCTCAAGATCAAGCAAGCTTTGCCCGACACGGCGAAACTCACTAGTTCCAGTGCAGCGTCCACTCTCCGCGGCAATCTTAGCTCAGAACAGCCAAACAACAGTCTCTATACTTTCGACGCTACACTCAACATCCAGCTCAGCTCCACGCCTGGCTTCAGCGGCACACCGATGCGCAAAGCTCCACTCAGCCCGGAACAACTGTTGCTACGAGGTGCACAGCTACGAAACACACCTTGGGTCTACGGTCTCGTCGTCTTCACAGGTCACGAAACCAAGTTGATGCGAAATGCGACTGCAGCACCCATCAAGCGCACCGCCGTCGAAAAGCAGGTCAACGTGCAGATCTTGTTTCTTTTCATCTTGCTTCTCGCGCTCTCCATTGCTTCTTCGATCGGTGCTATTGTGCGCAACACCGCCTACGCATCAGAAATGAAGTATCTCTTGCTCAACGAGCAAGGCAAGGGAAAAGCAAGACAGTTTATCGAAGATATCTTGACCTTTGTCATCGCCTACAACAACTTGATTCCCATCTCGCTCATTGTCACGGTGGAAGTGGTCAAGTATCAGCAGGCCATGTTGATCAATTCGGATTTGGACATGTACTATGCGCCTACCGATACTCCTGCGCTTTGCAGAACGAGTAGTTTGGTGGAGGAGCTGGGTCAGATTGATTACATCTTCTCCGATAAGACGGGTACGTTGACGAGGAACGAGATGGAGTTCAAGATGGCTAGTATCGGTGGTATCTCGTTCACTGATGTTATTGATGAGAGTAAGCAAGGTACAGGTGAGATTGGACCAGATGGTAGAGAGATCGGTGGTCAGCGAACTTGGCATGAACTCAAAGCGATCATGGATGGTCGCACCCCGGATGATGGTAGTAGTGCTGTGATCGAGGAGTTCCTTACACTTCTAGCCGTTTGTCACACCGTCATTCCAGAGCGAAAGGGCGATAAGGTCATCTTTCAGGCTTCCAGTCCTGATGAAGCTGCTCTTGTCGCAGGTGCCGAGTCACTCGGTTACCAGTTTACCACCCGCAAACCTCGTTCCGTGTTCGTCAACATTCGCGGCGTCGAACGAGAATGGGAGGTTCTCAACGTATGCGAGTTCAACTCGACGCGTAAACGTATGTCCACCGTCGTCCGTTGTCCCGACGGCAAGATCAAGCTGTACTGCAAAGGAGCAGATACCGTCGTTCTTACTCGTCTTTCCGAAAATCAGCCTTTTACGGATCAAACGATGATCCATCTGGAAGATTATGCCACCGAAGGCTTGCGAACTTTGTGCATTGCCATGCGCGAGGTTAGCGAGCAAGAGTATCGTCAATGGTCGAAAATCTACGATCAAGCTGCAGCAACAATCCAGAATAGAGGAGAAGCGTTGGATAAGGCAGCCGAGATGATCGAGCAGAATCTGTTGTTGCTAGGTGCAACGGCTATTGAGGATAAGCTGCAGGATGGTGTGCCGGATACGATCCATACGCTGCAATCGGCAGGCATTAAGATTTGGGTTTTGACCGGCGACAGGCAGGAGACGGCGATTAATATTGGCTTGTCGTGTAGGTTGATCAGTGAATCGATGAATTTGCTTATCATTAACGAGGAGAATCTGCATGATACGGCCGAGGTGCTGAATAAGAGATTGCTGGCCATCAAGAATCAGCGCAATACGGTCGGGGTAGAGCAGGAGGAAATGGCGCTAGTCATCGATGGCAAATCGCTCACTTTTGCTTTGGATAAGCAACTTTCAAAGGTGTTTTTGGAGTTGGCAGTGCTGTGTAAAGCGGTCATCTGCTGTCGAGTTTCGCCGTTGCAAAAGGCGTTGGTGGTGAAGTTGGTCAAGAAGAACTTGTCTTGTTTACTACTTGCCATTGGAGATGGAGCCAACGACGTTTCGATGATTCAAGCAGCCCATGTTGGCGTGGGTATTTCCGGCGTGGAAGGTCTTCAAGCAGCCAGATCGGCGGATGTAGCCATCTCGCAATTCCGATACCTTCGTAAGCTTCTTCTCGTTCATGGAAGTTGGTCTTATGCGAGGTTGAGCAAGATGATTCTTTACTCTTTCTATAAGAACATTACGTTGTACATGACCTTGTTTTGGTATTCCTTCCAAAACTCGTTCTCGGGTCAGGTGGCCTTCGAATCTTGGACTCTCTCGTTCTACAACGTCATCTTCACCGTGCTTCCACCTCTGGTCATCGGCATCTTCGACCAATTCCTCTCAGCAAGAATGTTGGATAGATACCCGCAGCTGTACGGCCAGGTGTACTTTGATAAGACAAGGTTTTGGGGATGGACAGCCAACGCATTCTTCCATTCTCTCATCACCTATCTCTTTGTGACGATCATCTTCTGGGGCTCTCCACAGTTGAGCGATGGATGTGCAAGCTACAGCTGGATCTGGGGAACGACACTGTTCATGGTCGTCCTCCTCACCGTCCTGGGCAAAGCTGCACTTATCTCCGACCTTTGGACTAAATACACCTTTGCTGCTATCCCGGGCTCGTTCGTGTTCACGATCGCTTTGCTTGCTATCTACGCGCTCATCGCCCCGAGACTAGGGTTTAGCAAAGAGTACGATGGCATCCTCGGCCCTCTGTACGGATTCAGCGGCTTTTGGCTATCCATCTTGGTCGTACCGACGGTCTGTTTAGCGAGGGACTTTTGCTGGAAGTATTGGAAGAGAACGTATAGGCCGGAAAGCTATCATATCGTGCAAGAGGTGCAGAAGTATAATCTGCAAGACTACAGGCCGAGGATGGATCAGTTTCAGAAAGCAATTAGAAAGGTAAGGGCGGTACAGAGGATGAGGAGAACGAGAGGCTTTGCATTTAGTCAGACCGAAGGATCCGCCGATCTGATTCGCAAGTACGATACTACGATTGCCAAAGCTAGTGGGCAGTAGAGGGTGAGGAAGGGGGAGGAGGGGGGGGGGGGGGCAGGGGATATGTACCATTGGCCTTGAGAATACAGAGTTTTGATGATTGTAAAGTGTATGAATGTTAAGTTTGAGCTTTTGATGCGGCGCCGGCACGTGAGCAAACACGTCGCGAAATTGGACCCTGTTTGGGAGTGGTGTGTGTTGTTTAGAGGCAAATTTCATATCAAAGTGGAGGAATTGCCGTCTTGCGCTCCTCGACGCTTTGGGATGGGAGATATCTGTTTGCTTGGACTGCATTCAGCTTGACCTTGACTAACACCAACCACTGTGGTGTTGAAGATGGACATCTCATTTGCCGCCTAATCAAGAAGCACAACCCCGGACGTTGATCTCCAATCTCCGTCCTCGCGTCCCACAGGCACCGCATCGACTCATCCACACCTCCCACAACCACCATCCCAGACCCCTCTTTCGTCCAGCAAAGTGAAGCTATAGTGCGCGAGGCAAAGATGATGTCCGAACTCTCCTTGGACACCTCGGCGCTCGACGCTACACCCCCTGCGGAATCTCGTCGAATCTTGATCCCCGCCATCGCCCACGCTGACTTGTCTAGCCCCACTTGTGCAAGTGCAGGATTTCATAAGCTCAAGTTGGAGAATGTTGGCCTGTCGGGGGAATTAGCACTTACAGTGGAGGAGATTAAGAGGTTGAACCATGAAAATCAGTCGTTGCGGATGCAACTCTCTTCTTCCACTTGCTCCAGTTGTAGAGCTTCCGTGGTGGCAGGAGAAGGGGAGCAGAAATTCAGTGCAGAGGTTAAGAGTGCTAGAAGACTGCTGCACAGATTAGCGACTTTGATCGCCGCACAAGATCCGCTCACAACTCCATCCGAAGAGGCCGAGGTCGGCGAGGAATGGAAATCCTTCAACCTCGATCAAAGCCTCTACCCTGATGCAGAACGGTCTTTTATTAGCCCCACCACCCTAGTGCTCTCAACACCGAACAAAACCCAGGTGGCAAGAAGTATCAACTCGGATCTATTGGACGACGTCGAATCGGTTCGTAGTGCTTGGGAGGAGTCGGCTCGAAAACACTCTTTCGTTGCCACCGAACAGAAGATAGCTCTTGAAAATCTTACTACCATCAACCAACACCTCGCTTCGCAACTCAGCAAAAAACACAGCGAATGGCAGGCAAAGCTACAAGCCAAAGAAAAACAATTCAGCACAGTCCAAGAGAAGTTAGACCAAACCCAACTCGAACAACGCCTACCACAGCAAGCCGCAGCGACAAAATCACAAGCTAGAATCGAAGGCCTTGAACTTGAGATTCAAGAAATGCAAGCTCAATCCATGCCCAACGAACATGTTCTGCAGCTTCAAGCACAACTGACAGAAGCCAACAAACAAATCGAATCGCTTCAAGCCACACCCGTGCCACTGCCGACTTGGACGATGGAGGATGCTGAGATGAAAGCTCTCCGATTGCAAGTCACACAGTCAGCAGAGCGTGTTGGTGAGTTGCAAGCACAACTAGACTCGACACGTTCCCAACTGTCCTCTGCCAGAAGACAAGTCGAGGAGTCAGGTGCACGAGTCGCAACCCTCGAGCTTAGACTGGAGCAGCGTAATGCCAAGGCCGCTGATCTTCAGAGCATCTTTGCAGAGTTGCAAGCCAAGAAAGATCGTCTGCATTCGATCCAGATGCATACCTCTCAGATTTCGGCACTGGAACGGGTGGTTGTGCAGCAAGAGAGGATTGTTGATTTGGTGAACAGGTCGACGCAATTAGCTGAGGTGCGGGTGGAGTGCAAGGTGTATGCGCAGGAATTGCGTGCTTCTTTGGCCATGTTGAAGGGTGGGATGGTGGTGGAGAAGGAGGTGCAGAGGCTTGACGCTAGCACTTCTACCGATGCCATCATGCTCGACGAATTAGAAAAGGAAGAAGAGCATGAGGAAAAGGAGGCCCTGATCAAGAAGCTGGAGCAATCGGAAGCAAGAGTGCTAAGAAGAAACGAACAAATCGGCTCGCTTCAACGTCAACTCAAGAATGTCGAGATGGATCTGGCTAGGACTAGGACAAATCGGGTGGTGGCTGAAGAGATGGTGGCGGATTTGGGCGCTGAAAGGTCGGAGCATCTTTCTCTGATTAAAGAGCTGGAGGGTCAGATCGCTTCGTCGCAGTCTTCTGCTCCTGCTCACACTCAAGTGCAGGAGACGCAAACGACGGAGCAAGGAGAGAGGGTGGCGGAGCTGCAATCTGCGCTCACTGCCGCTGAATCCCGTATTGCCGATCTCACCTCGGTACTCGAAACTCTTCAAGCGAGCCACACGGCCCTGCAATCCCAAAAGTGCCAACTGGAGGACCAAATCTCCACCCTCACCTCTCAAGTGCAAAAGCTGCGATCCACGCTCTCCACCACAACCACCCAAGCAGCCGAAGCTGAGTCAGAACTCGCCATGCTCAGCACAAACTTTCGCAAAGCCCAAGAAAGACTCTCCTCCACCACTTCACAGCTCGACTGTGTTCAACTTGCACTTGCCGAACAACGCGAATCGTCTTCATTGGACTCGGATCGAATCGAGTGTCTCGAGACGCAGCTTTCTGCTCTTGAATCTGAGCACGACGCTCTCCTCGTCTCCTCAGCGGCGGACAAGGCAAGTTGCTCAGAGCTTCACTTGCAGATCAGGGCAATACAAACCGAGCTTCGCACCTCTACCGCAAAGCTAGCTGAACTGCAAGCCGAACAGCAAAGCAAGGCAGCAGTAGAAGCAGAGCTGGTAGAGCTCAGATCTAAACACGCTGAGCTAGAGAAAGTATCAGCCGAACGAGATGCTGCCATTGCTGTTCGCAACACCGAATACTGGAATCTCAAAGAAGAGCTTGCTGAACTGCAGGAACAAGCCGAACGTTCTCTTGCTTCTCCTCTTATCACACCGCAGGCTCTTGCCGAGTTACAGTCTCGATTGACATGGCAGGAGAATGCTCTGCTGAAGTTCAAGTCGGATCTTTCTGCTGCTCGAAGTACTGAAGAGTTTTTGAATGAGCAGTACAGCGCCGCTCAGAGGAGAGTTAGGGATCTTGAAGATTCTCTTGCTACCCAGAGTCCCCTTGAGGACACAGAAGCAAAGGAAAAGCTGAAAGCAATGGAAGAGGAGATCAAATATCTGCAAGAAAGAGTTGGCCAGTTGGAGCAAGAGCTGGGTCGGAAAGCGGAAGAAGTAGAAGAGGCTGATAGTAAGATTCTAGATGCGTTGAAAGAGAGTAAGAAGTTTGCCACTCGATATAGCAAGTTAAGTGGCAAATACGAGGTACTCCAGAAGGAGAAGAAGCAAGAAGAGCTCAAGAGGGTTGAGGTTGAGGAACAGCTTGCTAGGGTAAAGTTGCAGGCCAAGTCTCAGGTCCATGGAGTCGAGGTGGTTCGTAGCAATTCCCGATCAACCCTAGCTGGTAGAAAGCGAGCCAAACCAGACTCAGAAGAACAAGATGAGGCGAGAGAAGCACAAGAAGCTGCTATTACCCCCTCGAGCACTGCTACAGGTGGTGTGCCAGTCAAGGCTATATTTGCTCCCTCGCCCAACGCCGCCAACTCAGGAAGAACACCGAGTTCGTTCACCCCAATCCGAAGAACAGCGCTCTCCAAGTCAGCTTCTCGTTCGACTACTAAACATACCCCGATCGTAATTGCCACTGGCCTCGGTCTCGGAACACCTTGCACTACCAACATCAACACGAGCGCAACGCAGCAAGAGGGTGGGATGGTTAGGAGTACTTCAAATCCATCCGAACTCATTGCAGCCCGTTTACTCCATTCACCTGGAAAACGTTTGTTGAGTGATAAAACCAACACGGCCAAGAATGGCGGTTCGGGAACAAGCAGGTTGAGTTCAAAACCGGCGACCCTTGGAGGCCAAGTGTTGGTCAAGCCGGTAACTACACTCCTACCGAGTGAGGGGGAAAGGGAGAGGAGAAAGGAGAAAGAAGCAGGGGAGAGAAAGAAGATCTCCATGCCAGTACTTGCGAGTGCTGGAGCAGGAGCAGGAGCAGGAGCAGGAGCAGGAGCAGGGGGAGGAGCAGGAGCAGGGGGAGGAGCAGGGGGAGGAGCAGGAGCAGCGGATTTCTTAGCAAAGATGAAAGCTCAACGTGCTGCTCGTACCTGAACCCAAACGCTCGTCTCGTTCTCACATTACAATCGTATCATACTCGCTCATGTTCTTCTATCATCCATATCGTTATTGCATCAATCGCATACAATCGTTCCACTCTCATCCCCATCGCTACCTCTTTGTCTCGCCTAAAGGATTGTGTGAAAGGATCAATAATAAGCTCCTTGACCAGCATAGGCAACCCTCCCGCCTCCCCCATCACCACTTGTCGCCTCCCCACTGCCACCACCATCCATGCCCACCAAGTTGCGTCTCGCAGGATGTTGGTCACCCAACAAATGCATCTCCTCTCTACTCAAGCCTTCCCCACCTCTTCCCCTATACCCTTGGCTACCGGGACCCCACTCTGGACTCGGCAAACTATATTTCTTGACCAACAGAGCTGCCCTTCCCGCTGGAACTTTGGCTTGCACTTCAGCTGCTGGCGGGATTGGTTGGAAGGACACTGTATCGTTGAGCTTTTTGTAGCTTTGTAACCAGTGTTCGACGGTGGCGAGTTCTTGGTCCACTACTCCGCGGTCACCTGTTTTCCCGCGCTTTTTGGTTGGGAGGAGGGTGGAGGAAGAGATGGAAATGTTGCATAAAGAGGAGGTGAGGTTGCGCAGGGTAGCGGAGGAAAGAATCGAGGTCGAGAGGGAAAGCAAGGTGATAGCAGTGCCGATTTTGTTGGAGGATTCAGCGGCATCGATACCGAGCCATTTGTAGGCTATTGCTCGATGGAATTGTGAGGAGAAGGAGAGGTATTTTAGCAGGGAGGAGGTGATTTCGAGTTCCGAATTAGAGCTGGTGGTGGTTGATGGGGCGGAATAGAACCCCGCTCCCCCTCCTCCCGCTCCCCCTCTTCCTCCCCCTCCTGCTGGTGATGGTGATGGAGATGGTGATGGTGATGGGGCATCGTTCTTTCCTTTGTGGCCCAACTTGAATTTGCCAAAGAGCTTTCTCTTCCCTACCCCACCTCCCCCTCCTCCTCCTCCCGCACCACCTTCCTCGGCATCACCAAGACCCATACGAGCGATCGCATCATTAGTCTCACTTATCCGACTGGACAATTCATGTTCATAATTGGCACTTAACCCGGCCTCTCCCCCTCCTCCCGCTCCCGCGGCCTTCCTCCCCCCTACACCAGCCTTTTTGGCTTTGGATCTACCTCTTTCCCGCACAGTCCGCATCAAAGCCAAAGAAGCCTCCATCTCCTCCACGACAGACAAATGTAACTTGGCCAACAAACTTGCACTCGGATGACCCTTCTGCAAGGGTGGTCCTGGAGTAACTCTATCGACACTTGAAGCGAGACTGGGAGATACTAACTTACGAATTGCCAATGCCTGTGCTTCTGCCAAACAAACTTTGCTCAACGCCAACGTTGCTTCTTGAGTCAAATCTGGTGGCAAAACTTCCACTGATCCTACCGAGACTTTCCATTTTGGTAACAACTCTGTGCTGAGCAATAAAAGGATACCTGAAGCACGACAGAGAGTGTCTGCTGCCCATCGTAGTTTATCATCCTTGTCTTTTCTTTGTTGCCAAGAAAGCGAGCGATTTGTTTCGAAGGAGCCTAAACCATCTACTGCAGAAGCAGCCAAGTTGGATAAAGTAAGCGAATACGTTAGCAGCGTCGATGCAAGTTCGTAATACAAGCCAGGAAGTTGCATTCGGCCTGCACCACCCAAACGGGAGCAAGATATCCATGTACGCCAAGAAAAGACTGGCTCGTATCGAAGGAGGAGATCATCCGTTTGAACCGAGTTGAACACTCCTAGTAGATGCGGTAGATATTCTTCGATTCTTTTAATGATCGACAACCAATCCGTATTTCCAACGGCTCCATCCTTACACTCTGATTGACTAGATGAAGTAGCAGAGGAGGAGAAGAGGATGGAAGTGGCAGCACGATTTTCCTTCAATACCGCTCCAAGTCGTGCTCGCAATTGTGTAGTTTGTGAAACCTGTGAAACGAGATCAGTTGTAACGAGAAAGTCGGAGAATGAGATTCTTCCCGTTGTGGCTAGGTCGTAGATGTACATTCCGACGGCGACGAGAGTGTCCGAGGAGAGTGTCCCACGATGACAACCAAGTTCGAGAATGATAGTGGTGGTGATCTCAAGAGAAAAGAAGAGGGATCATGTCGTGTTCAAGACCAAGGTGCCAAGCATTGCAGCTCAGCAAGATTTACAACAGCCGCCACAGACTTGCCCACAATGACGTCCTTCTTGAAGCAGTTCGCCAAGACTTGCGCTTGGACCATCAGTATGCTCACTCTGTTCGACACACCAAAATGCAGCATGCCACTCTTGTATCTTGTATCTGCAGTCAAGTGTGAGGTGCGGGTAAGGAATGCAATGCTATGCCATTTCAAGGAATGCCTGCTCAAAGAGTGTGTGTGATGCTCGAGACGGCCTACATGGCTCTACTCATCTCGACGTTTTCCCCTTCTTGATCTTCTTCTCCCTCGCTGCGGGCCGTCTGTTGTGTGCTTGAACGGTGTATGCGCATCCCCATACTAGAATGACTGGCATTACTCTCAGCTTCGCGACTGTCCACTGCGTCCATGTTGAGATCTTCTTCATCATCGTCGTCCATCTCTCCAACCATCACTTCCTCGTCATCCTCTTCGTCCGGCCCAGATCCATCCATCATCTCAACACCACCACGCTGTGATCTTGCTCCCAGACTTTCAAGTGTGTGCGAAGGCTGCATCCTGTCCATGCGTTCTTCTTCATCTTCAAGAGCGCTTGTGACCAGTGCCTCGTCTAGCACCTCAGCAGGTGTGATGCGGCTAAAGGTGACCGGCAATGCTGTTGTAGCAGATCGTCGGCGCATTCCAGGACGTGGTGGCAAGGGATCAAAGGCTGATGATCCAACCCTTGCTTTGCCCTCTGCATTGCTCTCTTTCTCGGCGAAAGACGACACTGTGGCGCTCTGACTCTGTCTAGGCGACGTCGGATGTGAAGGTGGTGTTCGTAATCCGAACACACCCGACGAGTCGGTTTGCGTAAGAATGCGCTGTCCAGCAAGACTGGTGGTCCGGTCCATCAATGTTGGCCCCCGTGGCGATCTCCCCAAGGTCGGCAGTCGAGGCAATGTCGCCGCTTCGTATCGCCAAGAGCCGGGCCTGGACCTGTGCATGAACTCATTGTTGCTAGCAGCCAAATAGACTGGTGCTTCAGTCCAAGAAGAGTTTGACTCGCGCGCCTGATCCTCGTCCACAGTCCCAAGGGCCTTGGATGTCTGCAAATTGGAACAAGCTGGCTCGGCCCTCTGAACAGCTTCCGCTGCAGCAGCTGCATCGCTTGACGGATCTTCGTCGATCTCACCCACAACCGACATTCTTCCTGGGTAACGCGGTAGATCTTCACCCTCGTCTGCCAATCGTGATCCATCGTCGCGGAAGAGTTGCGCATAAGCAGGCAAAAGAGGCTCAGCAAATGTCGCTGGCAGGGCTGAGCTTTGCTGTGAATCAGTTGCATCCGATGCTGCCGCTGCAGAGGCCACAGCTCCTCGGACTTGGTCAGCGGTGATCGCTTCACCAGTAGCCGCAGATCGCCCACCGTCAGGCACGAGGCTGACAGGACCAAACTGCTCTTGCACCTCCTTTGGAGGCGCTTCGGTGAAACGCACTGGTACACACATGACCAGAGCCTGCGCCCACTCTTCGCCGTCCTGAGCCGTAGCAACATTCGACTTCATCCCAAAGCCGAGCTTGACTTTGAGCTTGTGTCGGACTCGCACGTAAGGGCTTTCAAAGTCAGGCATGAGTTGCGCACTGCCAGCCTTGCGAGCCGCATCCACGTCGCTAGGTACCAAGGGAAGATTGATGGTCATACGAACGCGACCCTTTGTAAGGTCCACCCCTTGACCATCATCACCTGCAAAAGCATAGGTAGCACGCAGACTCGCTGTCGCCGCTCCGTTGCTGGCAGATGATCCGGCACTAAGAGCTGCTCGAACGTCTTGGCTACTACCGTGGGTCGACGACGTTGACGGCTCCATGGGCTGCTCCAGCATCGAGCTGGCGAAAGTCGACAATCGACTGATTGCGGTCTCGAAGCGGCTCCTCCTAGGTGCTGGGCGATTTGCCGATCTTGTAGCAGTCACACTCGAGCTGACGCCCATCCTCGTAGCAGCAGACGACGACGACGACGACGATGCTGCTGCGGTCTCTCGATCACGAGACGAGCTCTCCGGCCTATCCCACCGGTCCAGGCTGTTGTCTTCGTCCGAGTTAGAACGCGCGGGAACTCGAAGTTGCTGTGAGCCAGCTTGGGAAGACGAATTTGTTGGTGTCTCGTCAGACTCTGCAGCGTCCGCGCCACTGGCGTCGACTGTGTTGCTGAGTCCTGCTGTCACCGTTGTTTCCCTCACGCCAATGTCGAACGGGATTGGTCGCCGGCTACGGCTAGGCGCGTTGGGCGATGAGCTGAACCCCGAAAGTGCAGCTGCAGTATTTGCACGAGGAGCACGCTGTATCCTGTTGGAGCCATCTGAGCCCTGGAACGCTTGTCTGAGAGACGAGCTGCTGGAGTTGTTGCAAGGTGCCAAAGCACGCGGCAGCGGTTGCATCACGCTTGCATGCGAGCTTGAGTTGACTGGTGCAGTGGGAGCAAAGGCAGCTCTGAGACTGCTTATACCGGCGCTCTGTGAAGTGCCATCAGGAGTATGAGTGCCGGAGCCTGCAGGACTGTCTCGCGTTGGGCTTCTTGCGAACCCGCTCGACCCTCGGGCGAGACTGTTGTTGATATTGACCCTTGTCTTGCCCTTTCGTGCCTTGTCTGAGTCTTGCTTGTTTGCCTCCTCTCCTGGCTTGCCAAGGGGAAAGGGCGGTGGCCCGACAATGGTGGTGCGAATGCGCTCGACATTGTGCTCGACTGGATGAGGCGCTTTCCCCTGGTTTGCGAGCGAGATATGGCTCAGAATCAGGGAGCGATCGTAGCTCTGACGAAGACGCATCTCGGCTGCTGCGGCTTGTGCATCGTCAGAGGCGACTGGCGTCTTTCGTGTAGACGTCACTACAGGCAGGTCAGCTGCGTCGACGCGGTTGGGTGGTGGCGGAAGAGGGAAAGTAGCACAGAAGGAGCGCGAGGGCATAGAGCTGTGCCTTTCGGTCTGCAGACACACCAACTCCATGTCCTTGAGCCGCAGTCCACCCCATTTGCGCAGGGCATCCCAGCCTTCTGTCCTGCCGACTTCAATCTGGATGCCGAAGCTGAGCACGTCGCTCTTGGGACCAGCAACGTGAACATGTGATGGCAGTGAGAGGGTCAGAGAAAAGTTGAGCCCGCCAGCAGCGTCCTTGTCTGGCGTCACACCAAGCTCAGGAGGCAGTTGCAAGGTGGGACGATGGACAAAGTGTCGCAGTGGCGCGGAAGATCGGCCGAGGGATGCTGACCTGGAGGATGTGCGTGGAGGCGAGTTGGCATTGCCAAAGCGGGAGTCAAAGAGAGACGAGGCGCGGCTCATCGAGCTTGGCAAGTTGGGCAGCGTTGCTGAAGGTGTCAGGCTTGACGCCGCGGCGGCGAGCTTGGCTGGATCTCTGGGTGCATCGAAAGCACTTGGGGCAGGTGGCATGATCACGTTTGGCTCTGCGCGCTCTGCCTGTCCCCAGTTGGTTGGATATGCATCAATCCTGGGAGATGGCGCAAGGGCTGGCGGAGCAGATGTGGCAGCAGCAGCGTCGGTGGAGTTGAGGGCCTCGCTCGCACTAGCATTGGGCGACAGTGAGCCACTCTCAGCACAAGGTTGAGCAACAGATGTCGGCGCGGCATGACCAACCTGGGATTGGCGATGAGCGGCTAGAGATGCGAGTGAAACAGGTGCGGAAACGGAAGCAGAAATGTGAGGGCGATTGGTAACGGCTGAGAGCGAGGAGGTGACAGCATCGGGCATCTCCTGGAGTCTGGCGAGAGCTACGATGCTCTGTGAAAGGGAAGGTGGAAGACCATCTGCGCGCAACACTTGACTTGCAGTTGCTAGCCTAGCGAGCCTTGCAACAGGCACTGGCACAACATCTCTGCAGCGCCTCACCAGGATAGCGAGACATGCACTCTTGATGGAATGCTTACCGTTCGGAAGAAGCTGATTAGAGGCTTCGGATGTCTTGGTGAAAAGTGGGTCGCTTTCGCCAGGTAGGGGCGAGGCAGTCTCCTTTGAGGCCGAGGCGGATGGGCGGCAGCTGCTACTGTGAGAGCGGGCCTGATCGGCGTCCGGACCTGTGGATTTCCTAGAGGTCCTAAGCTGAAGCTGTTTTGCTGTCTTGTTGAGCCAGGTGTTCTTGGACTTGCTTCGACTGCTCTTTCGCTCCAATGTGTTCTTGCTGATGACTGGCTCGACGAGCTCAGACTGGAGCGAGTGCGCCAGGTGCATCGCCAAAGGTTGACTGGACCCACTGTCAGAACCAAGGGCATTGAAAGCTGAGAAAGCCGAAAGAATGGCTTGACCCTCGACGATAGCCGTTGCTTGAAGACAGTAGAATGTTGCTCCGAAACGCGAACGTTGGGAGGCTGGCAACCAACCGGGGATGGAGAGGTCGAACTCAGTCTCGTACTTGAGCGACTGCTTGTTAATGTGGCACTGCGCTGCCTTGGTGGCAGGATCGTCGGTTGGAGAGGTGGCGCGCTCTTCTGTGCTCGTCTGGAGGAGCTCGACAGGGCATGAGAAGCCTTGTGGCTGAAGGAGCTCCTGAGATAGTTCTGCCAACTTGATGGCGTTGAATCTTCCTGTCGCATCGACGTAGAGAGAATAGCCGATGAAACGTACTGTCAGCGCCTCGACATGAACTGTAGGACGATCGGTGGTTGTGCCATGAGGTGCGAGCGCGGCAGCAGCAGCAGAGAGGCGTGGAAGGTTGAGTTTAGGCACTTGGACAACGACGGTGCCGGCCAGAGAGTAGTTGGAGCTAGACTGCATCGAGCCGAACATTGTGAGACGATCGAGAATAGGCTCGACACTGACATTTACGTGCTCACAGAGATCGACCTTGCTTGGCGGAAGCGTCTTGGCACGAGCGGCAGCCGCTTCAAGCCTGAGCTGTCGACTAGCTTGAACCAGAGGAATGGATGCGGGAGGCCGTTGAGCAGCTGGAGTGGAACGAGGTAGGTGTTCTGCCGAAAGACTAGCCTGTGCCAACTGGAGGGATGATGCGGCGGTTGAGTCGGCGACGAGGAAGTTGAGCATGCTCATGCAACGTTCTGCGCGAGCTTGGACCTGCTCGGGAGAGGTGGGTGAATCGAGCTCGTCAGTGATGTCGCGAGCTGCGGTTCGAGGAAGTGAACGCGGATCCGGCAGGTCAGGAAGGAGGGTTAGGCGAGCAGGCGATCTCCTGCCGAGGCTAGAGAAGCGCTGCGGAGAGGTGGCATAGGCAGAGGTGGCATAGGCAGAGGTGGCATAGGTGGAGGCGGAGGTGGATCGTGGGAGCTCTGAATCGACGAGATTGTCCTGCGATGCCGATGCGTGAAAGAGCTTGATAGGCGGCAAGTGTGATGGCTGTGTTGGAGCGGCCTCTGGGAGAGGGATGGTAGTGCTGTCGTCAGGCTGGTTGATCATGTGCGTAGCGCCAGAGTGAATGCTTGCCTCTGTTACAATGCAAGGTACAATGATAGGTGTCGGAATCGCAGAGGGATCGCGACTGCATGGCGGCGCAAGATGCAAAGGTAAGACCTCTCTTGCAGACGAGGAGGAAGGTGGGTGAGCGCTGCTCTGAGCTTGCATCTCCAGAGGACTTTGTGAGTTGGTAGAGGCATCGAGGAGATGGCCTGGAGTCGACTGGGCTGTGGTGGTGGCGGAGTCTGGTGTGAAAGGGGTGCTCGTCAATTCTGGACTCTGAGCGCCATCCTGAAGCTGTGTCTGTGCTGGTTCAAAGGCGGCATGCATGGAAGGAGGCGAAGGCTGACCTGAAATGGCGGCAAAGTGGATGCTCTTGGCATTCGCGGAAGAGCAGGTGGAGGAGGATCGTTGCACAAGCTCTATGGGTGAAGGTGATAAAGTGTTTGGTGGTGAGGAGCGGCCATGGTGAAGGCAGCGTCGCTCCGCCTCGGTTTGCGATGGGTGATGGGTGCGAGATGAAGACTGAATCTGTTGACAAGGAGATGAGATGGCGGTGCGCGTATCGCCGTGTCGCTTCATTTGCTCGGCATGATTGGAGGAACCACTGTCAGCAGTTTGGAGAGTGCGGATGCTTTGGTGAGATGTGCTTGGGGCGGCCATGGGCAGTGAGTGAGTGTGCTTGTGGGAAATGGCACTGGAAGCTTGTGGTCTGGTAATGATCGGAGCGAGCGGAGGTGAAGTTGTCCAGCTCGACTTGCCGAGCTTGTGATGATGATCATCCTTGGACTTGAGCATAGCGCCGAAAAGCGAGGATCGGCGTGACTTGAAGCTAGGCTTGGCTCTGAGCTTGGGATCGTGAGGATTGTGTTGGCGGTGATGGTTGGCCACAAATCGGATCGCTGGATGAATCGAAGCAGTCTCCCTTTCGCGGCGGGACGAGTGCGGGATTGCGTCAGCACTCGAGCTGGAGCGAGTTGAGGAGCATGCCACCGCAGCGGATTGCGATGGTGGAGGTGGATTGGCCGCTTGCATCATGTCTTGTGCCACGGGTCAAAGGAAGCAAGAAACTCTACTTGATGTGCGTCCTTCTTGCCCCGACGGTGAATTCCATGTGAGAGGGAGATGGTGGCAGAGGCAAGGTGGTGGCAGAGGTTGCGGTCGAATGGCCAGCAAGTGGTGCTTGAAGGTGAGAGAAGTAGGTATTTGCGCAGTCAGCAGTGCTCGTCTGCTTGGTACGGCGATGGCCTCGCTCCGAGTAACGAGGGCCTCGTGCCAAGGTCAAAGCGAGAGAGAGAGAGAGAGAAAGAGAGAGAGAGAAAGAGGTCAGAGTGGACAAGATAGTGACAAGAATGACGGCAAGACAAAGGGCCAAGTGACAGGGCCAAGTGACAGGGCGATGCTTTGAAACCTCAAGACAAGGATGAAGCCAAGCAGGTGCGTGCGTCATGGCCAAGCACCTCATTGTCACTACCCCAACAGATAGCGAGGAGATGGTGTTCATCTCTCGCTCTTAACCACCAAGCCTACACAGCCAATTGCTTGCGTAGCCAACAGTGCCAACTCCTTCCAGAATGTAATCACCCTCCCAATCTCAAGCACAGAAGCCTCTCTGAGATCCTTGTGACAAAGAACACAATCAAACCCTCTCTTATTGCCCTTAACCACACATACCAAAAGGAGCTGCCAACTTGAGCAAGAATGTTCATTTGCCTAACTCCACTGACTTGCCAGCCATGGCCATTACAATGCCAGCAGCATACCTACCTGAGCCTCCAGGCAAGCAGTCAGAGGTTCACAAATCACACCAGGCTCCAGTGCAGAGGTCAAGAGGTTGGTCCATATTTTTCTACAGAGCTGTGGCTGTGGTTGTCACATATCACTGCAAGCAGTCAGTGCACCAGTGTCCATGCCCTTGGATGGTAGCATCATCAGCCTTTCTTTGCAAGGAATGCCCAGAATATCCCAGGGGTGATATGCTGCAAGGGGTGAGGCAGCAGGACAGGCTGTCAGGAAACACACTTTGGGCAAACAGGAGGCTATCATCAAGAGCAAAGAGTGGAGCAGGGGATGAGCAGCCTTGGCAGATGACTGTCAGGGGTTGCACACCTGAAACCCAAAATCTGTAGTAAAAAAGACAACTACTACTGAATCTAGCAAGATCTGTGGTAAAAGCCCTTTATTATTATTCTTGCTGAAATCTGTCATAAAAGCCTTCTATGACTTTTCTCACTCAAATATGTGGTTGCTTGAAAGTTATCACAGGTTTCGACTAACTGCTGTGGACACTCTGTCTAGAGGTAGCTTGGATGTAAGCAGTTGCATGCCTGAAACCAGATTGGATGCTTCCAGTTGATTTTGGTGAGATCAACTGGGTACACCTTATTTGTTATGTTTCAGGTGAAAGTAACCAGACAGATGAGTTCTGGTAGGTTTTGGCTGACTGCCTTGAACACTCTGTTCAGAGGCTATGCAGCACATCCATAACACATTGAGGTGAGAGTGATATCAGACACCACTCTCCTATTGCAGCACAAGTGTTTGTAATGCTAGATGCTCTTGTTGTTGTCTGGACCACAATAAGACTTATTGCCTACAGATGACAGGAGGTACTGGACCACAAGTGTGTTGACACCACCTACAGTAATGGATGGGACCACAGATTTTGAGCAATGCTGCCTACAGTGATGATCTAGACCATAGGTGTTGAGGAACACTGCCTACAGTTGATGTCTGACAGTGATACAACACACACATTCAAGATATCAATGGAAGCAATCAACTTGTGATTGTGACTTTGCTGACTGGTGTCAGGGGTCTTGCGCCTGAAACCCAGGTCGGTCTGTCGAGATACTCGGTGACTATCAAACTGTGTGACAGCTATTGTCTCGGTATCGGTGACTATCAAGTTGCGCAGTGACAGCAGGTGGCATTTGTTGTATATACTATCATAGGTTTCGGCTGACCTCTGTGGACACTCCGTTCAGGGGTAGCTCGGCACGATCAATATCAATGTTATGATGACACCAAGGTCTGGTGTGGGTGTTGATGATGATGAGGTTGATGGTGTTGGTGATGAGATTGGTGATGTCGATGATAATGAGGTTGATGGTGTGGGTGATGAGATTGGTGATGTCGATGATAATGAGGTTGATGGTGTTGGTGATACGGTTGGTGGCATCAACACGAGTGTCCAGTGTGTTGACTTGATGCTTGAAGTGATCCCCAGACTGCAGTGGACTACTGCCTTCGGTTCTATCTATATCCAGACTGCTAACCTGCTATGGGCGCCTTCGGACATCAGGTAGTGGTGATACAACACACACACTACGATGAGGAGCAACCTTTGATGGATTGCTGCTATGCTGACTGAAACTAATATATACTTATGCTGAAGTGATAACTAGTTATGGTGAGTAGAGTGGATGAGGATCCACTCGACCTATGATGATGAGAAAGCATGGTTATATACCTCTTCACAGCATCGCCAGCGATGCTGCTCCTGCTCTCTCTCCAGAGAGTACCCTCTTCATCGAGTACTGCTCAGGGGCCTCTCCTGCTTGGCACCCCTGTGCCTCTTGAGTGGTGTCGACTCCTTTGACACTGCTCCTCCTCCTCATGACCTGCTTGCCAGTGTCCTAGGACTCTTGTCTCTCGAGCCCCTGAGTGGTAACCATCTGAGCTTGGTCCTCTTCATGGCTGTGCCTGCTCCTTGAGCTTGGTCCTCCTCGTGGCTGTGCCTGCTCCTTGAGCTTGGTCCTCCTCGTGGCTGTGCCTGCTCCTTGAGCTTGGTCCTCCTTGTGGCTGTGCCTGGCCCTCCTCGCATGTGGCTCGGTTCTCCTTTGCATGTGAGTCCATAGGAGTCCATGGTCTCCATGGAGACTGCACTACGACCATGCTCTCTACTGGTATCGACTAGGTCTTCGATACCTGTGCTCCTTCCATATGAACCCATGACCCTCCTGCTTCTTGAGCATCCAGGCCCATGACACCTGCTTCATCCAGTGGCGACCCCAGCCATCCTCACCACTACTCTATTTATTGTGCAATTCTCCTTGCTGTTGATCTCTGTGGAATATGTCCTATGACCTTGTGTACTGCAGATTCTGGTGGGATTTGCTATACCATTATGGCTTGTGCTGATCTAGCTGGGATCTGCCCTAGAGCCTTTCCTCCTACAGATCTTGGTGAACTCTACTGCAAGTTCCACAATCTGCCTGATTCCTCAATTCCCATGCTCCCTTCATATGACTTCCCAGATCTTCCTGCTTTCTGCGCATCCAGGCCCATGACATGCTCCTCCTCATAAGACTTCCGCTTCTCATAGGGCTTCTGCTTCTGCGCTTCTAGTCCTATGACACCAAGTTGACTTGGTCTAACCCTGACAACTCTGTCCCGCAGGTTGGCTCCATCACTTGGTCCAAGACTTATGCCGCTCTTTGCCTTGCCCACTCAAAGACAGACCTGTTTGAGATTGCATCAACCTCATCATCCCAAAAGTCAGTGGCTCTGTGTCAGAGGTCGCGTGCCCAAAACCTGATATCTGTAATAGAAATGCATCTATTACGAATCCTGTCGAGATATGTGACAATGCTAGTGGTATTATGATTCTTGTTGAGATATGTGGTAGAGGCATCTCTATCACTTTTCTCACCCAAAGATGCAGTAATGGGGTTGCTATTGCAGGTTTTGACTGACCACTGTGGACACTCTGTCCAGAGGTAGCTCAGCATGATCAATAACTGATATGAACTGGTACTAACACCAAGGTCTGGTGTGATCAAGATTGTTGTTGTCATCAACATGAGTGTCCAGTGTGTTGACTGAATGCTTGAGGTGATCCCCAGACCACAGTGGACAACTGCCTTCAGTTCTATCTTTATCCAGACTGCTGGTTTGCTATGAACCACCTTTGAACATCAGTGAGCAGTGATACAACACACATGCTACAATAGAAGCAATCTACTTGATTGCAACTATGCTGACTGAAAACTAATATATACTTATGCTAAAGTGATAACTAGTTATGTATGGTGTAGAGTGGATGGCCATCCACTCTTCTCCTACAATGGGGAGCATGGTTTTATACCTTTCTTGCAGTGTTGCCCATGACACTGCTCCCTCTCCTCATGCCTCCTTTGCTCTCCATCCACCTTGTGATGCTACTCATCAGCACCTCCTCCCTTGTCTCCTGTGGGTGGATGGGCCCCTGACTGTCTCATCTCCATCAGGGGCTAGTCCCACTTCATCTGAGTGATGATGCATGCTCCTACTTATCTTGCCCACCAGTCTCCCTTAAGTTCATCATCCAGTCAGACCCCTCCTTCATCCAGTGGTGACCTCTCCTTGTTCATTGTCATCCTCTTGCCCTATTGGCAATAGAGGCCTCTGTCAGGGGTCTCGCGCCTGAAACCCAGGTCGGTCTGTCGAGATACTCGGTGACTGTCAAACTGTGTGACAGCTATTGTCTCGGTATCGGTGACTATCAAGTTGTGCAGTGACAGCAGGTGGCGTTCGTTGTATATACTATCGTAGGTTTCGGCTGACCTCTGTGGACACTCCGTTCAGGGGTAGCTCGGCACGATCAATATCAATGTTATGATGACACCAAGGTCTGGTGTGAGTGTTGATGATGATGAGGTTGATGGTGTTAGTGAAGAGATTGGTGATGTCGGTGATAATGAGGTTGATGGTGTTGGTGATAAGGTTGGTGGCGTCAACACGAGTGTCCAGTGTGTTGACTTGATGCTTGAAGTGATCCCCGGACCGCAGTGGACTACTGCCTTCGGTTCTATCTATATCCGGACCGCTAACCTGCTATGGGCACCTTCGGACGTCAGGTAGTGGTGATACAACACACACACTACGATGAGGAGCAACCTTGATAGATTGCTGCTATGCTGACTGTAACTAATGAGTACTTGTGTTTCTAAAGTATTGACTAGTTGTATGGTGAGTAGAGTGGATGAGGATCCACTCGACCTATGATGATGAGAAAGCATGGTTATATACCTCTTCACAGCATCGCCAGCGATGCTGCTCCTGCTCTCTCTCTCCAGAGAGTACTTTCTTCATCGAGTACTGCTCAGGGGCCTCTCCTGCTTGGCACCCCTGTTCCTCTTGAGTGGTGTCGACTCCTTCGACACTGCTCCTCCTCCTCATGACCTGTGTCGACTCCTTCGACACTGCTCCTCCTCCTCTTGACCTGTGTCGACTTCCTGTCTCTCGAGCCCCTGAGTGGTAACCATCTGCATGCTCCTTGAGCTTGGTCCTCCTCGTGGCTGTGCCTGCTCCTTGAGCTTGGTCCTCCTTGCATGTGAATCCATAGGAGTCCGTGGTCTCCATGGAGACTGCACTACGACCATGCTCTCTACTGGTATCGACTAGGTCTTTGATACCTGTGCTCCTTCCATATGAACCCATGACCCTCCTGCTTCTTGAGCATCCAGGCCCATGACACTACCCCCCTCTTAAGAGCCGAGCTCCGTCGAGGCATGCTCTGGTCTGGTTCATGCTGACTCCTCCTCCTTGACAACATTGCCAACATCATCATTCCTCCTTCTCTCGACGTCATCCTCCTTCCTCTTCCTCTCTCTACTCCTCCTGTTCTCTCCTCCTCTCTCCACTCTGTCTACTCACTCGTCCCCCCTCCGACACCTCATACTCCTGGATGAGGTCGGGACAGTTGAGGTTCTCTACTGGTTCCCATGAAGCAGCTTCTTCTGAGTACCCTCTCCACAACACCTTGTACTCTGTAGTCCCATTGTATGAACGCTTGTCGATGAGTGCTTCGACTTCGAAGTCGAGGTCCTCATCTGGAAGTGGTGGCATGGTGGGCTGTTCAGCACGTTGAGGAAGAGAACTTGTTCTTGCTGGCTCGAGCATGGAGACATGGAACACATCATGCACCCTAAGGTTTGCTGGCAATGTGATCCGGTAAGCTCGGCGTCCTACTCGTTCCTGAACTGGGTAGGGTCCTGCAAACCGGGTATCCAACTTGGGTGTGGGTCTCCGTGTCTTCCAGTTTCGGCGGTTGATATAGACCATATCACCCACCTTAAACTCAATGTCCTTGTGCTTCCTGTTATACTGGTCTACTGATCTACGTTGTGCCTCTCTGATCTGCTCCTGGAGGTACTTGCAACGCTCCTTTCCATCCATGAGGTACTCGAAGCGACCTGGATCATTGACTCCTAGTCGTTGAGGGATGTCAGGATGAGCTTTGGGGTTCCATCCATAGCATGCAAAGAATGGTGAGACACCAATGCTGTTGTGGACCGTGTTGTTGTATACAAAGGCCGCAGTGTCCAGCAGGTTGGCCCAGTCATTCTGCTCATAGTTGCAGTACATCCTGAGATATTGCTCTATGACCTGATTGACTCTCTCTGTCTGACCATCAGTTTGAGGATGGTAAGCCGTGCTAAGTGAGTGCTTCACACCCATTTGCTCTGCAAATGCCTTCCATGCTCCTGATATGAACTGCCTGCCTCGGTCCGAGACCATGTGATCTGGATATCCGAAGAGTCTAACCATGTGTCCATATAGCAATACTGCAGTCTGTTTGGCTGTGACTGTCTTATGGGTTGGAGCTAGTATGGCAAACTTGGTTAACCTGTCGACGATGACTAGGATAGAGTCATAGGTCTTGGAGTCATACTTCTTTGATGGTGGTAGTCCTTCAATGAAGTCGAGGGATATGGAGCCCCAGGGCCTGTCTGGGGTTGCTAGCGGCTGTAGCAAACCATATGGACGATGACGAGGAGCTTTGTATCTAGCACATACAGGACAACTTGCTACATAGTCTGCAATCCAAGCTGTCATGTTTGGCCACCAGTAATGTCGTTGAGCTGCCTTGATGGTAGCATCTCTTCCTACGTGTCCAGCAGTGATACCATCATGGCATTGGGTCATCACCATGAATCGCAGATGCTCTACAGAGAGAGACTGTCCATCTACCTCTTTGGCACTCCTTGAGTGTCGGTTGTTGGTCCTCCCTGGCATGATCACCTTGGGGATAACCAACCTTCCTCCACTGTACCATAGGTCATCCTTGAGTTCGAAAGGCTTCTTCCTATGTATCTCCTGTAGCTCTTGGTCTAAAGGCTGGAAGATCTTGACCAGGTCTTTGAGACCTTTTGATGCTATGGACTCCATCGAGGTCATGGGGGCTACTAGGAGCGAGTCATGGTCTGCTGTCTCCTTGAACACTCGAGGAGGCAGTAGTTGCCTCACATTGTGATCCTGCTCTTCACCAGCTGGTTGCATGTCTGTCCTTCTGGTGAGAGCATCGGGTTCACCACCTTTGTCTCCTGGTCGATACTGCAATATGAAGTCGAAGTCTGCTAGTAGTATGGCCCATCGAGCCTGTCGACCTGTGATGCGTCTCTGTGACTTGAAGTACTTGAGGGCTTCATGGTCAGTGAGGATGACCAGTTGGTTCGGTAGTCCAGCTAGCATGTGTCGCCACTGAGTGAGGCAGGCGACCACAGCTAGGAGCTCCTTATCATGGATCTCATAGTTCTTCTCGGCAGAAGACATCTTCCTAGAGTAGAAGGCCACTGGATGCCATCGTCCTTCATGCTCCTGCTTGAGCACTCCTGCTATAGCAAAGTCACTTGCATCAGTCTCCAACCTTGTTGGAAGGTGGTAGTCGAAGTGCTGAAGCACTCCTGCTGATGTGAAGGCCTGGATGAGCTTGTGGAAAGCCTGTTGGGCCTCCTCTGGTAGCTCGAGCTTCTTGAACCGTTCTATAGGCTTTACCAGTGCTGTCAAGGGCTTGGCTATGTGAGCAAAGTGGGCTATGAACCTTCGATAGAAGTTGGCAAAACCCAGGAACCTCTGGATGTCATGGATTGACTCTGGCATTGGCCACTCCTTGACAGTGCGCACCTTTTCTGGGTCCATCTCTATGCCCGTTGGCTTGATGATGTACCCCAGGAACTCGACTGTCTTGGTGTGGAACTCACACTTCGACAGCTTAGCAAAGAGCCTGTTGCTCCTTAAGCGAGTGAGGACCTCGGTGACATGCTTCACATGTACCTCTTCAGTGTCACTGAAGATCAGGAAGTCATCTAAGTATACCACTACATATTCTCCAATGATGTCTCGGAAGATGTCATTGATGAATGACTGGAAGTGAGCCGGAGCATTGGCTAGGCCAAAGGGCATCACTAGGTACTCATAGAGTCCCAACTGAGTGCCAAAAGCTGTCTTCCATTCATCTCCTTTAGCAATCCGGATGAGGTTGTATGCTGCTCTAAGGTCTAGCTTGGTATAGATCCTTGCCTTCCTGAGTAAGAACAGCTGCTCCTCGATGAGGGGCAATGGTGCCCTGTTCTTGACAGTGATCTCGTTGAGACCTCTGTAGTCCACACAGAGTCTGAGACCTCCATCCTTCTTTGGTACGAAGAGCACTGGTGATCGTGCCGGGCTCTTCGATGGTCTTATGAACCCCTTCTCGAGGTTCTCATCCAAGTATCTCCTCAACTCGGACATCTCCTTGGGTCCCTTAAGGTATAGGGGCCCTTGAGGTGGCTTACCTCCTTCTATCAACTCGAGGTGGAGATCATGCTCGGTATGATGGGGCAGCTTGTCTGCTTCCACCTCATCAAACACATCTCGCAGGTGTTGGTATGGCTTTGGTATGTCTGCAGCCGTCACCACCTTATCTACCTCCACCTCCATCTCGACTCCTTTGTCTGCGCCTGTAGGTACAAAACCAAAGGCCGGGAGTGATGATGGTGGCTCCTCTAACAGCATGAACCCTATGGGTCCATCTTCCAGAGCTGCTCGTAGTATGCGCTCTGCTGAGACAAACTCGTTACCATGAAGGGTTGGTCTCCTCATGGTTAGGTCCCCTGCTCTTGCTGCTTCAGGGGGTCTCCTAGGGGGTCGGTCCTGCTCCTGAGTCTTGAACTCCAGCTGGCCCGTATCCCATTGTATGGTGGGTTTGAGCCTCCGTAGCTCAGTGAACCCCAGGATGAGGTCATAGTCCGCAGTGTCGGCCACTGAAGCTTCGACCACACCCAGATTGTGTGTACCAATAGATACCTGCATGCTCGCAGAACTATTGATGGAGAGTTGGTGCCCGGTGACACCATGGATCGATCTTGTTTTTATGGGTTTTGTGGGTATTTGGTACTTACTAATGAAAGAATCTGAGACTATGGACAAACCAGCACCGGTATCAGCTAGTATCCGAGCAGGATGGTCTTGAACCATTCCAGAGAGCTCCAGTACTGCTTTGCCTCCACTGGTAGAGAAACATACTTGACAATCTTGATATATACAGAGTGATGGCGAGGAGGTTTGTAGAGCAATGCATGCCATCAGTGCATCACCCCACTGACGTTTCCCTCGTCGTCATCATCATCGTGCTCCTCCTCGTGATCGGGGTCCATGGGTTGCTGGTATGAGCTGAGGTCCATGGCCTCGGGGTCACCCGTCTCAGTGCTGCCTGTGGGGCCATCTCCTGAGTCGGTGGCCTCCTCGAAGGGGTCTGCTGTGGTGACCATAACCTTTGGTCCCATGGGTCGAGAGCTAAGAGGGTTTACCCTCCTGCTGGGGCAGTCTCTGGCCCAATGGCCGATACCCTTGCATACATGACAGGTGTTGATACCTGATGGAGCAGGGCTTCCTTGCTTCAAGGGTTGGGTGGGATGATGAGGAAGGGGTCGGTTTAGGTTTTGTATAGTTGCTTGTGTAGTTGCTTGTGATGGTGATCGAGCTGGATAAGGTTGAGTGGGTTGTCTGATGGGGATCGAACTTTGATTTGGCCAAGACCCAGTTCTTAGTGGAGGTGACATGGCATTTGGGAGTGAGTGTCTAGCCGAGGACTGCTGTAGTAGCATCCTCTGTCGATCGATCTCCTCAACCTCTTGATACCACTCCCATCTCTTCCCAGGTGGATTCCTCTCAAACTTCTCCTGTATGCTGCGAGTGAGACTTCCTCTGAAGAGATCAATCACTAGCTCGTTGTCATCTAGGTTGACCTGTCCCTCCAAGTCTCTGAACCGCTCTACATGACGTGTGGCGGCACCAGGAGCATCACTTGTGAGTCTGAGAGCCAACAGCTTGTTGTATGCCTCCATCCTAGCATTGCGTGGGTTGAACTGCTCTGACAGTCGCTCTGTGAAGTAGTGCCAATCATTGAACAACCTTCCTTCTCTAGCTCTATCAATACGGAGCTTGGAGGTCCACCACTCTCTTGCTGTCCCTTCCAGTTGAGCACCCATGTGATTGATCATCCTAGACTGCTCATACACCTGGTTGAACTTAAACCATGCTTCGGCTTCTAGAATGAAGATCTCCATGTCTCGGGGATTGAACTTTGGAAAGGGGGTGGCAATGGGCTTTGACCGGTTAAGCTCTGCCATGATGCTGGTATCCTCCTCGTGGTCCAGGGGGTAAGGGTCCGTCCTAGTCCTGCTGTAGGGGTCCAGCTTAGTCTTGACATATCTTGGCCCAGTAGGTGAAGCATACTTCTCGTAGTTGATGTCCTCCTGCTCATCCAGGTTGAATGAGACTGATCGTCTTGGTCGTGGAGCTGGAGTAGGAGTATGTGGGTCTCCTATCATAGACTCATCTCCTCCTCCTGCTTGATCTTCTGAGTGAGAGAGGTCCATTGTCTCCTCCCTGCTCAGTTGAGCTCGTTGTAATCGTTCCTCTCGATGACCCTGTCTGGTAAGCTCTAGCTGTGCTTCCAATAGAGTGAGTAGTCTATCGAGCTTATTGTTGAGGTCTGGGTCCGTCATGGTGATCGTGAGGAGCTGCTTGAACGATCCACTCTAATGTCAGGGGTCTCGCGCCTGAAACCCAGGTCGGTCTGTCGAGATACTCGGTGACTGTCAAACTGTGTGACAGCTATTGTCTCGGTATCGGTGACTATCAAGTTGTGCAGTGACAGCAGGTGGCGTTCGTTGTATATACTATCGTAGGTTTCGGCTGACCTCTGTGGACACTCCGTTCAGGGGTAGCTCGGCACGATCAATATCAATGTTATGATGACACCAAGGTCTGGTGTGAGTGTTGATGATGATGAGGTTGATGGTGTTGGTGAAGAGATTGGTGATGTCGGTGATAATGAGGTTGATGGTGTTGGTGATAAGGTTGGTGGCGTCAACACGAGTGTCCAGTGTGTTGACTTGATGCTTGAAGTGATCCCCGGACCGCAGTGGACTACTGCCTTCGGTTCTATCTATATCCGGACCGCTAACCTGCTATGGGCGCCTTCGGACGTCAGGTAGTGGTGATACAACACACACACTACGATGAGGAGCAACCTTGATAGATTGCTGCTATGCTGACTGTAACTAATGAGTACTTGTGTTTCTAAAGTATTGACTAGTTGTATGGTGAGTAGAGTGGATGAGGATCCACTCGACCTATGATGATGAGAAAGCATGGTTATATACCTCTTCACAGCATCGCCAGCGATGCTGCTCCTGCTCTCTCTCTCCAGAGAGTACTTTCTTCATCGAGTACTGCTCAGGGGCCTCTCCTGCTTGGCACCCCTGTTCCTCTTGAGTGGTGTCGACTCCTTCGACACTGCTCCTCCTCCTCATGACCTGTGTCGACTCCTTCGACACTGCTCCTCCTCCTCTTGACCTGTGTCGACTTCCTGTCTCTCGAGCCCCTGAGTGGTAACCATCTGCATGCTCCTTGAGCTTGGTCCTCCTCGTGGCTGTGCCTGCTCCTTGAGCTTGGTCCTCCTTGCATGTGAATCCATAGGAGTCCGTGGTCTCCATGGAGACTGCACTACGACCATGCTCTCTACTGGTATCGACTAGGTCTTTGATACCTGTGCTCCTTCCATATGAACCCATGACCCTCCTGCTTCTTGAGCATCCAGGCCCATGACAGCCTCTCCCAAACTGATTCCTGTGAGATCTTATGTCATGAGCATGATATTACTAGTCCTACCTACCCTTGTAGGAGAACCCATGTTCCTACCAATCTTGACAAGTTATGCCATAGAATTGTTACTACTACCAACTTCAGTGAACTCTGCCATAACCTCCCATCTAGCCCGATCCCACAATTTCTGCACTCCTCTTCATATGAACCCAGTTCTTCCTGCACATCTGTCTGATCCCATGACACTCTGCATGCCCTTACACTGCTCTGTTCACTGTCTGCAGAATCTGACCACCACAGGTGCCCCTCTTTACCTTGGACAATGACATGGGACCCTTCCCCTGTGATAGGGTCATTGGCATCTTACGACAGCTCCTGAGTACAATGGGATTGCCAGACTCAGCATATGCCAGCCACCCCTCCTGCAGGGGGGGGGTGCCACCTGGGCTGCACACCTCAGCACATTGACCAAGGCTATTCAGGAAATGGGATGCTGGTACATTGACCACCCCCCTTCTGCGCACAGCAAACTTGCTGCCTCCTACCTCTTCTTGGCCTCTGCCCCTCCTCCCCCCCTCTTGATCCTTCCTCAGTTTGGTGTGTGACCCCTCAGTCACTGGTTCCTGTCTCCTCCAGCAAAACGGGACCTTGCTGTGCAACTGGTTTGCCCCTTGCATGTTTGGCATTTAAGGAGCCTCTCAAGCCTATGAGCACACTCATGCTCACCCTGCAACCTTAACCTCCTTTATGCTCTCCTATTGCCCTTGCTATGGTATGAATTGAAGGTTCGGATTTATGGAAAATGGGTTGGTGCTTTGGCTCGTTGCCGTGTCTCAACGCAATTCAGAAGGAGTTGCGATCGGTGATGCAACCATGGCTTGAGACAGCGACATAGATGGGAGAACACACACTTGCAATCTGGGCTCTGTGGCGCTGACTCACACGGCCGTAAGATGAGAGTACGGTCGAAACAGAAAACGATACGGGAGTCCTGTTAAATTGCAGGTCAGCGAGGTTGGCTCGCTGGCTCCAAGGCTCAAAGGCTCCAAGGCTGCCAGCCTGCGGTGAAGGTCCAGCTCAGATGGGCACGCCAAGTCACGTGCAGCACACACACTCACACTCACTAAATCTTACTTTCGTTTCGCGTAACTCTCATCTCCACCTTCTCATCTCCACCTTCTCATTCATCGTCCTCCTCATCCGCTTGTCTTTATCATCTACATCCGCCATCTTTCTCATTCACCTCTTCTTTTGGCTTCTAACCGCTCTCGTGATCGAGATCTTTACTCTGTCTCGATCTCATCCGATACGCTCTTATCCGATACGCTCTTTCCCATCCGCTGTTCCGTTTTCGATCGCATCTTTATTACAGTTCTTTCACCCCTCTAAGTTTTGCAATCCTGTTCAGCACTCGTTGTGTCGAGCCTTGGCATCTACGAACGTGTCTTTCTTCGTCACTGTCCTCGACTACGAACATCTCTCTTCCTCTACTCCATTTTGAATCTCTACCGCCAAGCGATCAGGTATCGATAACTCCATACTTGCCCACAATGCAGTCAATCATGGGTGCAACGCCCATGGCCAATGCGCCTTCCAACCTCGGCATCTCCGCCAGTCCAAATGCTTCCAACACAGGCACAATCACAAATGCACTCAAAGGCTCCAATCCACCCGTCTACAGTAGTGCAGAGGCAGCCGCCAATGCGCAAGGTCTCGTCTACCCTTCACTTCACCTTCACCCTCTCAACGACACTTTCGCACCAAAACAGATCAGCCTTGCACCGCCAGGTCCCAACAACCGCATCAAGATCGGCCGTCAGACGAATGCAAAGACAGTGCCAAATCCCACCAATGGCTACTTTGACAGCAAGGTCCTCTCGCGTATGCATGCAGAAGTATGGAGTCAGAACGGCAAAGTCTACATCAAGGATGTCAAGTCTTCCAACGGCACATTCATCAACGGCGAGCGTCTCTCGCCAGAGGCACAAGAGTCGGATGTCTTTGAGCTGCACAACGAGGATATGGTCGAATTTGGTATTGACATTGTCGGCGATGACAACAAGACAATCATCCACCACAAGGTCGCCTGTCGTGTCTACTTGGTCTTGACTGCAGAGGATGCGCTCAGCCTTCGTCACGACTTTGCAAGCCTGTACAGAGGTGGCATGCATGGAGGTCCTCTCGGCAGCAACGGCGTTGGCCCCGGTGCCGAAGGTGGACTTCGCAGAAGTAAAGCCGGTTTCAGCTTCGATCATGTGCTCAGCAAGCTGCAGAGCGAACTGCAAAGGAGCAAGGACACCTGGAACGATCTCGGTAGCCTCACCACAACGATGCACGACATCCACGAGACACTCGGTGGCAGTGCACCTCCGCTTTCGTCAGCTCCCTACCCACACCTCGTGCCACTCCTCCCCGGCGCTGTCAACGCTCAGCAGCAGCAACAGCATGAACAGCAACGTGCCAAAGATGCCGAGAACCAAGCAGCCACCAACGAATCACACTCCGCAACCATCTCGGCCCTGCAAACACAGCTCTCAGAGACGCAGTCGTCCTTGGCTGCTCATGTCGACAAGATCCGCAGCCTCGAGTCCATTCTATCCGAGCACGACTCGATCAAGCGCGAAGTTAGCAGTATCAAGATGCAGATGGAAGAGGCAAAACGCGAGATGGAGGCAGCTGCCATGTCTTCTGGCTCCCAGTCCAGCATCAACGGTTTCGGCACCATCCGAGGTACGCCCAGTTTCAACCGTTCGCTTGAGCACGATAACTTTGACGATGGTGCTAGCGTAGCCAGTGTCGAGACGGTGACGCAGAACAACGATCAAGATTCGTTCGGCCCTGGTGCTTCTTCAGGTGCAGACCATGTCGGACCTCGCGCACCGCCCGACATGCCATCTCACCTCGTGTCGGAGGATGCCGCTGACGTGGGCTCTATTCGCGCTCCCGAGGTGTCTGAAGCGTCTTCTGCCAACCTTGGCAAATCAGATTCTCACTCTAGAGATCTTGCACCAGCTGCAGCCCTCACATGGCAAGGTCTTGGCAAACATGGCGAAGAACGCGATGTCGAGCTTCGTGCACAGAACGAGGCACTCTCGGCGAGACTCGAGCAGCTCGCATCGCAGCTCGAGCAGGCTTTGGCACTCAGCCGTGGTCTTCAAGACCAGCATGCACTGGTCAACGACACTGTCAAGACGTTGGAAGAGCGTGTTCATACTCTCGAGAAGCAAGTGGAGCAGAAGGCTGCTACTGCACCGCCGGAAGAGGCGACAGCAGCGCTGCTCAAGGGCATTGAGGGTCGATGGACTGAATTCCGCAGCGACTTCGAGGAGAGCTGGCGCAAGGAACGCGAAGGAATGCAGACCGAGCGGGAAGAGCTTCGTCAGGTGGTACGTGCATGGGACGAGGCCAATCGACGTATGGAGGACGAGTTGAATGGCGATGCTGCCGATGACTCGAGCCAGCAAGGCAAAGAGAGCAGCGGAGCCGACGCAGTGCCGGAAGATGCTGCGCCGTCCGGCAGCAGCGTCGCTGGACCGTCTTGTTTGCCTGCTGCAAACGGCCCGAGCAGTCGAGGCAAGAGAGGCAACGGCAGCCGTGGAAAACGACATGTCAACAGTGCGCTACGTTCGCTTCTATACGGTAGTTCCGCTGCCGGTCTCATTCTCGAGGCAGACGGCAGAGATCTGGACGAGGATGAGAGATGGAGTCACACAGCGCGATCACGACCTTTGGGTCGGAATCCTGACGACGATGCCCTGTCCACCAGCCAGTCCGTTCGAAGCATCGCCGACTCGACATCTACAAGACCGTCGACATCAACAGAATTGACGACGCCTGACCTCGGCCCTGATGCGTCAAGAGGAGACGCTGTCTTGGATCCTCCTTCACAGAATAAGCATGATGGTCACTACAATCGCTCGCGTCACGGCCGAGAAGGCGGAGCAGACGGCAGCCATCGGAATGCGCAGGCTGTAGCGCCTCGGACAATAGCTGCTGCCGGTGTCGTCTTTATCGGTGTCACAGCATGGATCTTGGCCGGCAAAGATTTGACCCGACTCAATGTGGCGTTATCGGGCAAGTCTTGAGACCTTGGCACTCTCCCTCTTTTGACTTGCACATTCGACCATCTTTGCAACTGTCCCAGTATCTATTCTTATCAACCCATCGTATTATTGACTCGTCTGTTGACTCGTCTATAACAGTGTTTTTTGTTCTCATGCCCTTCCACGTCGATACCATATCAATCATGATCCTGTTGTTCTACTGCAAGCCAAGCCGGGCCTGAGCGTGTCTGAGATCTGGATTGCAGTGCGAGCTGTTCAGAGAGCAAGGTATCAGTCTCTGTGAGTCTTGCAAAAGCTCTCAGAGCAACTTAGGCTGGCTGAGAATGTGAGAGGCCAATTTCGGCTCCGAAATGAGGAAGCGCACAGGACACGGACGCGTCTCGAGATCTCTCTCTTTCTTCTCTTCCCTTTTCGAGCGTTGTTGAATTTCCCGATTTGCTGCCGATCTGCACTTTGGCTTCGAAAAGATCTCTATTTGTGTGTCAGGGCTGCTTGACATTCAGACCTTCAACCATCTCCATCACTCTCTGCCTTTGTAGCATCTCTCCTTCTCCATTACGGATTACCATCTGACACATTGACGAAACATTCAGACGAAGCGACGAACTCAATACACACACATACACACACACACACACACACACACACACACACACACACACAAAATCTATAACCACAATGGACGTCAACATGCGAGACGCAAACCGTAGAGGTAGTGGACGCAAGAATGGACCCGCAAACTCCCGCGCTACTCGTCGCAGTGATCCATATGCTCGCGACTCTCGAGTGCGACCCAACGCCCCTATCGCCCAGGCTCAAGAATCCAGCCAAGCTCAACCTCAGGCCCAGTCAGGCATATCTTATCCTCCCCCTGAGCTCAGCATTCGCGGTTCTAGCGGACCCACTTGGATCATCGTTTCAAACCTCGTCGTTGGTACATCGAACGAAGATGTTCGTCTCACCTTCAGCGCTTTTGGTCGTGTTGATGAAGTCAAACAGCGACCTCGTCCGTCGGCCAACCATCCCACGGTATCGTTCGAAGTAGCCTTCGATCGTCGAGAAGACGCCGAAATGGCAGTGGACAAATTCAACGGAGCTCTTGCCGACGGAAGAATCCTACAAGTTTCAATCAAGAAAGCGGAAGTGCCTCGGGATGCTTATAGCCAATTCAACCGGGCTACTGCACAAGCAGCTGCACAGAGACCAAGAGAAAAGGGAGGGGCTAATTTGATCCCAGCTCCTACTCCTTTACCTTATACACCTACTCCTGCGCCTGCGGCAGCGGCGGCTATTCCCACTGGTCCTGCTAGTATGCGTTCTCGTGCTAGAACAGCCGGTCTTGTTGAACCCAGTGCTAAAAAGTCTAACGGTGCCACTTCTCAAAAGGCCACCGCTGCTGGCAACAACAGGCAGCAACCAAGCAAAGCAGCCATTCCCACAGGACCCAAAAAAATGCTCGTCGCACAGCAAGCCGCTGCACCAACAGCTCCCAAACCTAAACCTTTGGCACAACGCATCCCAGAACCACTGGCAAACCGTCTTCTCACCCCAGCTCAAGCACAGAAACTTCGAGCAGAAGAAGCGAAGAAAAAAGCTCAACAGGAGCAAAGAGCTAAAGCTATTGCTGCAACAGGCAAAAACACCGTTTTGGGTAAAAGGTTGGCTGGTTTGCCACTGGCACAACGATTGACGCAGCAGGCGGGAACTCCAAAGTCGGATCAAACAGCAATCAAGGCTGCAGCAGAGAAGAAGAAGCGAAAGAAGGAATTGGTTAGGGCGAAGAAGGCTGAACAGCCAAACAAGCTTGGTAGTTCGGCTGCCATGGAACTTGATGGTTGAGGAGCAGAATGACGAAAGGTTATGATAGTATACAACACCATTCTCGATCGTAGGTTTTTATGAACATCAAGTCGAGCCCTTTTCAGCATAGCCCTTTTCAGCATAGCCCTTAATGATGAAGCTTCGAGTGGGTGAGATGATGCAATGTGAGTGATTGGTGACTATGGTGATGGTGATTATGGTGATGGCAGCCAGTCATACAAAAACGTCACATCGCGTCGCGTCGCGTTTCCACTTTACGTCGCCATTTCGCGTCGTTCAGAAAAAGTGTCACTCGACTGAGCCTTGGAACGTGTTGCTCTCTTCCTCAGCTCTGCCGCCTTGGGCTCGCGTTGATTCTCTCCACTGTCCAAGTGCCTGTTGGTTGGTCATTTCTCACCATCTGCCACTTCTCTCATCATCATCATCATCCTCCCACTTCCCTCCTTTCTTCTCTGGGCCGCTCATCTCACCCAGCTCATCAAGGTCCGCGCTCATCGTCTCCCCAACTATCTATCCTCGACATCGAGCCACGCTCCGATACCTTTTTCGCATTATTCTAGATCTGGTCAGATGCACATCAAGACTCTCACCATCCAGGGCTTCAAGTCCTATAGAGACCAGATTGCCGTAGAACCCTTTTCACCACATCACAATGTCGTCGTCGGTAGGAATGGTTCGGGCAAGTCCAACTTCTTCTCGGCCATTCGATTTGTTCTTTCTGATGCATACACCTCCATGTCTCGTGAGGAACGACAATCACTCCTGCACGATAGCTCCAGCTCCACCTCAGCAACCCTCTCCGCATTCGTAGAGATTGTCTTTGACAACAGCGACAACCGTTTCCCTACCAACGGAACCGAAGTCATCCTCCGCAGAACCATCGGTCTCAAGAAGGATGAATACAGTATCGATCGCAAGTCAGCCTCCAAAGCCGACGTTGCCAACCTTCTCGAGTCGGCTGGCTTCTCTCGCAGCAATCCATACTACATTGTACCGCAGGGTCGAATCACTCACCTCACCAACGCCAAAGATCACGAACGTCTCGGCTTGCTCAAAGAGGTAGCAGGTACTCGAGTTTACGAACAGCGCAGAGCAGAGTCCATCAAGATCATCGAAGACACTAGCGCCAAACGATCCAAGATCGATGACCTTCTCGAATACATCCAGAACCGTCTTCGCGAGCTCGATGATGAGAAGGAGGAGCTTCGTGAATACTACGAAAAGGATCGAGAGCGCAGGTGCATCGAATACAGTCTCCACCAACGAGAGCTCACCGAATGCGCAGAGCTGCTCGAGAAGCTTGAAGATGAGCGAAGACGCGATGTGGATGCTTCCAATGTCCGAAGGTCCGAGTTCAACGAGCGCGAGAAGCTACTTGCACGACTCGAGGCCGAACTCGCCGCGACCGGTCAAACCATCGAGCAACGCAACCTCGAAAAGAACCAGCTCGAGCAGGAGAGACGAGACATTGCCAAACACCTCGCTCAGATCGAGTCACTCGTCGAAGAGCTCGAAGAGGATGGCGAGAAGCGAGCCGATCGACGTGGTGCTCTCGAAGCCGAGCTCGGTCGTATTCGCACCGAGATTCAGCAGAAGCAAACTCAACTCGACCAGCTCCGACCCAATCTCGACACTCTCCAAGCTGAAGCCGAACAGCTCCGTGCCACCTTCGAAGAGACCAAGGCCCGTATCTCTGCTCTCTACTCCAAGCAAGGTCGATCAGCTCAGTTCCGTACCCAGCGCGATCGTGACGAGTACCTACGCTCTCAGATCGGTGCCCTTGATCAGTTCCTGCGTTCGCAGCAAACACGTATCGACGAGACTGCTCGTGAGCGTACCAACATCACCCAACGACGCAACGCCGCCTTGCAAAAGATCGACGAGATCGAAAGCAACCTCGACGGTCGTAAAGAGACCTTCCAGCAGCTCGCAACCGAGTATGCAGCCAAACAAGCTCGCCGCGATGAGCTCTCGGAAACACGCAAAGATTTGTGGAAGGAGGAGGAGTCGCTTCGATCCTCGCTTGCCTTTGCTGGCAATGAGCTTTCCAATGCCCAGCGCAAGCTTGCTGGTATGATGGACAAAGCCACCGTTCAAGGTCTGCTCGCTGTTGAGAAGATCGCTGCTAGCTTGGGACTTGAGGATAATGTCCGGGGTCCCATCTACCAGCTTTTCTCTGTGGATGATAAGTACAAGACTGCCGTGGAGACGACTGCCGGTGCCTCTCTCTTCCATGTCGTCGTCGACACTGACGAGACTGCAAGCAAGCTTCTCGAAGTGATGAACCGCGACAAGAGCGGCCGAGTCACCTTTATGCCTCTCAACCGTCTTCATCCTAAAGAGATCGATTTCCCCGCAACACAGGATGCCATCCTCATGGTCAAGAAGCTTCAATTCGACAGGGCACTTGCTCCTGCTTTTCAGCAGATCTTCGGTCGCTGCATCATCTGCCCCAACCTCGAGATCGCTGCCGCTTACGTTCGCAGTCATGGCGTCAATGCAGTCACTCTCGACGGTGACAAGGTTGAGCGCAAGGGTGCTCTATCCGGTGGTTATCATGATCCCAGACGTAGCCGATTGGATGCAGTCAACGAGGTACGCAAGTGGAAGACGCAGAGCGAGCACGACACAGCCAAGCAGAACGAAATCCGACGTCGACTCACGGAGATCGAGCAAGAGATCACTGCGCTTGTCGGTGAAATGTACCAGCTACAGCACCGAAGAGATGACGCAAGAAACTCGCGTGGTCCTTTGCTTGAAGAGCTGCAATGGGCTCGTACCGAAGCCGAGGATCTGGCTCAACGATTGCAGAGCATCGAGCGACGTGAAGCTAATCAGAGTTTGGAACTCAGAGCGAACCAGACCAAACGTGCTGGCCTTGAAGAGGAGTTGCGTACACCCATGACTCAAGGTCTAACACGACAAGAACTGGCTCAACTCGAAGCGCTCAATGCACAAGAAGATCAGCAGAAGCGAGAGCTAGCCGATAAAGCCAATGCTCTGGCTGAGCTTAGCAAGCGTCGTTCGATTCTCGAGATTGATCTCTTCGAGAACTTGCGCAGACGGAGGGAGGAGATTGGATCGCAACTCGAAGCGCTTGGAGAGTCACTTGGTGGTGATGATGCGGGTACTGCTTCTGGTGTTCAAGATATTTCGGCACGCAAGCGCGAGATTGATGCCTTGCGACGCCGTATTGCTGATCGGGAGAAGCGTATCAAAGCAATCGAGAAGGAACTCGACCAACTCATGCAATCCATTCAAGATACGCAAGGCAACTACGACAAGACCAAAGGCGATCAAGCCGAAGAGGCGCGTAGCATCGCACGTCAGCAGAAGAACGTCGAACGATATCTCAGCAAGCGTTCGCGTCTTGTCGAACAACGCGATCGATGCAACCAAGACATTCGTGATCTTGGTGTTTTGCCGGAAGAAGCGTTCGAGAAGTACATCAACACGAATCCCGATCGACTTGTCAAAAACCTACACAAGGTGAATGAGAGTTTGAAGAAGTTCTCCCATGTCAACAAAAAGGCGGTTGAACAGTACAACTCGTTTACCAAACAGCGAGATCAGCTTTTGGAGAGACGAGGAGAGTTGGAGCAGAGTGCAGAAAGCATTCAAGAGCTGATCGATGTTTTGGATCAGAGGAAAGATGAGGCTATCGAACAAACTTTCAAACAAGTCAGTAGATACTTTGAAGAAGTGTTTGAAAAGCTTGTTCCAGCTGGAAGAGGTAGGTTGATTATGCAACGAAGAGTTGATCTTGCGCCTACCACCACTGGCGCCGCGGAGGAATCGGAAGAAGAAGGCGCACGTGGTCAAGTGGAGAACTATACCGGAGTGAGCATCAAAGTTTCTTTCAACTCGAAACATGACGAAGGACTACGTATCCAGCAGTTATCTGGTGGACAGAAATCCTTGGTGGCATTGGCGACGGTGTTTGCGATCCAAAAATGCGATCCTGCACCTTTCTACCTCTTTGATGAGATCGATGCGAATCTCGATGCACTCTATAGGACGGCGGTGGCGAATATGATCAGGGAGCTGGCGGAGAATGCTCAATTTATCACGACAACATTCAGACCAGAGATGGTTCAGGTGGCCAGGAAGCATTACGGTGTACTGTTTGATGTGAACAAGGTTAGTAGTATAAGGAGTATCAGTAGGGATGAGGCGAATGAGTTTGTAGAGGCTGCGGCTACCACTGAGCCTGCCAGGTAGAGATGGTCAGAATGGGCTTCAGTTTTTCTGTCTGTATCTCCAATGTCATGCTTTGCTCGTCTTGATTGTATATTGTTCCAACGTTGGAGTGTGCGATGTATGAGGTGATGTTCGATAGGACCTTCGAGGGGAGACTCAGAGCACGATGTCACTACTACTTTTACGGCAGAAACATGTATACTCAATTCACTAAACAACATGGTGAGGACCTAGTGTGCTCAGCTTGATATATATACAACTAAGAGGTGCCTGCCGAATGTGCGAGTATGCTCCCTTCATGTCCTAGCTTGACAACGAGGTGGGACTATGTAGCACCCGATCTCCAGACAGATCTGATCGATCCGATCTTGATTGCATTTATGTCAGCATGCATCATCATTTCGGAACGCTTCCTTCGGCATAGTCCGGCAGCGAAATTTAAAACTGGATGCACGGGCCAACTGAGCGCTACTTGAGTTGCACGCTTCAACGCTCACTTGTGCCTTAGACTTTGAACACGCCACCATCACTCAGCTCTTCTAGCAACTTTGCCGTGCTTGCTTCGGTGTTCCTCCTTGTCGCCATCGCTTCTGCGCTGCTTTGGTTCCACCTTGAAACTGCTTCGAGCCTTTCAGCAGGGGAAAGAGTGAGAGAGGATGTTAGCAAAGGTGGAATTGATCGTTAACCCGGCTTCAGGCTCTCAGCTGGCAACCTCTCTCTGCGAAAGAGACATACAACCTCTGATCCTCTCCGCTCTGTCTTCGCCATCACAACTCAGTATCCGTAGAACAAAATGTGCACAAGATGCAGTCAGAATGGGTCGCGAGATCATTGGTGATTACATTTGCAACGTTGGTTCAAAGCGCGAGTATTTAGATTTGGTGTTGGTGGGCGGAGATGGAACAACGCATGAAATTCTTAATGGTTTCTACATTGCCCCTTCTCCCTCCTCCGATGAGGGGGACGAAAATGTTGTGTTGCCGAGGGTGAGGTTGGCAATTGTACCAGCGGGAACAGCAAACGCTTTGTACTCGGCAATGTATCCCAGCGAATGGACACAGGAGGTACAACAGAAGGTAGCAGCGGCTAAAACTGTTGATCAACTGAGCGAGGAGGTGGTGCAGATAATGCTCTCTTCTGTTCGTGCCCTTTGCAACTGTTTGAAAGGACAAGAGGATCGGTCAAGGTTGCATGAACTACCGTTGATGCTAAATCAACTACGACGAGAGGAGGACGAGGAGGGGGAGAGGCTAAGTGTCAGTCATTTAGTCACATCGCATGCACTCCATGCGAGTATTTTACATGATGCCGATAGGCAGGAGATGAGGGATAGATATGGTGGCATTGAACGTTTTAAAGTTGCTGCTCAACTTAATGCTACACGCTGGATTGAGGGCAGTTTGATGCTTTTACCCCTTGCCTCTTCCACGGACGAAGGAGGTGGTGCCGTGTTACAGTACTCGCCCAAAAGCAAAACATTCGAACAGCTCAAGTGCGGAAAAGTTGAGCTGCAAGGCCCATTCCTCTACCTCACAACAATGGTAACAGATCGGTTGGAAAGTTCATTCATCCCTGCACCCCTCTCTTGCGCGTTGAAAGGCAAAGCTCTACCCACCGATGCCGTCGATGTGATTGTCATCCGACCCACTCGTGACCCAAGCCTAAACGGGAGGGATACTCGAAAAGCCAAACTGGAATTCGCACAATCCAGACTAGTCGCAATCACTCAAGCAATGTACAGCGGTGGATCCCACATCGATCTGACCTACGACGGGAGGGAATCGATAATCGAATACCTCCGTTGCTCAGGATACTCCTTCAAGCCAGAAGACAAAGGAGACCAGGAGGAATGCAAAAAAGCTCGACTAGTTTGTACGGATGGCTTTATCTCATCTGCTTCTCAGACCCAGGTTCGAAGGTGGACCGCAAGTTGCACCTACGCATTGCCAGAAGGTCTTGGACGTTTGCATGCTCCTTTGATCTGGTGTTGAAAGCTTGCTAGGACGTGCAATGCAGTTGAATGTTGTCTGTCAATGTCTTTGGTTTTGCTGTTACGCCGTCTGGCCACCTTTCTCAAAAGCTGTGTAGGTGTCGCTGGTGTAAGTCGGAATGGTGAACAGCTTCTCTGGGAGGGATATAGATGCTAAAACAGGATCCTTAGGTCACCTCGCTTCTTTTAGAAGAGTGACTTGATGCTTGGCTTTAGAAGACCAATCGGTGATAACTTTTTTTTTTTTGACATTAGCGCAGGGCGGGGTTAGGATTTGGTGTTGCTACGCATTATTACATTTGGCTTGCTCGTGTCTGTTGATGCTGGTTTGGCTGGCCAGCACCATTCTCTGACGTCGCAATAAGGCTTTCTGTTTGCAACCTAAATAGCACCTTGCCTCTTCCATCCAGGCGCCAGACAGAGCGTGTAGGCCTAAAGGCCAGAGTATGCAGTGAACGCAGACGAGCCAGGCAAAGGGCAAAGAAGGCGGATGGTTTTATGCTGGCAACTCGAACTTTTCCCCCTTCATAACTTTTGTGAAGTAGACTATCGTTGGCAACACCGACAAAGAAGAAAACCAAGGCGATCGTGTTAGTCGTCAAAAACACTTTCACTTGGGCATGTAGCTACGGGCAAATGCGTTTGTACATACCATAGAAGAAGTCGAGATAGAGACCGGTTTGAACCAGACCACTCAAGATCGAGATTGGGTCGATTTGATTTTCCGAGATGTACCTGCCATATGACATGCAAACGTCCAAGAGCATTAGTGACTCTTGCCTTATATCTCTTGCCGCTTTGGTTGAGTTGTTGGGGATGGGATCCTCGCTTCGGTCGGAAGTACTTACCTATACAGCCAATTGGGGATATAAAGCGCCCTATAAGCACCCAAAGCAAAGATATAATGGGTTGTTATCGCCTCCGCTTCTCCCGTCCTCTGCAACATGAATAACTGCGGCAAGATGGCGACAGCTTCCAGATAAATGCTGAAAGTCCACAAAATTTCCATCAAGTCAAGATGATAATGGAACAACAAGGCCAGCAGAGCGCAAGGACCGATCAAATATTCCAACCTGATCGTATCGATTGCTGGATCATGAGTTGGGCGGAATTTAACTTTCATGAGGTAAAGGACGTAGATGGAGGAGCCGATGAAGAAGAGCTTCATCAGAAATCGATAGAGTGAGCTTTCATGGAATATATCGAGATAGCGAGTGATAAAGACGACGGTGTAGAGAAGTTGCGTTCTGAAGGAAATACCACGACATGATCTGGATAGTTGAATTTTATGGAGAAGGATGAAAATCGAGGCGAGATGGGCAAAGTCTCCGGCCAAACGGAAGATATTCATTTCGAGCAAGGCAATACGAGATGATGCAAGTGATCGAGGTGATGGTGGAGGTGATGGAGATGGTGGAGATGGTGGTGGAGAAGAGGGAGGAGGATGGAAGGAGTCAATCCTCTCCTCTTCTCGCCTTGTGTGAGAATCGCACGAGAAGAAAGAGGGGATGGTCCGTGCCTTTCTTCATCCCTCGCCGGCATGGGCATTTCCTGTACTGAGCTCCGAGGTGCATCGGCGTTTTGGCTGCATTTCTGACACGTAACAGTTGAATTTTGCTGCGTGCCAACCAACTGTAGCCTACATCCCTCATCTGATCGGGCCCCCCCCCCCCCATCCCAATTTCAACCACATCGGGAGATCTGTCCTCAACAGTCGTTCAACCGCACAGCTTGACACACACCAACACCAACTTGAGCGATTGGGCAGCAATGACATTCCAACCAGAAGCATCATACAAGCAGCACAGAAGAAGAGAGCATCGCACCTAGACCTTGCGCAAAGGTGAAGGAGCGAAATGATGCAGTATCGTAGCTCGAGCTTGATCAAGTGCAGTCTGTTTGCGAGTACGACGACGTTGAGCCAACCAGAGGATGAGATCGAGCATGACGATCCACCAGATTCGGTGCATTGAGTCGCCTTTTTCAAGTAGCAAGAGTGAGCTGCTCGTGTTCGAAGCTGTCGTGGAGCAAGGTGCAGCGGAGGAGGAGCTTGTGGGTGCAGAGACTGATGTTGACGTAGGCATCGGCGGGAAGAGAGACGTCGACAATGTGGCAGAGGCCGTTGGGTTAGGAGGGGCGCTGGAAGAAGCAAGAGACGCTGAACTGCTCCAGACAGTCGGCGACACGGCGGGGAAGAAGTTGTTCTGCCGCTTGTCAAGTCTCGTCATGGAAGCAGTTGCACTACCTGCTCGCCCTGGGTCTTCTGACGGGCGCGGTGATATGTCTCTGTCTTGTGTTGGAGCGGGATCAATGTTGCTCGTTGTGTTGGTTGCATTTGAACTTGTTCTCTGTCGAGTGCTACTGGCAATGTCGCTGGCTAATGCAGTGGGTGCAGCATCACTTGCACTGCTACTAGTGCTAGCATTCAAGGCCGCCATCGATGTTGAGCTGGATGAAGCTGCGGCAGCAACTGTCGTGGAAGAGCCCAAGCTGGTGGGCAAAGTATTCACTGGACCTGCAGCAAACTTGGAATTCAGCACGACAGCGACCCCAATCGAGCCCAACGCTGAAAGAAGCAGCAGCGGAACTAGCAATCGTTTCGCTTTACGAGAGATGCTGATCAGTGCAGGAGTTGGCATCGTCGCATAGTCACGCTGAGCTCTTGCAACAGGAAGAGCGGCCGCCGCTGCTGGCTCAGCGTATCCCGGCGGATCAACAACCTTTGCATCCGCATCAACATGAGCCTTTTGCACAACCTCGGCGTCTACAAGGGTCGCTGAGCTCTCCTTGGGCGGCATAGCATGACTTGGCAGCATAGCATGACTTGGCAGCATAGCATGACTTGGCAGCATAGCATGACTTGGCAGGACAGAGTCTTCTGGCTGAGGATGTAGTTTGGCCGCAAGAGAAGGCAGCAAGGCATCCAGATCGGAGCAGATGTGCAAGACAAGTGCGATCAGATGCACCAGAGCAGCACAAGCAATCGTGAGACCCATCCACAGAGGCAAATCTGTCGCAAGTGTTTTGCTACTCGCACTCGACCCCAAGCCCAACGCTGAGGTGTTGCCGAAGAAGCTACCATTCCCAACTGCAGCCCAAGTATCGTTGACCGTCGCTTGACCAGCAAGCGTCGAGTTGGTAGTCGGAAAGAGCTGTTCCAGCTGTTGCTGCAAAGTGCCCAACGCATTGAGATGCTCAGTGTAGTCGGGCTTGAATGTCCATGAGTAGGGAGAGCAAGAGCTTGAAGTAGGCAAGCTGGTCAGCCATGCTTGCACTGCCGAGTTGGAAAGGTTTGCGCTCCAAGCAAGCTGCTTGGCGGAGAGATCGGGTAAGGTGATGCAAGAGGACATCGGTCCAAAGGTGAGCAACGTTACCAATGCCTGATTCGAGGGACTGGTGGTGGCGTTGGCTGATGTCATGTTGGCTTGTGTACTGTTGCCCATCGTCGTACTGGTCGAGTTGGTGGCGAGGGGAGGCACAGAGGAGGTGGTGTTGGTGTCGTTCGACATGCTGACCAATCTGAATGCGGCGTAAGCTTGTCAAAGCGCAGAGCAAAGTTGACAAAGAAGGGCCAAAGAAGGGCCAAAGAAGGGGCGTCTCGAGTGCTTGGAGTCGGTTGGCTTGGTTGGGAGTAGATGAAAGCGACTCGTTTCTACTCGAGCGCTTCCATTATATGATGCATTGCCCTTCTGCGCCCTGTCGGTAGCCCTTGGTCAGCCATGTTTCCAGCTTGCTCGGATGAGCTTTGAATGCTTGTGAGGAGAAAGGACAAAGGGAAGATCTGGTATCAACGGCTTTCTAGAAGGAACAAAGGGGATATCCCGATTGCATTGACACCTGCGATGCGAACCAGCTGCACGCCCTGCAGCCCCGGATGAAGTCGACAACGGAACAAGTTCAACAAAGGGCATATCCAAGCTCAAACGCTTTGACAGCGCTGTGAAGAAGTTGCAATGTTAGTGGGACAGGAACAAAGACACCAAGACGTCTAGTGACACCTGCGTTTCTTGAAGCTTTCAAACTGCCATATGGTGGGGCAGAGAAAAGCGAGACAAAGACTGCCATCCCTTTGTCCTTATTCACTGCTTCACTGATGCACAAAGGGTAAGAGTATGAAAGATGTCCATGGCCAAGCTCGTTGTCCAAAACCGGAGTACAAGAAGGACACGGAGGTTGCTGTTGGACGGAACCAAGGCATCCAAAATCCTCGACACCATCACCTTGCAATATGCTGACCGCCATCCGAGGCAGTCCCGTCATCAGAGCCAAAGAGCGTATCGTAGCATGGCTGCTGCTGATATTGCACGCTCTCGTCCTCTCTATCTCGGTGCTCTTACTCCTAAGCCCGAACACCATCTTCAATCGTCACAGCGGCTTAGCAAGTGTCAGTCTAAACATGGCGGCGCTTTCTCAATCGTCGCCACTCGAATCTTCACTGTCGAGCAATCTAACATGCTCTCCCTCTTGATCAACGGTCCATAGACTCCATCTGCACAGCCTTCACAAGAGCACACTCTCACACGACGGCAATGTCCTTCAAACCGCCTTGGTCTTCTTGCTACTACGATGCCCAGTGCGTCAGCTAAAGCAGCGCTTGGGAGCACACTTCCCGACAAGCTCGTGACCGCTTGAGGCCATCCTCCTACTTTCAGCACTGCACACACCATTGTGATACCCATTTGATTGCCATCCATCTCTTCTTGGCTCTCAGCGAGTTGGATGCTGTGCATCATCAGTGAGCGTTTGGCATGACTATGAGGCCAAAGTGTCGTGACAAAGTAGATGTGGGCCTTCTGCATCCTCCCTTGAACAATGCGAACAAGGCCAGATTTGATAGAAGCGTGGGTGTTGAAGGGCGTGCGACAGATAGCGTTGGTCACAGGTATTGATTGCGATAATAGTTATCAACCAAGTACTGAAGAAATTGAGGTCGTATGAGGTCCCGATACTGGTGATCGGGGATGGTCTAAGTACAATGTCACTACTTTGTTACAGCAGAAACATATACTAAATTGACCTACCAGAATGTGGCAAGAGCCTAGTGCTCTCTGTGAGATATATATACATGTGAGCAGCACAAGCCAAAGGTGGGACTGCTCCTACTTAATGATCTAGCCTGACAATGAGCAAGACTTGGTTGTACCCAATCCTCAACAAGCTCAATTGTCCCTGATCTCCAATCTCATTGCCCTAGCATCATTTGTTAGTGTCATCACTGGATCATTACTTTCAGCACCCCCTCTCAATCCAGTATGCTTCTTTGACACTATCAGACCAAACAGCTCCCATATGTGCACCAGCATCAGCATCATGAGTGGCTTTGTCAATATGTCAGCAATATTCTTGCAACTCTGGACTGGGGCAATCGTGAGTTGCTGACTAGCCACTTCATCCCACAAGAAGAAGTGAGCAATATCAATGTGCTTTGTCCTCTTGAAGTGTTGTGGGTCACTTGCAATGGCATGCACTCCTGATGAATCACTGTACAGGATTGGAACATTTCAATTGAAGGCTAGCTCACCCTCTTGTGAGTAGATGGTCATAGTTCCAGCACTCATGCATATTCTGGTCATCAGCAGTGTTTGTTGTTGCAGCTCATGTAGGAACATCAATGTCCATAGTAGCTCTCTAGCAGCTCCTGCTAGGGCTACATATTCAGCTTCCACTGAGCTATTTGCCACCATTGGTTGGAGGCATGATGACCAACTACACACTAGTCCCTCAATCATGAAGATGTATCCTGACATCAACCTCCTGCAACTGTGCGATCCTGCCCAATCACTATCTGCCCACCCAGTGAGTGTTTGCCTGCCAGTGTGTGTTCCTACAGAGAGGCTGATTCCTATTATTCCCTTGAGGTACTGTAATATGTGTTTGGCAGTGGTGAGGTGTTCACCAGAGGGGTTCATGACAAATTGGGTGCAGCAGCCAACAGCAAATGTAATATCAGGTTGGCTGCCTTGAGCGATCCATAATAATGATCCTATAAGTGAAGCATAGTGATGAATTTCTTTGGCACTAGCTGGATCACCTTCCCATGGTCCAAGAGTATTAATGGCTTCAGTGGCTGATGTCAATGCTGCCCAGGCTTTGTCCATCCCAAACTTCATTAGTATTCCTTCAATGTATCCACTCTGATTTATCAATAGCATACAAGCCTTTCTATCATAATCCACATTCAGGCCAATGATATGTGACACATTTCCTTGGTCCGTGATATTGAAGACACTTGCGAGCTGCTGTCATACAGATTTGACATGTGATTCTGTTGCCCTGATGACTAGGAGGTCATCAACATAGACCACGAGTAGTGTCATTGCATTGTCTGATCCATGCATGTATACACAAGGTTTGGCCCTGCAATGCTTGAGACCAAACACTTGAAGTTGTTCATCAAGTGCTGCATGCCACAATCTGCCAGCCTGCTTGAGCCCATAGAGAGCTTTCTTCAACCTATAGCATTTGTTCTTGGTTGCTTTTGTTTCAAACGTCAGCAGGATCCATACGTACACATCCTTATCAATCTTACCATTCAGGAATGCCATACTGACGTTGAGTTGAATGGCATGCATTCTGTATCGGTGGGCAACAGCAAGTAAGATTCATACTGTTTGTAAACAAATGACCAGACTGAAGGTCTGGTCGTAGTCTAATCCCTGGTGCTGAGCATATCCCTGTGCAACCAGGCATGCTTTGTATCATGTGGCATGGTGTTGGGTGTCAAGCTTGAGTTTGTATACCCAGCAAACGCTGATGAGTCTGCCATTTGCCAGTATGTCCACCAGGTCAAAGACATTCATTTTATGCATGCTGTCCATCTCGCTCATCATTGCCTCTTGCCATTTCGGCCAGTCATTGTGTGCTTTAGCTTCATTGAGAGATAATGGTTCCAACAAGATACCATCAGCACTCTGAAGGTGTTGGCCACTAGCAATTAATGCAGTACTGTCCATTATTGCAGCTGCAAATGCCATGTGGTCCAGATGGTGACTGCTGACTACAGGTATGCAGGTAGCAGGGTTTGGTGTGAGTGAGCACATTGTAGCAAAAGCCATGTATTCAAGGTCAATTGACAGGTCCAGTGGTTCTGTGTGGGTGATGTCGAGCACAGAGACATCATCATACATGTCTGCTGTCATATCACTTTGTGGCATATTGAGTGGGGACACATTCTCATGATTCTCATCATGTGGCAAGCCTAGTATCATATTCCCCCTTTTGGGTTGCACCATGTCGAGTTCTGCTCCGAGTTCTGTAGCAATTGCATCTATGTCTATAACGATCTCACCAGCCTCTTCAATGTCCCCCATCATTTGGTCCCATTCATGGCTGTAACTTGAGACGTTTGAAGAACTTGAATTGGAATTGATGGTATGCTGATGAGAATACATTGGTTGTGATGAGTGAGTCATAACACCTGTTTCCATTTCGTCCGTTGCTTCATCTTGGGGGAACCAGGTGTAGGAACATAACAGCTCATGATCGCCTGCAAGGACACATCTGTGGAGAGGTTGAGGATCTGCACCTGGCTGTTCAAGTTCCGAGAATCTAACGTCTTTTGCAATGACCACATGGTCAAGCTCTGGAAGCCAGACTTTGTGGCCTTTGACCCCATGTGGTTCATCTGAGAAACCTGTCAGGGGTCTCGCGCCTGAAACCCAGGTCGGTCTGTCGAGATACTCGGTAACTATCAAACTGTGCGACAGCTATTGTCTCGGTATCGGTGACTATCAAGTTGTGCAGTGACAGCAGGTGGCGTTCATTGTATATACTATCATAGGTTTCGGCTGACCTCTGTGGACACTCCGTTCAGGGGTAGCTCAGCACGATCAATATCAATGTTATGATGACACCAAGGTCTGGTGTGAGTGTTGATGATGATGAGGTTGATGGTGTGGGTGATGAGATTGGTGATGTCGATGATAATGAGGTTGATGGTGTTGGTGATACGGTTGGTGGCATCAACACGAGTGTCCAGTGTGTTGACTTGATGCTTGAAGTGATCCCCAGACTGCAGTGGACTACTGCCTTTGGTTCTATCTATATCTGGACCGCTAACCTGCTATGGGCGCCTTCGGACGTCAGGTAGTGGTGATACAACACACACACTACGATGAGGAGCAACCTTTGATGGATTGCTGCTATGCTGACTGAAACTAATATATACTTATGCTGAAGTGATAACTAGTTATGGTGAGTAGAGTGGATGAGGATCCACTCGACCTATGATGATGAGAAAGCATGGTTATATACCTCTTCACAGCATCGCCAGCAATGCTGCTCCTGCTCTCTCTCCAGAGAGTACCTTCTTCATCGAGTACTGCTCAGGGGCCTCTCCTGCTTGGCACCCCTGTGCCTCTTGAGCTGTGTCGACTCCTTCGACACTGCTCCTCCTCCTCTTGAGCTGTGTCGACTCCCTCGACACTGCTCCTCTTCCTCAGGACCTGCTTGCCAGTGTCCTATGACTCTTGTCTCTCGAGCCCCTGAGTGGTAACCATCTGAGCTTGGTCCTCTTCGTGGCTGTGCCTGCTCTTTGAGCTTGGTCCTCCTCGTGGCTGTGCCTGGCCCTCCTCGCATATGGGCTCAGTGCTCCTTTGCATGTGAATACATAGGAGTCCATGGTCTCCATGGAGACTGCACTACGACCATGCTCTCTACTGGTATCGACTAGGTCTTCGATACCTGTGCTCCTTCCATATGAACCAGTGACCCTCCTGCTTCTTGAGCATCCAGGCCCATGACATGACTCTCCTGCTTCTTGAGCATTCAGGCCCATGCATCGGAGACAGGAGTGTCAGCTCGAGACGGCGTATCCATCTTGTTGATGTCAACTCTAATTGGGCTGGGCGTCTCCACCTTAGTATGATGTTGTTGCTCAAACGGCCCCTCGATCTTGAAGGCAAGAATGTGACCAGCATTCCATTCTTTGTTGGTGAGGAAGTTATTTACTCTGGTTCGCATTGCTCTTCCTATTTACTCTGGTTCGCATTGCTCTTCCTAGTTCGATTTGGCTCGGGAATGGGCCTAGGTCATGCATTCCATAATACAGTTCACTGACACACTCAATCATGATGGAGAGAGGTGAGATGACTTGTTTGTTGTCACTGGTGATGGTGAATTCTAGAAGACTCCCTTCCTTTGGAGTGTTGGGTGTGCCATAAACTTCACCAGCTATCATATGATTGAACTGATTTTGAAGCATTTTCAGTAGTTGTGGGAGGAGGTCTTCCATTGGACTAATGAAGTCATCATAGAGGGAGTAGTTTACATTGTTGAGGGTGAGTTCAAGGATGAGGTAGGGCTTTGGTTTGGGCTCATAACCTGAAGAAATTGAGGTCATATGAGGTCCTGATACTGGTGATTGGGGATGGTCTAAGTACAATGTCACTACTTTGTTACAGCAGAAACATATACTAAATTGACCTACCAGAATGTGGTGAGAGCCTAGTGCTCTCTGTGAGATATATATACATGTGAGCAGCACAAGCCAAAGGTGGGACTGCTCCTACTTAATGATCTAGCCTGACAATGAGCAAGACTTGGTTGTACCCAATCCTCAACAAGCTCAATTGTCCCCAATCTCTGATTTCATCGCCCTAGTGTCACTTGTTAGCGTCATCACTGGATCGTTACTTTCAGCAAGTACAAGATGATTCGAATGTATATACATCTCCTCCAGCGTTCTGTGTATATGTGTATGATACAAGGATGATAAGGCTGAAACACGATGGGGAAACTATGTCGGATGTCGGATGTCGGATGTCGGATAGCCGATATGCCAATGCCTATTGCGACAGTCGATCCAGGCATTATATTACCTATCCGATTGAGCAAAGTTGGTGAAAGTGTGAGATCGAACTAGGACTCACATGCAAAATTCATCGGAACTCGGATTGCTGTTAACGTCGCGTTTAACTTGAACCCTTTTTCACCCAACTTGCTTCTCCTTCCTCATCAACCACTCCGACCCACCCCCATCACTCACCCCTCGAACCGTCACAGCCATGGCACCCACAGCAACGGGTCCAACTCCCTCCACCACCACTGCTGGCACCACCACTGCTGGCACCACCACTACCTCCGCCACCCCTGCCACCGCCTCCACCTCCAGCCTAGAAGAAGCAAACCAACGTTACCAAGCCACCAAACTCTCCCTTCGAACCGGTCTGGCCACTAAACGTCTAATCGATCGATCTCTCATCGACCTCGAATCTCAAATCTATCTTTTTGAAGGCTCCTACCTACAATCCACCTCCACATCCGGTGGTAACATTGTCAAAGGATTCGATAGCTATCTCAAAAACTCTTCTTCTGGTGCAGGTGGAGGTAGAAGTAGTAGTTCGAACAATGTTTTACTTGATATCCCGCTCGAGGATCGCATTTTCAGTTTGTCGTCAGCAACGTATCAGAAAAGTTTAGAGTTGAAGGCGAACGAAGGCTTAGAACCGGAGGAACCCGCGTCCAGTAGTAATACGCCAAAGGCGAATAAGAGTGGGGGTATCGGAGAGGAGGGGATGGGGACAGGGGGGAAGAAAAAGAAAGAGAAAGAGAAAGAGACGGCGGTGGGGACTCCGGCGGGAGGGAAAGAGGGAGGAGCGGGGGGAGTCGTGGTAGGGGGAACGGGGAAGAAGAAGAAAGATAAGGATGGGATGAAGGAGAAAGAAAGAAGCCAAACTCCTAATCTCAAACTAACAAGTGGTGGTGGCAAGGCAGGAGATGGAGGCGGTAGTGCCAGTGCTACTCCTACAAAGGGGACATGTGGGGGTGGGAAAGCGATTGGCTCCACTGGGACAAAGTTGAAGCGCAAGATCACAGATGTAGGCGCCGGTGCAAGTGAAAAAGGTGGAGCGACGCCCGGTGGGAAAGCTGGCAAGCGGAAGAAGGATGATGATTAGCCTCGTACGCCTTCTTGGTCGTGCTCAGGGCTGCTGTTTCGTCTTTTATACCCCGATCGATCTCATTGCCTGCGAACGATGCTTGAGTTGAGCCATCATGTCCCTTTAGGCCTCTACGTGTATTTCTACTTGTTCCCACTCGAACCACTCGAACCATTCAGATTTGCTATCACCCTTTTGCCACACTTGACCAACATAACTATGCTATGTGTTCCGATTTGGTCTTGATGTTACACAGAACGAAGAGATTGGTTTGATAATACATTGGTAGCCATCTCCTAGACTGACTATCCCACAGACCTCCTCCCGACGCTTTCTTTCGACCCCAGAGTTTGGCTTAGTCAAAAGCTCCAGGACGATTGTTGAAGCGATCCTGTCTCCTCTGGTTAATCCAAGCTTTCTTGCATTCCCTATACTGTTTGAAAATATCTCCGCATTTGCTCCTATCGTAAGCGTTATCATCGAGACACTTCATGGAGAGTTTTGCAGCATGTGCGCAAGGGTCGGTGAATTTGGATGGAGTTTTGTGCGACATTACCGAGATGAAGTCTTCTGGTTTTGATGGGTCTCCTTCTCTTGCCTTTTCAGATGAGCCCGAGCTTTTGGAGCGTGGGGATGAGGAAGAGAGATAGGATGAAGTCGAAGGGGTGGTCGCTTCTTCTCGTGTTGGTTTGTATTGGGATGACATTGTCTCGTGTCGCAAGCAGCAATGCTTCAGGGGTGATGATGGGGGGTTGCAAGAGAAGGGTCCAAGAGAAGGGTCCAAGAGAAGGGTCGAAGAGAAGGGTGCAAGAGAAGGGTAGAAGAGAAGGGTAGTACTGCTACCAGAAGAGGATCTCGAATTTGAAGTCGAAGCCATTATGGACAAACGAGTCCATAACCACCAACTGGAATACAAAGTGCTCTGGCAAGGGTACCCGGAAGAAGCAGCATCATGGGAACCAATTGACCTTCTCAATTGCCCAACCCTCATCCAGGAGTATGAGGTGTTGGCAGGGGGACGTCTATAAAAGCTCCCAGAGACACCAGAGACACAGACAGAGAAGAGCAAAACAAAACCAACTGGAGGCAAAGATTCTGGTTAATTTCAGTCGAGATCAATCAGACAAAGCACATCTGTTACATCTCACAGAAGCCAACAAGAACAACTCATTCAGTAGAACCTATGGAATGGCCAAAGAGGAGAAGATTGGCAACCACACCACATGCCAGGGACAGGACACAGTCTCGAAGGAAAGGAACAGGGAAAAATGGAATTAAGGATGTGGGAAAAAATGGAATTAAGGACATGTTGCTACACATTGCCATCACCAACAGGGGCAGAATGGCCACCAAGAGAAGGACAAACCCACCATCTATCGAAGGTAGGGCCAAGATGTTCACCGGGAGCTGTGACAGATTCATGTGGACAATGCTCCAAGTGCAACTTGTCGTGGTGGTCAAGGTACACGAAAAGCACCCAGAGGATAGGAAGTGCCAATGATCGGTTGGGTAGGCACCAGAGGTCAGCCATAGCTGACACCCAATCCTCAGAAGTAGTGGGATCAGTCAGTTGATCATTGGCACAAACGAAACCCAGACCATAACCATTGGCCACAGTCAAATGTGCATGCTCTGCTTGATGAGCACCTAGAGGCTGCCTTCCAGGGGCACCATCACCTAAGTACTCCATGTCCGGAGGAGTAGGTTTCATCTGATAGCAATGTGCCATGTTGCCGAGGTGGCAATGAGTGCAAGAATGAGGAAGACAACTATGGCCACTGAATGGGTTAATGAATGCAGAAGGGAAACAACTACAGAAAAAGGGTGAGGTCAATAACAAAAAAAAAAGGGAAAAGTCAAATGGAAGGAGTACTTATGGAAGACTAAGGTCAGAGCACTGGTTACACTGCCAGCTAGGCCAGGGCATACAACCCTCAGTCAAATGAAGCATGACCAAGCGGTGCAGCCACCACTCAGTTGCAGAACCTTTAGCCACCTCCCAGCCTGGAGGGTAATCCCCAGTAGTGACCTGCACCACCAGCCTAGCCACCATCAATCCTTCAGACCAACCAGCTATCTCACCATTGGTTGGTACATGACAATCAGGCAGAGGCAGGGATGGGGTACATACCAAATCTACCTCCTCAGCATCACAATGGTCTGAAGAAGTCGAGGTCACGTGCTCCATATCGATGTCAGGAGAGTCGAGTGCTGGAAGAAGGGGTCCAAGGGATGAACACAGTGAGAGCAAGGAAGCAGTTGGACTCAGGAGAGCAGCGTTGTCATCAGGGAGGGAAGGCGAGGCCAAAGGGGGGGGTTGCTGATAGATGGAGTTGGACTTGGGAGAGTGGCGTCATCATCAGGAAGGGGAGACGAGGCCAACAGGGGGCCGGGGGGGGGGGTATTATTGGGAGACTCTGCCTTGCCCATCGCAGCAGGAGGGGAGGGGGAAGTTTTCGTAGGCCGAGAACGAAGGTAAAGGGGCATACCGAACAGGGTATTGTTGGTTGCATGGAATGGTAGGAAGAGAAGAAAAGAGGAGATGGAAAGAAGGACGAAGGAGAGCTTATAACCTCGACGGAGCTCGGCTCTGGAAGGGGGGGTAATGTCACAGGGTCAGCAGGTCAGCATATGAAGTGTGTGCCAAATTGATCGGTGGCAATCATCGGGAATTGATGATCTAATTGGGTTGGTAGCACATATGATTGGCAAGATCAACCAAACTCTGGGATCCTGGTTAATCTCACAAGGATTGATCAGAATCAGCCTGATCAGCATGTTTCAGCAAGTCGGCTGTTATGAGCAAGCATCAGGAGATCCAGGAAGGAGGAAACTGGCATCAGAAGGAGAAGCATATGGGAGATAGCCACATGCAGGAGTGGGGACTGAGCTCAGCATCACGCGGATGGTTACCGCTCAAGGGGTATGTGCATATAGCCACATAGGACCGAGCACAGGGGTGACCAGATGATCAAGGGGCTCGGCAACAGGGCCCAACAGCTGGCTAAGGGATTCACAAGATAAGGTCGAGAAGGTGGTCACCAGTGAAGAGAGAGGGAGCTGTGTCAAGAAGACTGGGGATTGGCTATGAGGAGGAGGAGCTGTGTCGAAGGGGTCGTCACACATCACCAGGCAAAGAAGAGCACAAAGGCGAAAGGGCAGTGTTGCACAAACCAATACGCGGTGCAAACAGTAGAGGCACAGCATCAAAGGGATCAACACCAGCAGGAGAGAGTGTGTCAAAAGGCGACAAAGGCCTCTCAGGAGGAGCAGGAGGGGTGTCGCGGGCGACACCCATCAAATGCATAAATACTCTCATTCTATCATAGCATACAAGTGGATCCTCATCCACTCTATATTCTATACTTTACATACTCTTTACTTGACTCTTAGTTACATATCATTGCAATAGCAGAGCTTTGCAACGACACCTCAAACATGTGTGTTGTATCACCATTAGGCGTCAACTGTAGGTGGTGTTCCTCAACACCTGTGGTCCAGTCCCTTGTCATGGGCCTGGATGCTCAAGAAGCAGGAGGGTCACTGGTTCATATGGAAGGAGCACAGGTATCGAAGACCTAGTCGATACCAGTAGAGAGCATGGTCGTAGTGCAGTCTCCATGGAGACCATGGACTCCTATGTATTCACATGCAAAGGAGCACTGAGCCCATATGCGAGGAGGGCCAGGCACAGCCACGAGGAGGACCAAGCTCAAAGAGCAGGCGCAGCCACGAGGAGGACCAAGCTCAGATGGTTACCACTCAGGGGCTCGAGAGACAAGAGTCATAGGACACTGGCAAGCAGGTCCTGAGGAAGAGGAGCAGTGTCGAGGGAGTCGACACAGGTCATGAGGAGGAGGAGCAGTGTCGAAGGAGTCGACACAGGTCATGAGGAGGAGGAGCAGTGTCGAAGGAGTCGACACCACTCAAGAGGCACAGGGGTGCCAAGCAGGAGAGGCCCCTGAGCAGTACTCGATGAAGAAGGTACTCTCTGGAGAGAGAGCAGGAGCAGCATCGCTGGCAATGCTGTGAAGAGGTATATAACCATGCTTTCTCATCATCATAGGTCGAGTGGATCCCCATCCACTCTACACTCACCATACAACTAGTCAATACTTTAGAAACACAAGTACTCATTAGTTACAGTCAGCATAGCAGCAATCTATCAAGGTTGCTCCTCATCGTAGTGTGTGTGTTGTATCACCACTACCTGATGTCCGAAGGCGCCCATAGCAGGTTAGCGGTCTGGATCAAGATAGAACCAAAGGCAGTAGTCCACTGCGGTCCGGGGATCACTTCAAGCATCAAGTCAACACACTGGACACTCGTGTTGACGCCACCAACCTTATCACCAACACCATCAACCTCATTATCATCGACATCACCAATCTCATCACCAACACCATCAACCTCATCATCATCAACACTCACACCAGACCTTGGTGTCATCATAACCGAAGCATTGATATTGATCGTGCCAAGCTACCCCTGAATGGAGTGTCCACAGAGGTCAGCCGAAACCTACGATAGTATATACAATGAACGCCACCTGCTGTCACTGCACAACTTGATAGTCACCGATACCGAGACAATAGCTGTCGCACAGTTTGATAGTCACCGAGTATCTCAACAGACCGACCTGGGTTTCAGGCGCGAGACCCCTGACACCGATCTGATCAGAGATTCAGGGGGACTGATCTGGGAAGAGATCAGGTACAACACAGTCCTGCCAGTTGTCATGGTAGGTCATTAGCTAGGGGTAATCCCACCTCTGGGAAGTGCAACACAGATGTATATATAGCACACTGAGAGCACTAAGCTATCAACACTTCCCTCTAGTCAATCGAGTATATATGTTTCTGCCTTAAAGAAGTAGTGACATTGTACTTAGACTCTCCCCGATTGCCAGTATCAGGATCGAAACTTCTTCAAACTTCAACAACTACTTGCTTAGGGGGTATCAAAGTTTTTGCGTTTTTAAAAACGCGGGTTTTTTGCAGAGCACGTTTTTCAAAAAAAACGCAAAAGCTTACATAAGCTGCGCCAAATGAAAAACAAAACTGCGTTTTTGAAAACATGGCTTTTTCGTGCGTTTTCAAAAACGCAAAACGAGTTCACTCCACAACAGTGAAAGTATGTGAGCACTACTTCGATCTCACACCTTCGCCACCTTTACACACTCGGATCCATAGCAAGTTGTCGAAGCCAGTCCCGCGTATCGGCATGCGTCAGGCCCGATCATCGCCATCGGCATCGGCACACCGGCTATCTGATACCCGAGGTGGAGAAGATAGGTGCCACATCATGTTTCATATGCTTATTGTTAGGTTACGTCTCTTATCGGCCGTATGATTCATGCTTCATATGCTTACTTTTAGGATACGTATTTTATCAGCCGTATGATTTCATCGCATTTTTGGAAACCCGCTTTTCCTTAAATGGGGGGTTCAACTTTGCTCCAAAAATGCGCTTTTCAAAAAACCCGCGTTTTTAAAAACGCAAAAACTTTGATACCCCCTCTTGTTCGTGTGCATATAGTTGAAGTCATTCGTCAGTGGTTGGGGTTGAGGCGTCTTTGTTGATGATGATAAGAGAGAGAGAGAGCGAGAGAGCGAGGAGCCTATATATATATACAAAAGAAGAGCGGCAGAGAGCCACATTAACTGCGGAACATAACAAAGCATTTTGTCTTGAGTAGGTTGTGACACATGTGGTCCGTGCTCAGATGCTCAGGCCTTTTACTCGGCCGTAAGCGCTACCCTCACTGTCTCTACGCTTTGTGTAGCCTTATCTACTTCAACTCGTATCGCCAAAATCGGAAGAGTCGATCGGATCGGGCAAAGTGTTGGTTGCGTGTGGTGCGTGTATGTGGAGGCTCAGTTTTGGTCGACAATATACCGCCACCATCACCACCACCATCACCGCCACCATCACCGCCACCATCACTGCCAGCATCACTGCCAGCACTGATTGCGCTCCTACCCTCCCTTCCAACAACTGCATCGCACAATTTGATTCCAATGCTTCCTCCTACGCTCAACCCCGGTTCTTCTCCTGCCTCTCCCGTCGTGTCCACTCCGCCACATGACGCGCCGTCTTTGCCGAGCCTGCCAGGCTTGCCCGCATCACCACAAAAGAAGCTCCTTTATGATACACTCAAGAAGCCATTCGATGATCAGGATTTCAGCGTCATAATTTGGATTCAGATGCTCAAAGCAGCAGCCCTGCCCAATACTGATCGCCAGATACGTCTATATACACTCAAGTGCTTTCTCGATCACGCATACTTTGATCGGCTCATCAATGAGCTCAAATCCATAGCCGATCGGCTTCCGGAAAAGTTTGTCCATAGCTTCTTGCACGTTTCCGGCTCCGGAGCCGATCCCTCTGCAAGTCTCAGAGATCGGTTCGACGCCAAAACTCTCTTGACACGCATCGAGAAATGCGCCTTCTTTCAACCTACCTTCGACCCTGTCGACCGCCTTGCACATGTCTTGCAGTATGCTTTCATCCCAGGTCCCCTTCGTATGCCCAGCCCTCCGGCCCGTGCGCCTCTCTACGACTTTACCTCCACCTTCAACGGTCAAGCTCTCGAAAGACTTGTCGACTACATCAAGGTACACAACCAGCTCTTTCCCCCTTCCTCATCATCTCCGCCTCCCGTGCATGTCGCCCGTCTTGAGAACTCTCCCCCTTTAGCCGACCACACTCACCACCAACAGCATCAGTCCGTGCCCGAGCAGACTCGCAAGCATCATTGGTCCCTGCCCGAGCAAACTCGCAAGTACTATGCCAAGGTGCTCCCCATAATCCAGTCCTCAGGCTTTGGCAAAACCAGGCTCTGCGTCCAACTCAGCACCGTCAGTCCCGGTATGCTCGTTTGTCTCAGAGAAAGCTCTCTCCTCACACAAAACTATGCTGTCTCGGAGCCCCCGCAGGACAAGCCAGTCTATGACTACTTTCAACGCATCAAGCGACTCCTCCCTGGGTCATTAGAAACCAAGGATCAGCCCCATCCCACGCCCAAAGGCGACCAAGAACACATGAGGTTCAACCAAGCACACCTCTCCATCCTCGCTTGGCTTTCCGTCTACTGCCAGACTACAGCCTATTACCTGATCCAGCTCCAACATGCCTCTGGTTGCTTTGACCCGCCTGCTCACCACCAAGATCCTGCCGCGTGCTGGCGTGCCGTCGTCTTCTACTATGCCCGAACTACCGGCTTGAAAGAGGGCTCGCTCTTCGAGACTCCCTCTAACATCTGCCACCAGAGCCGCCTCCCACATGTCTGTTCCACAGACATACCTCCTAGCACCGACAATCCGCTCACTCATGTCCACCCCGCCAACCAAGCCGCCGATCCTCCGCCTAGCCTTTTGGCAACCCCGCGAGTTCGTGAAAAGATCCTTGATTACATCTGTGAAACGGCCACCACTCTCGCGTCAACCATGAAGGGACAGTACTCTTGCCAATTGTCTGATCATGAGTTGCTCACCCATGCCATTCGAGATCATCTCAAGCCTCGCCTCCAATTAGTGGAGCATCTCCTTCGCAACGCTGACCCTAACTCGTTCTTTTTCCTCGCATTGGACGAATGCAGTAGCATGGATACATTGCTGCCATACATACGTCGAGTGTGGTTCCATGCCATGCCAGAGACCACGTGGATCCTCCTCATCGACACTAACTCGGATCTGGCACCGCTCGCCGGCAAGGAAGCTCGTCAAGGCTCGCGACGCATGTCAGAATTCGACACGCATTGTCTCACCCAGGCGTTTTCGGCGATGCCTCTCGACCTCAACTTGACTAGTCAACATCTTCGCACGCTCTCCCCCTCGGGTACCTGCCAACTGACCATGCGAGATCTCGACGCATTCCTTCCTCGCTTCGGACGACCGCTGTGGATGGACTCACGCTATCACAGCGACGGGTTCATCATGCCCACGACCATCTTCAGGAAACTAGTCTTGCCGAGCGAGTGGACGTGGCCGGAGGTATTGCAAGACATCCAGCCCGATCCGCTCAACGAAACCAATCAGAATCTGATCGCGCTTGCCTCCCGACGCCTTCACCTCGACCTGTCGAGCAAAGCTGGCCCGCAGCATTGGTACCACTTTGTCTCTCGCCAGATTGCTCACCACCTGCGCTTCGTCGGTCGAATCTATTCCACCTCGGACTCGATCAAGTCGGGTACACCTAGTGAAGCACCTCTTAGCCTTGCCGTTGCTTGGAGCGTTCGATCCAAGCCCGAACTTGTAGCTGTCAAGTGGTCCATGATGGTGCAGGCTATTATCCATGCCAGTGCACCCGTTGGTCTCAACGTGGGCGCTCAAGGCGAGCTCGGCGTCGCTCTCCTATCCACCATGGCCATCGACCTGGCTATGAGCCAGAGGTACTCAAATCACCTGCGTTACTACATTTCCTCATGGCCTGTTCCCTCGGCCGAAGCCAAGTATGCCGCGCTCTACGGCCTGGTCAGTGTCCACGACTGGCTTTGCACTCTTACCGGCTCCAAGTATGTAGAGTGTGCACCAGCAGTCAGCGGGTCCAGCAGCGGCTACCCTGGAAGTGAGGATGGCGACCAAGTCATGGCGGATCAAGACCAAGCCGATCAAGGCTTGCCGTCGCAACTGGCTTCGTGGGCCCGACGCGCATGGCTCAACTTTACGCATTCCGCCGTTCTGCCCAATCAGATACCGCATAACCGTCGCATTGGGACAGATTTGCTTTTCGAGCTCTGGATCCGTCACGCCACAGCGCAAGGCGTTAGCAATCAAGTTGGATGGGATTTGCTCATACCCGTTTATGAGTCTCACAGCGACCAGCCTCCGAACGGCGCTGACAAGTTTGACGAGACCAAGTTGTCGTACATTGCTATCCAAGTAAAGAACTGCATCAACCGACCTACCCGAGAGGTCAAAGAGGCGGCAGTAGGGCCCCGTCTTGCTGTCAACCAAGAGAAGCAGTGCCTCGAGCTCTTCTTTGATCTCAAGGGCCCAGAATCTTGCCGCGGTCACGAGTACTCGCAGCGACGTCATCCAACCCGAGCATCCAACAAGCAGCGGGCGCCCAAGATGAAAGAGCAAGAGGAAGAAGATGCAAAGAGTCGTCTTCTGCTGCGACATCACGTGTTCATAAGTGGTCTCACACCTGAAGGCTTACCATTGCTGAAGCAGCTCCAGGGCCCCGCCGCTAAGCAGGTGAGCTTGCTATTTGGCGATGCAGATTCGCTTGACACGGTCGAGTTCGACGAGACGCATGCCAACTACGTCCGCCGCTTACCATCGGAAGAGCATCGCAGAACTTGGGATGAAGCACAGACGTGCGTGGAAAACAGACTGATGTTCTTTCGTCATCTTTGTTGACGTGATTGATTTTGACACTGATCGAGTCGGAGCTGGACCAGTCAATAGCTTCTGCACTGTTATCTCATTGCTGGTGAATGATGGACGAGAAAGAAGATTGAAAGCAAATAAGATTGTGATATATGCATGTCGCCACCAACGCTCAGCCATTCGCTGTCAACTCATCTTGAGAAAACACACATCAGCCAAAAGGAATGGTAGTTGGTTGACGTCTTCCAACGTCATCGCTACTCTGATTCAGGCCCAGGCAATCGAAACAAAACAAAATACTAAAACAAGACTGTGATGGTGCAGATGACAGCGACCAACCGATGGTGATGCAACAAGGCATGCAAGAAAAGAAAATGGCAGTTCAATAACTGACTGTCCAACTTGGCGTCCAAGTAAAGCTACTCGTGCAAGAGAGGGTTATCGAATTGGAAATTCGAATCATTTTCAAGAAATTGGAATCGCCAATTTGGATTTGGGTATTCCTTGCAATTTTCCATTTTTGACCTCAAATGCAGACACGTGTCTCTTTCCTCTCTCGTGGCTAACTACTCACAAAGGTAATGATCAAACATGACAATGGAAGGTGACGCAAGCCAATGGTGGAGGAATCAGGACAAACTGATCTGATCAGAGATTCAGGGGGACTGATCTGGGAAGAGATCAGGTACAACACAGTCCTGCCAGTTGTCATGGTAGGTCATTAGCTAGGGGTAATCCCACCTCTGGGAAGTGCAACACAGATGTATATATAGCACACTGAGAGCACTAAGCTATCAACACTCCCTCTAGTCAATCGAGTATATATGTTTCTGCCTTAAAGAAGTAGTGACATTGTACTTAGACTCTCCCCTATTGCCAGTATCAGGACTGAAACTTCTTCAAACTTCAACAGGTTATGAGCCCAAATAGCCCTACCACATCCTCGAACACACCTTCAATGATGTCTAACATAGACTACTCGATCTATGACAACTTCGTCGACTCCATGCAGGATCTCCTCCCACGCCTGCCAACAATAGTCCAGAACCATTTGTCATGGGCCTGGATGCGCAAGAGGTAGGAAGAACCATCAGCTCATATGAAGGGAGCACAGGAATCAAGGAATCAGGCAGATTGTGGGATTTGCAGCAGAGTTCAGTGAGATCTGTAGTAGAAATGGTTCTATGACAGATCCCACCAAGATCTGCACAAGCAAGGTTAGTATCACGAATTCCACCAAGATCAGTGGTAGAAGGGATCATATAGCAGATTCCACGGAGATCAGTGGCAAGGATGATCATATGACAAACTCACATGCGAGGGGGACCAAGCTCTGCCAAGACAGGGACCAAGCCCAGAAGCATGCAGCTGGTTACCACTCAGGGGTTCACAAGATAAGAGTCAGGAGAACAGTTGCCAGTTAGGAGGGAGGAGAGCTGTGTCACTGACACCAGCATATAGGTCATGAGGAGGAAGAGCTGTGTCAAAGAGGTCGACACACAGCTCAGGAAGGACAGAGGGGTTGTACAGGGACTCCCACACAGTACTTGACGAAGAGGGTACCCTCTGGAGAGAGGGCCCAGGCAGTGTCGCAGGCGACACTGCAAAGAGGTATAAAATCATACCTTCTCGTCATAGGTGAATGAGTGGATCCCCATCCACTCTACACCATACATTACTAGTTATAGCTTTACACATAAGTATACATTAGTACTCAGTCAGCAAGTTGCAATCTCAATAGGTTGCTTCCATTGTAGCGCGTGTGTTGTATCACCACTCACTGACATCCAAAGGCAGTTCATAGCAAACCAGCAGTCCGGATAAAGATAGAACTGAAGGCAGTCATCCACTGCAGTCCAGGGATCACTTCAAGCATACAGCTGACACACTGGACACCCATATCGGTGTCACCAAACATATTGCTCACACCAGACCTTGGTGTCAGTACCAGTTCATATCAGTTATTGATCGTGCTGAGCTACCTCTGGATGGAGTGTCCACAGTGGTCAGTCGAAACCTGCAATAGCAAAACCATTACTGCATTTCCGAGCGAGAAAAGTGATAGAGACATCTCTACTACATATCTCGACAGGATTCGTAATAGACACGACTCTATTACGGATATCAGGTTTTGGGCGTGCGACTGCTGACATAGATGAGCAATCCCTCTCGGTGGAACATTTACGATTCATGGTGATGTCTCATTGTCACGATGGCATAACCGCTGGACACATCGGACAGGATGCCACTATCTGGTCTACCCAAAGGCACTACTGGTGGCCTAATATGACAGCTTGGATCACAGACTATGTAGCAAGTTGTCCCATGTGCACACGATACAAGACACCTCAACACCGACCTTACAGTCTTCTCCAACCATTGTCCACACCAGAAAGGCCATGGGGATCCATATCATTGGATTTCATCGAAGGACTGCCATTGTCAAAAGGTTATGATTCCATCTTGGTCATAGTAGACTGGCTGACCAAGTACACAGTCATGATCCTGACGACAAAGTCCATAATGGCAGAACAGACAGCTGTATTGCTTAAGACAAATCTCTTCCCTCTATTCGGCGCCCCAGACCACATCATCTCAGACCATGGACAACAGTTCATATCCAAGTCCTGGTCTGCATTTGTTAACAGCCTCGGTGCAAGACACTCACCTAGCACAGCTTACCACCCACAGACTGACAGGCAGACCGAATGGTTAAACCAGGTCATGGAACAGTACCTTCGAATGTACTGCAACTATGAGCAGAATGATTGGGCCAATTTAATTCACATGGCGGCATTTGTGTATAACAACACTGTGCACACCAGTATTGGCATATCCCCATTCTTTGCTTGCTATGGCTGGAATCCCAAGTCGCACCCAGAGATACCTGGAAAACTTGGGGTAAACAATCCAAAGCTTGCTGAATACTTTGTGGACAATACTGATTGCACCAAGTACCTTCAAGAACAAATCAGACATGCACAAAGTCGAGTGGTCGACCAATACAACTGCAAGCGAAAGGACATTGAGTACAAGGTGGGTGACTTAGTATATACAGCTCATGCGTAAACTGTCCCATGAATTTACATGTCACCATACATCACTCTAATGCTCAATAGCCATAAGTTGTATTGCCACACTGTCTGATATCATCTGAAAGCCCTGCTTTGTCTCTCCAAGACTGTGTAATTGATATTGACATTGACTGAGAAAATTGTGCTATGAAGAAGAGCCGAGATTTTTTTTATTGTGGGACAGATTATGGAGCACTCCTCAACAACACCTTAGTACTTTGTATTCCCTCCTTTGGCCTTCAGAGCCACCTTGATGTGGCCTGGCATACTCTCTATTAGGGTCCTACATGTCTCTGGAGTGATCGCTGTCCATTCAGCTTCACATCTCTTGAGCAGTTCATCCCTGGACTTTGCAATTGTACTATACTGTGAAAGTTGCATTTTGAGATGGTGCCAGAGGTGTTCAATTGGGTTTAAGTCCGGTGACTGCACTGGCCATTGCATAACCTTAATGCTATTGCTTTCCAACCACGTTGTTGTCTTCTTTGACATGTGTTTTGGGTCATTGTCTTGCTGAAATGTGATGTCAGTGTATGCATGCTGAAGCCGCAAATCTGAGATCATTTTCACAAGCTTGTCATTCAAGATATCAATGTATTGGTCTGAATTCATTGTACCCAGCACCAAGCGCATGCCTCCCACCCCTTCCCATGTCATACAGCCCCAGATCATGATGGAGCTGCTGCCGAACTTGACTGTCAGCCTGACAAGCTTGCTATTGAAGCTGGCATTCTTAATCCAACAGAACTGCTTACCATCCAGTCCAAAGAAGTTGATCTTTGTCTCATTGGACCATATCACATTCTTCCAATCCTCAACAGTCATGTCCTTGTGCTCATTAGCAAATTTGTGATGGGCTTTGTAATGTCTCTTGAGTAGCTTTGGTTTTTTCACTAACCTCTGTGCTTTGTAACAACAGTAATGAAGTGCTTTTCTTACTGTGGTTGGGCATGCTTTGACTTTAAATGTCTCCTGCAGTGCATGACATGCTTTCCTGACTGTGGAGGTGGAATTGAGCTCGAAATAGTGGTCCAGGAAGCAAACATGATGATGCTGGAGTTTTCTCAGCTGGCCCCCCTTTGACTTTGGAACATCAGCGGAGGCGCTTTTGCTGATGCGATTCACAGTAGACTTGCTCAATCTGAGTTGCTCGGCAACTGAATGGGTAGATTCCCCATTTTGGAGGTGAAAGATTGCCGATCAGCACTTCTCTGGGGTGGTTTTTGGCATGATGGTATAGATATGATGGTGTCAGACTGGAAGCACTGCTGGATCACTTACAGTCATCTGATTGAGCTGAAACTTTCCACATCACTACTTTTGATGTGTATGAAGGTGCCCACCAAGTTAAATTGCAAGTTTCATTGTAGTCAAAAGCCCACAAGGTCAGGAATGGAGCAGTGTCACTATTTGGGAGCATGCTCCATAAACTGTCCCACAATAAAAAAAATCTCGGCTCTTCTTCATAGCACAATTTTCTCAGTCAATGTCAATATCAATTACACAGTCTTGGAGAGACAAAGCAGGGCTTTCAGACGATATCAGACAGTGTGGCAATACAACTTATGGCTATTGAGCATTAGAGTGATGTATGGTGACATGTAAATTTGTGGGACAGTTTATGCGCGAGCTGTATCAACCAGAGGAACTGGAAAACAAGGCGACCGACTCCAAAGTTGGACACGAGGTTTGCAGGTCTGTACCCAATCAAGGAAAGGATTGACCGGAGGGCATATCGCATCAGTCTACCAGTAAACCTTCGAGTCCACGATGTATTTCACATGTCAATGTTGGAACCAGCCAGGACGAGCACACTCGCACACCGCTCGCAGGTGCCAGTAGACCCGCGGAGGCAAGAGGAAGGATTTGTGGAGTAAGCAAAGGAATTCGTGAGCATGTTAGATTAGGGCTGGGTAATCTCGTGCGAGAAAAGAGGTGAGAGTCGTGAGCTGGAACGCTCAGACAGCAACGTGGGAGACATATTCTTGGCTGTCTTGGTGATCTATCTTGTTGCTCATCATCATCATCCTACTCCATCCTTCATCGGCCTCACCGCCAGTCCTACACCTTTGCTCGCGCTCATCACTGAGTGTGCTTGTAACCGGCAGCCGGCTGCACCTTTACCCTCCGCTATCACGAGCAACATCTCATCGAACACGTGTCACACGACCAACCTCCTTCCTAAAAGTTAGCGCAAAGTCCCCACTGAAACCTATCCGAAAGGGCCTCTTAACGATCGACGGTCGAATTCACTTGGCATCGCACGAGATCCTACCGCATACGGACGAGCACTCGGTTGCAATCATGACCGTCACAACAACGACGCCGTTTCGAGCGGTGCTCTCCCTGCTCCTCGCTTCTCTGATCATCCTCGTGCTATCACCATCCCAAGTATCGGCCGCAGCACTAACAACCCTCGTGGAACCCCACGAACGATCCTGTTTCTACGCGTGGGTAGATGCCGCAGGCGAAAAAGTAGGTTTCTATTTCGCCGTTCAATCCGGCGGTCAATTCGATATCGACTACACCGTAACCGACCCAGACTCGAAACTCATCATCGGTGGGCACAAAGAAAGACAACTGGATATCATCTTTACCGGCAACACTGTCGGAGAATACACGTTTTGTTTCGAAAACGCAATGTCTACCGTCGCTGAGAAACTTATCGATTTCGATATCACCGTCGAATCCGAACCCAGACTCGATCTTCCCATTACTCCAGCGAAACTCTTGAAAGAGCACAGCGCACCACTGGAAGAGGGGATTTCAAATATGGCCGACAAGCTAACGCAAATCACAAGGACACAGAGATACTTTAGGGTGAGGGAGAATAGGAATTTCGACACGGTCAAGAGTACGCAGAGGAAAATCTTTTGGTATTCAGTGGTGGAAAGTGGAATGATGGTAGGAATCAGTCTTGCGCAGGTTTGGATTGTCAGGGCGCTGTTCGAGAAGGGAGGTACTAAGCGCTATCGCGTTTGAGCACGAGGTAGCGAGGATAGCGTTGGCAAGCTGGCAAGTGTTAGAAATGTTCCCTTTCTAACAGCTCCTTGGACAGAATCTTGCTCTCCGTTTCGCACAACTTGCCCAGCATATCGTTGGTTCAACACGATTGTATCCAGTCAATTCACATGTAATGGCAGGCGAATTGTATGAGATCATGTCAGTTGAGCCCATGTCGCCAAGTGTTGCTCGCAGATCGAAGCCAAAGATTCGCTTTTCTGTCAACATTCCATCACACAGACACACGCTTCAAACCACGTTCGTCCGTGATCACACTGTTGCTCATACCAACACTTGGCTGTTTCTATATCCTGTACACTGAAAAATAGGCAGCCTCTCTCTCTCTCTCTCTCTCTCTCTCTACTCTACTCTACTCGTCGCTCTTAAACACAACCAATCGAGTCGCCTCGGCCACCATGCCCCCGACCTTGCATTTGCCACTGACACTCTCAACAACAGCATCCCTATTCGCCTTGAGACTGATCTCGGTCTTCATGGCTTCCAGAATAATCAGGGTCTCGCCTTTCTTCACTTTCTGTCCTGCTTTGACCTTGCAGTCGACAATCTTGCTTGGCATGGGACTGATGAGCGCGTTTTCGTTTGCGACTGCGGCAACATCCGAGATTTTCGAGAACCAGCAAGGCGGTTGGAGGGTAAAAGAGGTTACCACACCTGTTGGTAGGAATACGGTATGCTTTAGTGCAGTCGTTGGGATAGTTGTTGTGCCTGTTGTTCGCAGACTTTTGAATTGCACTTGATCTTTTTCGTTGTCGTTTTGAGTGCCGGAGTGGGAGGAGGGGGGGGAAAGGGTTACGTCGAAAGTACCTGAGATCGTTTGTCTCACAGAAACCGAGAGGTCGCCTAGGGTTTTGTGGTGTATGGGCATCGTTCGAGTTTGAAGCCGAGTGAAAGCAGGGTTTGTCCAGATGGAACCTTTGCCTTGGGCACTAGCCAAACCACTCTTAGCAGAAGCCTCGAGATGGCGTTGGTAGAGATAGACGGCACCTTGGGCGACGGCTTCATACAACTCGGACTCCTTGGTATACGGATCACCAAACAAGCCTTCTTTGCCATACTTTTCAATGAAGCCAGTCTCCAGGTCAGCCTGGAGGAACTTTTCATGTCGAACGAGATTCTTTAAGAACTGGATATTGGTCTGCGGCCCCACCACTTGATACTTGTTCAACGCATTCTCCATTATCCGCAGAGCTTCTTTTCTATCTCTACCCTTAACAATGAGTTTTGCAATCATCGGATCGTAGTGTACGCTGATTTCATCGCCGCTGATAAAACCAGTATCCACCCTTACTACCGCTTCTCCCCTTTTCCCGCTCTCAACCTCCCCTGCTGCTCCAGTAGGCGAAGTAAGCGCCGGGTTGGAATGGGTGATGGTAGTAGTAGGCGGGAGAGAAACGTGGATTAATTTGCCGCTATCAGGAAGGAAATTTGCCTCTGTATTCTCGGCATAAATCCTCGCCTCAAACGCATGGCCTTCTATCTTCAACTCATCTTGGAGCAGCGGTAGTCGATTACCCGCTGCTACTTCCAACTGCCACTCGACCAAGTCAAGACCGGAAACCATTTCGGTGACGGGATGCTCGACTTGGAGACGGGTGTTCATTTCCATGAAATACAAGTTCTCCGGTTTTTTAGCATCGAGGATGAACTCTACAGTTCCAGCACCTACATATCCCACAGCTTTGGCTGCTGCTACTGCCTTTTCCCCCAACTCTTTACGGAGGTGATCGGAGAGGTTTGGCGCGGGAGCTTCTTCGATGATCTTCTGATGTCGACGTTGTACTGAACAATCACGTTCGGAGATGTAGACAGCGTTGCCGTGCTTGTCTGCGAATACTTGTACTTCGATATGGCGTGGTGCGGTAAGGTACTTTTCGATCAGCACGGTAGGGTCCCCGAATGACTTTGCAGCCTCCCGTTGCGCCGAACTTAGCGCATCAGCAAACTCGCAAGTGTCTTGGGCAACTTTCATCCCCTTACCTCCGCCACCCTTTACCGCCTTGATGAGCACTGGGTACCCAATCTTTTCCGCCTGAGCTGCCAAAAACGCTTGTTCTTGGTTGCACCCATGGTATCCCGGCACACAAGGCACACCGGCATCCAACATAATCTCTTTGGACGCGGACTTGCTTCCCATTGCATCAATAGCGGATGATGGAGGACCGATGAACGTAACGCCCTCGCACAGCTCCAGCAGCTTAGCGAATGAGGCGTTTTCAGAAAGGAATCCATAGCCCGGGTGGATCATACTGGCACCAGTCTTTTGAGCGATAGCAAGCATCTTATCTTGGCGAAGGTAGGATTGGGAAGAAGCAGCTGGGCCAATACAGTATGCTTCATCGGCGAGCAGGACGTGCTGGGAGCGAGAGTCGGGTTCGGAGAAGACTGCGACGGTGGAGATGCCTAGACGTCGACAGGTGCGGATGATTCGACATGCGATTTCGCCACGGTTTGCGATCAAGATCTTTCGAGGTAAGGCGTTCAGGCATTCGGAGGCGATGGTGGGAAGAGTGGATGCATTTCCAGCCTGAACAGGTGCAAGCGAGAGTGAAGCACTAGCACCAGCAAGACCAATCCCATCTTGACGAGTGCCCGTGTGAAGCTGTTGCAAAGCAACACGACTAGCGATATGAGCGCCAAAGCCCCCAGTACGAGCAACGGCAAAACGAGGCTTAAGAGCCAACTGCCAAATGCGCAACATGATTGGTCGAGACGATCGCTTCAATTCTGCTTGAGTCTGAGATGGCCCTTGTAGATGAAAAAGATAGACCAGACTTGAGGTTGCAGACGAACGAGCAAGATGATGGACGCAAGAGAAAGAGACGACCTTGTGTGTGTGCAACTCTTGTTCCTCTGTGTCTTTCTGCGTTTGCAAGCGCCAAATCCAGCTGAAAACTTGCCGAGAGACAGCACAGAGCGAGCAAAGTCCGTGTAACGTCCAACAAAGCCGGTGCCCCGCAAATCAATTCCCGCCCACCCATTCTCCGCAGAACCAAACGTGTGTCCTGTGCGTTCGGCCCCGGTTTACGGCTTAAACGGTCCTTGCCTCATCTCGAGCCGCACTTGACCCCTCCTCCTGATATCCCTCAACAGCCCTGGCTCTTCTATCTCACTTGACACACTGTCGAGCAGTACAAGTGTCGCAAACATAATCTTATCTCGAAAAGGAAAACAATAATACAATAATCCCCCCTCATGGAGGGGCTGCATTCCCAACACTCGGACTCTTCTGCGCATCGTTTCCCCCCTCTCCACCCGCTGTGGAAGGAGGCCCGCTATTGCCATACACCCTCTTGTTGACGTTTGCCCTATGCAGTCTGTTTCGTAGATGAATTTCAAAATTGTTGAGGCTTTCACCTGGTCCAGGCGTGTAGAGTTTGCCGGGACAGTCGAGACATCTTACTCTCCATTCCGGTTGGGGAGGTGCAGGGACACCAGCCGGTCGAGGTCGAGCTTGGATTTCGAATCGATCGTTAGGGTAGCGAGCTTTCAGTGCTGCGCCTGATTCTGAGAGCCAGTCGGGAGGGGTGGCGTTGCTGGCCATGGAGGCTAGACGGGGGGAGACGTTGGAGGTGACAGCCGGAGCGGTGGTCGAGGTTGAGGTGCGGATGGACGAGTGAGAGCCAGCAACACCAGGAGCTGAAGTGGCGGTCATGCTGGATTCTGTGCTGGTAGCAGAGGCATCAGCGGTGCTTGCTGGTGCACCACCGCTTTCGCCAACAGCAGCAGCTTCAGAGGTAGTCGTAGCTTCTTGCTTGACCTCACCTCGCTCGTTCGCTGCTGCTGGTGCAGCCTCTGCAGTGGCGGAAGCATCACCATCAGCAGTAGTGGTGGAAGCAGACACTTTCTCCCTCGCATTCTCCGCCGCAGCCCTCCTCGCAATTGGCGCCGCTCCACTCTCATCATCATTCCCCTGCGAAGCCGACGCTGACTTCCTCGACCTCTGCACCGGCTCGGCACTGCTCGATCTCGAACTCGAATCACTATCATCTGGACTACCCACCATCTCAAACGGCAGATCCTCTTCATCCGATCGATCGCCTCCATCTCCATCTCCACCCCTACTGAGAGCGCTAGACGACGCTGGTGGCCTTCCTTTCCTCCTCACACCATTCCCCTCTCCACCTGCCGTAGCATCATCCGCCTTAGGCGTATCCGCAGCGCTCGTCGGCTCTGTCGAATCCTCCTGTTCACCTAACGCATTCAACAACGCAGTATCGATCAAAGGATTCGAGATACCCATCTTGCGGTTCAACGCTTGCTGCTGCTTCATATGGAACACCGGATCGCGCGTATACTCGAGGAAAATCACCTTGCGATGTCGGTGGTAGTACTTTCCGCAAGGACCGCACAACGATTTGTCTCCCAAAGGACCTTTTCGTCGTCCTGGTGCAAGCGTGCCGGGAATACCGCAGTTCGAGCAATACCACATTCCATCGTGGAAGTTCGGGTGTTGTCTCTCCAGATCCTCGGGTCGGACGTTGTTACGTTGAGCATACGACAGAGAGACGAGCTTGGGTGCTGCTTTCTCTGCTTGAGAGCCAGTCGCCTGGTTTTCGGGCGATCGAGCACGCTTCTTGGCCTCTTCCTCGGTGTATTCGGGTGCGAACTTGGGTCCTCCTGGATCTGACTTGCGTCCCAAACCACCGGGGAAGTCAAAGTGGATGGCGTGATGGTTGACCTTGGGCTTCTTCCGATCTGGCAGGCCAAGACCCTCGGGACCTGGTGTAGGCGTTCCGTGATCGTGGGCTTGCGAAGGTGCGATCGATGCATTGGCAGCAGCTGCAGCAGCTCGTCGTGTTGACATGCCTCCGTATCGGTCGCTGAGGCCATTCGCGTTCTGCAGAGCCGAAGCCGAGTCGGTTTGAGCAGTCTGAATGCCGAACACGGCGGGTGTCCGTTGCGTCTTTTGCGGATCGCGATCAGGCAAGTTGACACCACGACGTCCACGTGTCTGACGACGCTTTCTTCGCGCTTCGCGCTCGCGTTCGCGGTCCAGACGCTCGATCTCGGATTCGGTAAGCTGCATCAAACGAGGCGTAAAGCTGTACGACTCGAGCTCGCTTCGCGACAGGTTGGCTTTGCTGACCGGTCCAAGGAACGCAGCACGCAGTTCTTCGTCGGCGATCGGTCGTCCGTCGAATGTGTGCCCGGTCATGGCAAGCGACTTGACATGCACTGAAACCTGCTCGCGAATCGAGTGAGCAATGGCCGTCTTGAACTCGCCAGAAAGACCCAAGTCGGCAGCAAACGTCTCGGCAAACTTCTCAGCAGCGGCAGGATCCGAATCATTGGCGTCCCATTCGAACTGGTCGACCAGGTTCATGCTGCCAACGGTGATGTCGAGCTTGATCATCATGCGCAACTCCTCAGCTGGAGTTGTGTCGACGATCTCTGGCGGTTCCGATCGTGCCTCTTCCTCCTCGCTGCTGTTGTCGTCCACGTGCATGGCGACATCTTGTCCATCCTCTCCTTTGGCAGCAGCAGCATTCGCAGTGTTGCTGGGCTTGTTGCCGAAAGGCAAACGCTCGACCTGACGTCGCCACTTGGACCACCAGCGCAGGTCCTTGTCCTCGAGAGATCCCTTGCCCTCTCTCGTGTCGGCGTTAAAGTCGAAAGTAGGCTTCGCCTTGAACGCGCTCGTCGTCTGATGATCCATGATCTGCGTGGTGATCTGCTCCTTGATTTGAGGAACAAACACTGTCGCAGGCAATCCAATATCCTCGCAGATCGACTGAGAAAAGGCCTCGACATTGATGTGCGAGTCCTGAGCATTCCACGTAAACGTGTCGCGCAACTTCCAGTGCTCGTGATCGATCTCCAGTCGGATGGGCACCAGATCTTCGCCCTGCTGCGAAACAGACTCCATGATGGATCGCTTGAGAGGGATGTGAGGACGGGCACCACGCTGACCTTGGTCGAGGTCGGCACGCTTTTGATTGGGGAAAAGCACGCCGAAGGGCTTGAACATGTCGCGAGCCAAACCCGAAGTGTCTTCCTCCTCGGGACGCTCCCACCAGGCTAGAGGCTTGGGCTTGGTGATGGTGCCGTCCGTTGCTTTGCGTCGTGGAGGTCGAACAGCATCGATGCGTTCTTTCACCGATTTCTCCATCTGCTGCTGTTGCTGTCGGAAAAGCTTCTCGTACTCAAGGTCTCGCTTCATGATCCCGACCAACTCTGCTTCTTGCTCTGCACTGAGTGGCTTCCAGATCTCATCGTCCTCCTTGTCATCGCCGTTCTTGCTGCCGGCATCGCCCTTGCCATCAGTAGCGGCACGCTGAGGTCGCATAGCATCGTCGAGCTTAGTCACGCAAGTGTTGAAGTGAGTGATGGGCGTACCGACTGCGGACTCCTTTGGTGCAGGACCACCGAGGAGCATGGGCATGTTGGCCAAGTTCGAGGGCACAGTCTGTGCGAAAGCTGGAGCACCACCTGCCAAAGTCGTTGGCTTGCCTGTCGCAGACGCAGCGGCTGCAGCTGCATCAGGGAGCGACTGTGGCTCGCCTCCAGGGATGGCAGCGCCGGGCGGTGTGGGAACGACTGGAACACCAGGAGCACCTGAATGAGTCGGCAGTGCAGCCGATGAGCCCTTTCGACCTTTGGGTGTGGGTGTAGCTGCACCGCCAAAGCTTCCAATCAGTTGCTGCTGAGCCGATGGCTGTCCTGCCGCTGCGTTGGCTGCAGCCATCATCGTCGGGTCGGGTGTAGTAGCAGCGACGCCGTCCATACCGGGCGGGGCTGTACCTGGGATACCACCAGCAAGGGAAGGTCTCCTGTTGTCCGGCGTGCCCATCATCGAAGAATCCTGCACCATCGAGGGACGACGACCTTGCTGCTTGAGCATCTGGGGAGTTCCATCGGGACCCATCTGAGGTGCGCCGGTCCCCCCGAATCCTGGTGGCATTTGACCAGCCGGACCACCTGGCATCATTCCCTGCAGTGGCATGGCCATTCCTGGAGCGATGCCTGGTGGCAATTGACCAGGAGCAGGTGGTGGTGCCATCAAGCCTTGTGGCCCTCCCTGTTGGAAGTTGGGTGGAATTGGTCCTGACCGCGAGTCGGGCCTGCCCGATCCACTTAGAGCAAGACTGGATTGACGAGGACGGGACTTGTTGGCCATGCCCGGGCTAGATGTGGCTCCTGCGGGTCCCATAGGCGAAGGAGCTCGCATGCTGGAAGGTGAGGCATGCTGACCAGCGGGTGTGGAAGGACGCTGACCGTGCGGGTGACCAAGTGAAGGTGCGACGAGGGGTGGCTGGGGTTGTTGATGCTGTTGTTGCTGCTGTTGCTGCATTTGTTGCTGTTGCTGCTGCAGGTGCTGTTGTTGCTGCTGCTGCATGATGAGTATCTGTTGCTGCTGCTGAGGCGTCATGGGAGGCGCTCCGAAGCCTTGTTGCTGAAGCTGCTGCTGCTGTTGCAATGTTGGCGGCTGTTGCTGTAGCTGTGGTGGCTGCACTGGCATGGACGACATGGAGGGTTGTCGCTGCGGCTGTCCCGGCTGTCCCGGCTGTCCCGGCTGGCCTGGTTGTCCACTTTGCTGAGGGATGAGACCAAGTCCACGAGCTTCATTGATCGTCAAAACCATACCTCCGTTGGGCATCATGGCTGGATGAGATCCACCAGGCAAGCTGGAAGCCTTGAGGAATAGGTAACCCATCTGCATCAAAGTGTGCACTGGAGTGAGACCGGAACCTTCCTGCGCCTTAGCAAGTGCCAATGCTCTCGACAGAACCGCCTGCTGCTGCTGCGGGTTGAGACTTGGTGCCCAGTTGGGTGGTACGATCTGCTGAGACGGCGGTTGTTGAGCCGGTATGCCCATCTGCTGCGGCTGCAGCGGCTGTGAGATAGCCTGCATCCCTGGCGGCAAAGTGTGCATCTGAGAAGGAGTACCTTGTCCACCAAGCGAGACACTAGGAGATCTTGTGTGACTTCGAGAGCGCTCAAACGCACTGCCGGGTAGCGAAGCACCTTGAATGCCAGCTATTGACGAAGCGCTCGGTGACTGCTGCATGCTGGAGGTACCTGGAGCGTTTGCATGCTGCATCACAGGTGTCTGGGATTGCGACGCTTGCGCTTGTGCCTGTGCTGCTTTGGTCGAGGACTTTTTCTCAGACTTCTTCCGTGGCGGCTTAGGCTTGGAGGCTGGCGTGGGAGTGGAAGGGACAGTGCCATTGTTGCTATTGGCTCGGCGCTGCTGCTGCGGTGTTCCTGGTTGCTGATGCGAGGGAGCGGGCGACGACTGACCAGGTTGCATTGGGTTCTGGTTACCAGCCTGCAAGTACGACGGAAGACCGTTGGGAGCCTGCTGCTGTTGTTGCTGTAGGGCAGAGTTGGGTCGAACCGGAGAAGCACCACCGGGGAACATGTTCATCTGCTGTTGCTGCGGTTGCTGTGACTGCTGCTTTGGTGTACCGCCCATGAGCGCCGAAGGATCTAGCATACCTTGCATGTTTCCATTCTGTGCTTGCTGAAACATGGCAGCTGACTGACCCGGTTGTGACGATTCGCCGGCCTGATTCTGCTGCTGTTGTTGTTGTTGTTGTTGTTGCATCATGAGCTGGTTGAAAGCGCCTGGTGGGATGGCTCCCGGATTGAACTGACCAAGGGCTTGCATAGCCTGCAAGGCTTGCATCGGATTCTGCTGGAACAAAGCCATCGTCTGAGGATTGAGACCGAAAGCAGCAGGGTTGAATTGACCTGCACCGAACTGCATTTGCTGCGGTGGTTGCTGTTGAGGCTGTTGAGGTTGTTGAGGTTGTTGAGGCTGCTGCGGTTGACCCATGCCAGCCATCTGACCAAAATTGTTGAACATGCCTCCTCCACCGTTCTGTAGCTGTGCGAGTAAGTTCTGCTGCATCTGTTGTTGTTGTTGTTGTTGTTGTTGTTGTTGTTGCTGCTGCTGCTGCTGCTGCTGTTGTTGTTGTTGTTGTTGCTGTTGTTGTTGTTGGTTTGGCTGTTGCTGTGGAGGCCACCGCGACGCTTGTCCACCAGGCGGTTGTTGCTGCTGTTGCTGTTGTTGAAGTTGTTGCAAGAGCATCTGTGGATTGAAGGTGCCCATAGGACTGTTGACGCCACTGGCAGCAGCGGCCTGCATGTTGATGCCGCCTGCACCAGGATTGTTCGGATCGAGACCCATCATGGCAGGGTTGAACATGGCAGGGTTGAAGCGTGACTGCTGTGGTGTGCTGGGCTGTGAGGGCTGCTGTTGCTGTTGTTGCAATAGGGCTGCGGCCAGCTGTGGGTTGTTCTGGAGCGTGCTCAGGTCGAAGCCCCCGAACATGGCAGGATTGACCATGTTAGGGTTAGAGCCGTCCATCTGTCCACCACCAGCATTGGGCTGTGGTTGCTGCTGGCCAAATATGTTGGCAGCAAAGTTGTTGCCAAACATGTTGGGATCCATGACGCGCCAGAGAGCGGGGAGGTCGACTCAGCGCGCGTCGGCTGATCGACGAGGAAGCAAGGGTATCGGTGCAAGAGGAGTTCCGGTGAGACTGAGGAGTAAGTGTAGTTTGAGCCTGGAGTAGACGCTTTTCGATAGATCGAGATTCGGCGTTTCACAACGTCAGCGTCGTGAAGAGAAGAGATGCTGGTGAGCGACACTTGCGAGCATGTAGGTTGAGACTGATTGATCTGAGTAGAGAGAGACGCAAAATGAACAAGGACAGAGGATGGTGCTCATCGACAGTGTCGTCGAGATGTTTGCCGCGTTGAAGAGTGGTAGGTGGGGTAGATGCGACGGAGGATGCAGCGATGCACCGCTCTATCTAGTGACGCTTGCGACGGTTGAGCAGACGTGACCTGTAATCGATTGCAAATGCTGACGGATGCAGGGCCCTGCTATGAAGATGCGATCAACCAAGATTGAGAGCCGAGGTGAAGCAAAAGGAAAGGAGCCGGTCGTGTTGTTGAAGCTGGGATGACCAAAGAACAGAGACCGAAAGAAGAAAGAGAGGGAGATGAAAGGGCGGGGGGGGAGGGGTCGGATGATGAAAGCGGTCGAGGATGGCGATGATGATGAGGAGGAGGAGGAGGAGGAAGGAGGAGGATGATGGTAATCAGGAAGCATTGGCAGGCATGTCTCCAATTCGGCGTCTCTGGCTCACTCTCTTGCAACTCAACGCGCCTTTCGATTTGACTCTCCAGAAAGGCGACCGAAAGCGAGAATCTGACAGAACCGCCGACGCGCTGAGTGGCCCCAAAAGACCCTCCCCCCCGATTCGACCTCAAAGATTGGGCAGCAGCGCAGAAGAGAGCGTCCAAAATCCTGCCAATTCCATCTCATTTGGCTTGGGCCCCGATCTACGACTGAGCCAGATCGCAGCTCCGTCTCGCTCTGTCCTATCGCATCCCCCCCCCCCCCGCTTTCTGCTCAGTTGCAACGCATCACAGCATGCAGCCTTATCCCTCACAAAACACATGCATAGGTATCAATGATCTAGGCTTGCTTTGTACAGAGCCACGAGTATACTTGCTTCCATTGTAACAAGATGAAGGAGGTGGATGAGCAAGTAAACGCTCTACCATCGACTGGCAGCAGTCGTTCCTCTGCCTTTGTAGATGTGATCCAGCAAATCCTTCACCTTGGCTCCACCCGTCGTTGTCGTTGTCGTTGTCCTTGTTGGTGGCGCATCCGACTTGTTCATTCCATTCCCGTATTCATACTGGCACGCTGCACCTGCAACTGCATCGGAAGGAAGGATCGAAGCTGTACTAGCTTGGACAGGATCCCAATCTGGATGATTCGCTTTGAACCCAAGGATGCTTTGCTCTATCTTGCCCTCCTTGATTCCATTTCTTATCGCTCGTCTTCCGTTACGCTTTGGATCTTGGTACATCTCCCTCGCCGCAGCACCACCCGTCGTACTGGCTGTTGGTTGACGTGCAAAGTCAAACACGGCAAACCAACATACATGTCCCAACCCGTCCACATGGATCGTATACTTCCTTAAAAAGTCGATCAGCTCGGGCGCACATGCTGGTAAAGTCAGCCACAGTACAAACGGCGTTGTCACTACACTGAGCAACTCTTGCAAGAAGATGTAGATCTTGAGCGTATACAGCTGTCCGAATGCCTGATGCACTTCAGCTGAATGGAAGCGACCCTTCCACTCCTGGGGCAGGTAGTGGGTGTGTTGAATCACTTCGCGCAGCACTGCTTCGGGTTCGAACACCAGATGTTCGTCCGGTATCATACCGCGAGCAACGGCTAGAATGGCACCAAACACCCCGATGTAGAACAGCACGTTGCGCTGAGGTGTAATGTCAAAATGCAGGAACAGATCCGGATCAATCACCGATGCAAGGATAAGCACGGCAGTAAACGAGCCAGCGACGAATGCCACGAACCGCGCAACGATGGCTGTCTTCTCCTTGGGGAATTGGTCAATGTACTTTTGCGCAGGCGCATAGGAGGTATGACATCGTCTCCGGAAGAGATGCGGCAGCTCGTTGAACTCGCGCAACTTCCATCGTGCGTATTGCGTGTATTGTCGAGATCCCAAGTTGGACGGGTCTTTGTGATACTCTTCAAAGTAGCGGAAGAAAGAGTAGACCAACAAGTAGAGCACGATGAAAGGTGCAAAGATGGCATTGACCATCGCCATGAACAGCAAGCGTCGTCGTAAACCTTCAATCAGATCAGCTCGATAGCCTTCCGACAGGAACTGGTGCCGTACTTGTCCATTCGAGTCGAAAAGGAAGCCTAAAAGGCAAAAGTTGAGATTCCACTCGAGACTTCGCGTCAGCGCTGGACTACGATTGCGTAGGCCAGGCACCGAGAGGTCAAGGATGTTCTCGTTGAACAGCGCGATGAGATAATTCTCCTGACGCATGATGCGGTTAGCTACATCGTGTGCGTCCAGTCGCTGTTGCTGTGATGCACTTGCTCGATCCTCAAGCTCAATCTCGTCCGCTGAGCTGAGCGAGGTGTTGGGATGCTGTTCACGCAGAGCCGAGATGCGGTTGACTACTTCGTGCCACGGGATGGACTGCACATCCGCGTCCGGGATGCCGAGAAGGTGTTCGTAAAATCCGTGCATCGCTCTCAGTCTCGATAGGCCAAGCAGGAATTGTACTACTTGCCAGCCGAATGCTGCGACCAGCAGAAACACCATCACCCTGGTACCTGGAGAGAAGCGGGCTACGCAATGGCCCACAATAACATCGCCTAGTTGACCGTCGTGTCGAATCGCCGAATAGTCAATGCATCCTAACAAGAAGGTGGAGAAGGAGATGACGAATGCAACTGTGAGGAGGTTGAGCGAACGTGAGAGTGCAATGCAGATGGCACCTCGTCCAAGATAGTAGGCGTATACTTCTTGCAGGAAAGCGTCGAGATTGTCGACGTTAGCCCACATCCACAGTGCCTTCTGCTTGGCGTTGAGCCCTCCGACCGCAGATGCTCGAGAACGTGGATCTGATGTGTTTGTGCGGCGCCTGCTGGATCTACTCGAGGAGCGAGATGATCTGGTGGGCAGTAGCGATGCTTTCGACCTTCGAGCATCTTTTGCGATAAGGCCGATTTCTTCATCTGAAAGTAGGTCCTCGGGATCTTGGTCGTCGGCATTGTCACCTTCTGCAGGGCCGGCAGCATCGGTACTGTGGCCCTCGATGCCATCCCCATTCGTGGCGGCGTGCCGACTGCTGGATGCTCTGCCAATGGATGCAGCACTTGCTTGCACGCTCTCGTGAAACGACTCTTCGCGGATGTCATCCTGTCGAGACCGACTTGGGCTTCTGTGCTGACTTGTTGATGGATGGACGATGCGCGACTGCTCAAAGATACAAGACTTGAGGCTGCCCGAAGACGTTGGCGGTGGCAATGGCTCTGGACCATCTGGGTCCGCAAAGGGCGAGTTAAGATCCATCCTGGCTCATCCTTGTCGTGGCCAGTCGCTTGTGCAAACGAGATTTCCGCTGCAGGAAGGGCAGCGGAGCTTTGGCGCTGAATCGAGGGATCGAGAGGTGTTGATGAAAGCTGTTGAGGGTGGTGGTGGTGGATTGGTGATGAATGGCGGTGAGGTCTATGCTTTGGACCCTTGCTTGCTGCTTGAATCGTCAGGGTCTGCAAAGAGCACGTGATAACAAGTCACGCGCACAGCCTCTTTGTTTCGGTCTTTGCCTGCAATCCACTTAGTATATACGATTTCGATTTTGTTTCGTGCGATTGAGTCCAGGCGGTAAATTTTTGGTCACGCGTGCCTCCACTTTTGGCTGCAATTTCGCACCTCCGCTTTCGGCGACTGTTTTTTCTTTTTCTTTTTCTTTTTCTTTTTTTTGCGCTCCAGGGTCTTTGTTTATTACTTTGATCTCACATGTTCATCTTGTGGCAGACACACGTGATGCTGCTGCGGTTTGCTTTTGAGAAGATTTTGGCAAAAGTTGCGAGAATAAAGGATCAGCAGAAACCGTTGATCCTCCTTTCTTCTTCTCCTTGTGCAGCAAACTTCTGACCGCCTAGTGTTGCTCCCTCGGCCTGAAGTGGTGATCTGTTCGCGGATCGCTACTTCGCAGCACTTCCATGGCCATGAGGTGAGCGTCAAAGGTGGTCTAGATCAACTCGCGACTCCAGGGGGCTCGATATCTTATTCCGTTTGCTGAGCCCTCGCACCGTCACCGCCCAGCCGCTTGACCTTGGACGTTCTCTTGGCAGGGCACGTTCAAGAGGTTGGGTTAGGTCCGCGATCCAACGTCTCAGCACCCGTGCTTCCTTTTGCTCCCCTTCTATCAGGCCGGGCAAGGAGGTGGGTCGGTGGTTGGCACATTCCTTTCTTCAACTCTGATACATCTTTGTTCTCTTTTCGTTCGCATTGCAATCGATACAATCCTTAAGCAAGCAGCAGGAGCATCACCAACGTCTGCCTCAAGACTATGTGCAAGATACTGGCCATCCAAAGACAGTCATGCTCTCAAACAGACTTTATTATCCTTCCTGCCTCTCCTCTCCTCTGCACTGCACCGATCGATGCAGAGACATCAAGGTCTCTTGAAGCGGTGCTGTCTTGCGTTAGTGACCCCAAGGCTATGCTAGGACCTGAGTCCCCTTCTACAGGCTGAATCAGGCGAGCGTATACCGGGACCCTGTCGCATTGGGTTCCCACTGCGTAGAATTTCGTATACCTTAGCGCGGTCTGAGTGTGCAGTGTCAACAAAGCGCAAATCACGAGGACCTTTTCTTGATTACGAATTATGTCAGGTTTTGATAAATGCAATGTGCTCCTCCTCTCTTATCGAAGGCAAGATGGCCGAGTGGTCTAAGGCGTAGCATTAAGGAAGATATCCTGCACAAAATCAGGAAGACCTGCTATCTTCGGGCGTGGGTTCGAATCCCACTCTTGTCACCATTCCTTTTTCTTGTCCATTTCTTTCGCCACCATGAACGCGGAATTCTGAGGGGAACACCCTCACCAAATTTCGAACAAGATTCATCAGACAATGAATGAGTAATGGTGTTTAAACCCTTTTGAGATGATGGTTCTTGATGCTTGTTAAACTCTGCCATCTGCAACACTGCAAACCCCTTACACACCAACTCTTCTGGCCTAATACAATCATCTTGACAACACTCAGTGCAGGCCAACACCACAGATCTGGGGCTCCAACCCCCCCCCCTTTTCCACCACACACTGCCCACCTTGACTTTCTCATCCAAGACCCACCTAACATGATTGAATCTTGAACAATTCCCACCCCATTTTTGGCTACACACGACTTTAGAGCGACGTTGGGGTGCTTGCTCTCAGATGGAGTTTAAATGGCATTGTTTCTGGCTTTCTCGCTCCTTTGACCAGGCAGTTGTCATAGGGCTGGATGTGCAGAAGCAGGAAGATGTCACAGGGTCAGCGGGTCAGCATATGAAGTGTGCACCAAATTGATTGGTGGTGATCATCGAGAGTTGACAAGTTAATCAGGTGTCATGGGCCTGAATGCTCAAGAAGCAGGAGGGTCACTGGTTCATATGGAAGGAGCACAGGTATCGAAGATCTAGTCGATACCAGTAGAGAGCATGGTCATAGTGCAGTCTCCATGGAGACCATGGACTCCTATGGACTCACATGCAAAGGAGGACATGAGCCACATGCAAGGAGGGCCAGGCACAGCCACAAGGAGGACCAAGCTCAAGGAGCAGGCACAGCCATGAAGAGGACCAAGCTCAGATGGTTACCACTCAGGGGCTCAAGAGACAAGAGTCAAAGGAACCATCACCAGTCAAAGGAGAAGGAGCAGTGTATAGGAAACTGGCAAGCAGGTCCTGAGGAGGAGGAGCAGTGTCAAAGGAGTCGACACAACTCAGGAGGCACAGGGGTGCCAAGCAGGCAGGACAGCAAGGAGGAGGAGCAGTGTCAAAGGAGTTGACACAGCTCAAGAGGCACATGGGTGCCAAGCAAGCAGGATAGCTCAAGGAGGACAGGAGTGGTGCTAGAGGGGCCCCTTGTACAGTACTTGATGAAGAAGGTACACTCTGGAGAGAGAGAGCAGGAGCAGCATTGCTGGTGATGCTGTGAAGAGGTATATAACCATACCCTCTCATCATCAAAGGTCAAGTGGATCCTGATCCACTCTACACCCATCATAACTAGTTATCACTTCAGCATAAGTATATATTAGTTCCAGTCAGCATAGTAGCAATCTATCAAGGTTGCTCCTCATTGTAGTGCATGTGTTGTATCACCGCTACCTGACATCTGAAGGCAGTTCATAGCAAACCAGCAGTCTGGATATAGATAGAACCAAAGGCAGTAGTCCACTGTGGTCCAGGGATCACTTCAAGCATCAAGTCAACACACTGGACACTCGTGTTGCCTGGCCCTCCTCACATATGGGCCCAGTCCTCCTTTGCATGTGAGTCCGTAGGAGTCCATGGTCTCCATGGAGACTGCACTACGACCATGCTCTCTACTGGTATCGACTAGATCTCCGATACCTGTGCTCCTTCCATATGAACCAGTGACCCTCCTGCTTCTTGAGCATTCAGGCCCATGACACCGAGCTACCCCTGAACAGAGTGTCTGTCATGGGCCTGGGTGCGCAGAACGAGGAAAGACCGAAGTTCATATGAAGGTAGCGCAGGAATCATGGAATTGGGTAGATTGGAGGAGCTGTGACAAAGTTCACTGAGATCGGTAGTAGAATCAGCTCTATGGCAGATCACAGCGAAATCGGCACGAGCATCATCAATATCACAAATCCCACCAGAATCTGCAGCAAGCAAGATCATGTGGCAGATTCTGTGGAGATCGGTAGTAAGGATGTCCGTATGATGATTCACATGCGAGAGGGACCGAGCTCAGCGACATGCAGTCAGTTACCACTCAGGGGCCCACAGGACAGGAGTAGAAGAGAACTGTCGCCAGTCAAAGGAAGGAGATCTGTGTATAGGACACCGGCGAAAGGGACATGAAGAGGAGGAGCAGTGTCAATGAAGTTGACACAGCTCAGGAAAGACAGGAGGGACAAGGCTTGAAACAGAGAAGGTGCCTCCTTGGAGATCCCTGTGCAGTACTCGATGAGGAGGGTACCCTCTGGAGAGAGGGAGCAGGAGCAGTGTCACTGGCAACGCTGCGAAGAGGTATATAGTCCTACCTCCTTGTCACAAATGGTCGAGTGGATCCTCATCCACTCTACTCTCATCAAATGAACTAGTATTACTTCAAGCAATAAGTATCATTAGGTCACAGTCAGCATAGAAGTAATCAACAGATCGCTCCTCATCGAAGTGCATGTGTTGTATCACCATTTCCTGATGTCTGAAGGCAGTTTGTAGCAACCAGCAGTCCGGATAACAATAGAACCGAAGGCAGATGTCCACTGCGGCCCGGGGATCACTTCAAGCGTTAGCCAACACACTGGACACTCGTGTTGGCGTCATCAACCCATACTCACACCAGACCATTGGTGTCAACATCAAGCTCACTTAGAGTTGTATCATAGTCTGATTGTGCCGAGCTACCTCTGGATGGAGTGTCCACAGCGGTTAGTCAAAATCTGTCATAACGATAATACAACTACAGATTCTAATGAGAAAGGTGACAGAGAAGGCTCTGTTGCATATTTCACTAAGAATCGGAATACCATTAGTGCTGTTGCATAATTCGACAGAATCGGTGATAGTACTGATACTACTACTGATCTCAGGTTTCAGGCGCGCGACCGCTGACAGTGTCCACAGAGGTCAGCCGAAACCTACGATAGTATATATAACGAATGCCACCTGCTGTCATTGTGCAACTTGATAGTTGCCGAGCGACACAGCTTGTCAAGACCGATACTGAGACAATAGCTGTCACACAGTTTGATAGTCACCGAGTATCTCGACAGACCGACCTGGGTTTCAGGCGCGAGACCCCTGACATCAGGTTGGTAGCACATATGATTTGTGGGATCAACCGAACTCTGGGATCCTGGTTAATCTCACAAGGATCGATCGGAATCACCCTGATCAGCATGGTTCAGCAAGTCAGCCATCATGAGTAAGCATTGGGAGATTCAGGAAGGAGGATACCAGCATTAGAAGGAGAAGTGTACAGAGATAACCACACATGGGAGTGGGGTCCAAGCTCAGTATCATGTGGATGGTTACCACTCAAGGGGTATGTGCATATAAGCCACATAGGACCAAGCACAGGGGTGACCACATGATCAAGGGGCTTGGTCACAGAGCCCAACAGGTGGCTAAGGGATTCACAAGATAAGGACGAGAAGGTGGTTGCTGGTGAAGAGAGAAGGAGCATTGTCAAGAAGACTGGGGATTGGCTATGAGGAGGAGGAGCTGTGTCAAAGGGGTTGTCACACATCACCAGGCAGAAAGAGCATGAAGGTGGAGGGGCAGTGTTGCACAAACCAATATGCTGTGCAAATGGTAGAGGCA